CACGTTTATACAGATTCTGCAACACCCTGTGACGCATGATTAACAAACTTAGGTTGTGTTTTAAAAGTATCGCATTAGGTTCTCGATTACCGAATTAGTTAGAGAATCTCCTCTTTGTCTGATGCTAATTACATAAGCTTGATGTTCTGTCCGCAGTCCGTACAATATTTGTTATCCAGCAGTTATTGGCCGTGGAAAACTTTAAAATGTTCTCCAAGTCCATCGTTACTTTTTGTTAAATTTAATTCCAATACTCCAGAGTCCAGCACATCTCTCCAATGAACAGTTAGTACCTGTAGCGGTTATGTAACTTGTAATATTCTCCCTGACAGTTCACATCCCTGGTTTAAAACGTGTTTAAAGTTTCTAGACTGGAGCCATGAATTGTCATCGAGTGTGAAGCAACTTAGAATTATGACTAATAAATGACATGATCTGTACAGGAAATAAGCCCCAGAATAGCAAATATCCTGCACCTCTATCAGGTCACCGTGACAGCTCCCCTAAATTTTATTTTTACACCTCGCTTTTTACACCCTTCACCTTCAATATTTTTCATAATCTGATATTTTTTCTGGTTATCCCACCAGTTACTGTTAATGTACAAATTCTACTATCTTCAATCTTGGCGTAGGAGGATGATATGTTTGACAGATTGGGCGATATCGCTAGGTTTCCGCCTTGGAAAGCATAATATGCTGCATATTATGTCTGCAGACTTTGCACTTAACTTGCACTTAACTGGTTAATATCTGATTCTAATTTAAGGAATTCTAATTTGGGTACTGGTAGATCTCTGCAGTCTGAACGAAGTTCTTACTATCAATTGTGAACGGGTCAACTTATTACTTATCAAAGTCTTCATTCGTTGGGTAATTTTCGTGTACTCATACATGTATTATTCCAAATCAATATTTTAGTTTTTAATAAAAAGTAGATTTTCCGTATTAGAATACCTAGAAGAGTGAGTGCTTGGAGACAAAGTGTCGTCGACGAGGTAGTCTTGACTCTGTTTTAGGATTTCTCAGCTTTATTCGGCTCAACTCCACGATTTTCTTCTTTTAATACTGTGCGATTTAGGGTCAGCGTTAAATTTGCTCAAGTTTCTTCTCCTAATTTGTCCATTTCCTTGGACAATTCTTTACCATTACCTAATTTACAAGTCCTTACCGTCACGGATATCAAATATCACACGCTAGTACGCTACGTGGAACGATTAGAGGATTAGTGATAACGTGTATTACAACAAGCTCACCAGCCGACAACTGTCGGTCAGTCGGCCACAGTCCGTTGTTACAACACCACCACGTCACTAACACGTACCTTAGTCGCTACTGCATATTCGTATGAGATACTACATATGTAGTAGACCAGAACAGGTTTCCTCTCCAACTGTGGCTTCTTAGAGTAGTTGTGATCTGTACTTCCGCCCACTTCAGGGCGTGGGAGATATTTAAGGAACAGGTCGGGGTTATATCATGCAGTTCATGCATAGTTTGAAGAGTTGTAACATTCTTTTTTCCTAATTAATTCCTCGTCATAAGTTCAGTGGCTGTCAGCTTCAGATTAAATCATTGTTATATGTTGAAATTTTGTCGTTAGTTGTCTGCCTTAAATTCGAATTTTCCTTGGGGATTTTCGCGGCTTTGTGGAATCTTTTCTTCGGTAGATGAATGATTTTAGAAATAAATCGATTTATTACGTAAAACTTAAAGCTCGCTAGTTTTCGTGTTTCATTCGTATATCGTAGTCGAGCAGTTTGCACTGTAACTCTGTAAAATTATCTGGACGAATATTGTGATTTTTGAAGTTTGCGTTCTCAATGATTCTGTAACCTGACAAATAATAGTGTACCATATTTTTTCAAAACCACTGATCGAACCATTGACAAATGACACTTGAAACTTAAACAATCTTGTTCAGGAATATGATTGTCCTAGCTGTACTGGCTCTATTCAGCTGCGCTCTCTCCGCAGAACTGGACCCCTCGCTCACTGAGTGGAGGCTCATCGAATCTGACGTGGAAAAAGTCATGTTCCCGCTCAGAGACTACATCTTGGAGGTGAAAACAATCCTTCCTGACGAATACGACACCAACCCACCTTACGGTGAACTCTTCAGAACGGACAAGTCCACTACTATGATGGCTATGCTGCACGCTGGAGGATGGAATGGCAGGAGTAAGGTGGGTCGTCTGGTGTGGAACACCATCAAGTACGATAGAGGATTTGATGTGAGTATCGAGGAGTGTAATGCTAATTACAAAGCATACCGGAGCTTCCCTGGTAATGGAGAGAATGAGCAGATCTGGGCGTGGAACTTTTTTGACGATCTAGTTCTGCTTACGTGTAATGATGATTTGCAGTATTCTCAGCTTTGGGATAAAGCTGATGTTAATCCTCGCAAACCTGATCTGCCGGAGAATTGTGCAGCACTTGGTGCAGCTGACGTTGACAGGATCATCTTCAGACACATGTCTGGAGAGTATATCAGAGCAGTACCTAAAGAACAACCAGATGAGATAAGAGCACCCACCACTCCACCAGCCACCACCCCTGCTTCCACACGTCCATTAGCAACTACGCATGCTGCTTCCACACCAGTGCCTGATATCTTCCCCAAATACTACCCGACATGCAACTGTTGGACTAGGGAGTGTGGGTACTGCTCTAAGATGGAGTGCACTGTAAAACACGATCTCATCGGATCCGAACAAGGAGTCAAAGTCAGCTCGGTTCTGAACAGGAAGGAACTGAACACCATCGTCCTCTACGACGAAGAAGGTGAACAAGTTGGCAAGTTTAAGTGGAACATGAAGGGAATTTACCTGGACGGCTGCATCGCTTGCCGCACACCATGGCGCTTAAGAAGAGCTAAGGCAGCAGAGGGGGCAACAGAGTGGGAATTTACCCTGACAGACGGGATTGTGAGGATAAAGATAGACGGAGAGGTGCTGTACGAGAGTATATTGAGAGCAGAATGTGCAGGTGTGTACCGCAGAGCAACCAGGTTCGCTTTCTATAACATGGCCTGTGAGAACACCTTCACTCTTATAGAAGAGATGGAGCCTGGATCCAGTGTCACCGCTGACTGCGCCGGAGCTTGTCCTCTGGATCAGTGATGTTTCAGAAACATAGACTCAACTTTTAATGACCCGGGAGGGAAAAGAGGCTTAGAGGGGATGTTCCTACTCCAATAGAAGAACTGAACGTTTAGAGCCAGGATCTTTTATTGAATTAATGAAGTTACTTTTATTGTCTGGGAGTTGTTATAATATTTCATTAATTTTGAACGGTATTTTATTTTACTTGTGGGATAACTTAAAGATTTGATGTTGTACACTTCTTTATAGTCTTTATAATTATAACATTAACAACGAATTACTGATGCTCAAATTCGTTTTCTAATAGTAATAGTTGATTAATGTAAAAAGGTGCTTTTACTGAATTATAAGAACTGTTAAAATTGAGGATCACTTTATATTCAGCTTCAAGATCTGAGAAATTATGCCCTGTTACAATAAATGCTACTGTTCGCAAGAATCATAATATTTCATTTCATCAGAAGTTTGTGTTTTTAAGCGTAACTTAACTTGAATTTTTAAATATCTTTAAAACTGTTGTGTCACTCTAAAACCTTCAACGCTAAAAAGGATGGTTTTTGCAAGGAATTTTTAAAACAAATGCCAAGAAATGTTATTGTTTGGACTGAGTAGTTGCTAATAGGTTGGATCAGACATGATCCGGCGACAGCCTGGAGCCGTTTTTCAGCTTTAAGATCTGAGAAATCACGTCCTGTTACAATAAATGTGTTTTTGAGCGTAACTTAACTTGAATTTTTAAAGATCTTTAAAACTGTTGTGTCGCTCTAAAACCTTCAACGCTAAAAATGATGGTTTTTGCAAGGAATTGTTAAAAACAAATGCCAACCGGAATGTTATTGTTTGGACTGAGTAGTTGCCGATAGGGTGGATCAGACATGATCTGGCGGCAGCCTGGAGCCGTTTTTTGCTCGACGGCAGCGTGGACTAAATTTGAGCCAGCCTTGCATAGCTTGATTTTTGCGGAGCTTTTCAACTCCTTATATGTATCAATTAACATACGCCTTTTCATACAAATTTACGTTTAAATGATCGGGGACGAACCAATCTTCAGTGTCATAAATGAAAAAAATTTTCAAAATCTAAAAAAGGCGCCCTCTTTTAAAATTTGACGGTGGTGTGGCAAATTGGCGGTGGCGCCCATGTCTGCGGTGGATAGAGTGGACAAATTATTAGTCAGCTGTGTAGCCATAAGACAATGTATTTGTATCTCTTCAAAGTGAAAGAATATGTGCACAGAGAAAAAAAAGCTCTTGCTCTTAACCTGTCTATCTATACAGATATTTATATTTCATTGTATATTTATATTTCAATTTCGCTATTTTCGCATATTTAATTTTGTTCATTCGTTCTCCCCTCTCCTTCCCGACCGTAACTTCATTAATAAAGTACTTAAAACCGGCAGCGGGCAGTAATCAGTATCATGTCTCATTTTGTGTAGCAATAAGGGGTATTTTATGTTCTAGTAAACTTAAAGCTGTCATGGTGACGATCTTCACTCTCTCTACCACCACGCCTCAAAGCCTGCTGTACAATTCTAAGGTCTTAAGTTGAATATGGGTTTGAGCATATCTTCCAGACTGGGAAGTGTTTTGGGTTTGAGTTGGGTATTAGGCAGGAAGTCTGGGATAAAAGCTATGAAATACGGGTTCAGGGCGCACTCTACAGTCTACATGTGTGTTCAAACTTTAACACTGAACTTCACTCCAAATTTACTGGTCATGATAATTGTAGTACACCGCACATTGCACATTTATAATAATATCGGCATCACGAAACAATATCTTACAAATCACTTCAGATAATCAGATAACCAGTTGACACCTTATTACTTTATTAAAATTCCTTTGACTCGAGATAATATCTGAGGAATTTGACCCTGATTTTAACCTAATTTCAGCTCTTAGAGGTGGTGCTAATCAGAAGCTGGTGGACATGTTGTTCAAGTTGAACATTCCTGAGGGTGAGACTTTCTCAGATCACGTGACACACCTCTTATCTGAACCGTCCAACTGGGCTGAAGCAGGTATTATTCTATTAAGTTGTGACTTGTGTGTTAAAGAGAATTAAAATTATTTGAGAAGAGAATTGAAGACGTGAATTAGTTCTATTTTTGTTGAACTTGAAGACATAAATGTGTTCAAGTTCAACATTGTATTCTTATTTGTGAGAGCTGAGAATTAATGACTTGCGGAGAAATGAAACTGCAAACAAGATATTTTATTGCAATTGATACTTAATTGAAAATATTTCAAATATTATCGTAGTCGATAGTATGGCTATAAACGGAACAATGTTGACCTGACATATTTAGCACGGCTTGTAGCTGGGCATGTTAAACTTAAAAGTTAAATATTAATGGTACAGAAATTTCTTGGCTGGAATTACCCTGGCGCTGAGTATCCCGGCAATAATATTTACAACATTTTTTCCTTTTCACCCTTTTGAAAAAAGGCAATAGTGAAAGGTTACGATCATGGAGGTTTTTGCTGAAAAACGTGGATTTTGGAGAACGAGATAGGTGGGTCTGAATATTATTATATGTCGTGTGTCCTTCCTTCCGTTCGTTACCATGCAACGAAAAAGTTGGGCGCGCGCGAGGATTGCTTGCGGAGATGTGATGTATAGATAGCCTGTGATCTATGAATGCGCGGCGCGACTGTGTTTTAATGTATATGATGCATGTAATGTATAATATTACTATTAGGTAATACGCCCAATTTGTACGTGGCACGCGTAGTGTATTGATGTGTACACGAGTATAGTTTACCTTTGCTGATAATTTTTTGAATTACAGATACAAGTTAAGTTCTACGGCAATTGAACTGAATTTCAAGTGTTTCCCGTATTTGATGCATAATTTATCAATATTATTATCATGAAGATTGAAGTGAGCTGATTGGAGCTTATACTTAAATTTATAGTAAATGTGAAATGGAAATCTAGCGTCCGCCAAAACGAAACAACGGGCGCAATTCTTGTTAAACCTTGCTGTGACATGTAAATGGGTTTGCTTGTATAATTAATCCCCAGGCAAAGTTTACCAAACCTCCTATATGCTTATATAACGAATACTAAAAACAATAAAATAACGAGAGAATGATCCATAATCGGAGTTATAACCCCTCGCTCTAAAATCAGGTGTGGTGACGATGACCTTCCACGCGATTGGGACCGGTGTCAACATTGCTTTCTCTTCCTATAATCCACGGGACAACTGGGTTAACTTGCAAGGTAAAGTCAACTTTTCCTAAATTAAGATTTCTTAAAATCACCCTCATTTCAAGATTTTGTTTTATAAGCCACTAAAAGTGCAGTGAGTGTAGCACTTTAACCAGGGTTGTGAAAAACGTAAATGGTAAACTCAAAAAACGTTCAAAACGTGCTTTTTTCTATTTTTTTCAAAAAACGAGAAAAAACGTTCTCATAATATAATCAAGCAGACTCACTTGAAAATTCAAAATGTAGTGGTATGACCAATCAAACTTGCCAGTTTCGTTGCAACCAGGCATGGCTCCAGCCGATTATTCTGGGGGGGGTGCAACTTGTTGCGAAGCACCAAGGAGATTCACATACAGCGCCGAAGGCGCTGCGGCAGGGGTCTGGGGGCGCAGCCCCCTTTCTGAGGGGGGTCTAGGGGGGCGAAGCTAATAACCTTACCAGAAAGTGTCTGAATTAACTTGAAGAGTTCAATAAAACATAATGTTTTGAATGTGAAAATAAAGGTAAAAATATTTTAATAACAATTAAAACATAATTGACACTGAGACTGTTCAAATTCAATTCAACACAACTCTGCGGTTACTCTCAGCAAACTTGTCAATAATGACAGCAATGTCTATAGCTTTGACAAGCTCCTTTTCGTGACTGAGAAGGGTAAGGTCGCTTATCCTCTCGTCACTGAAGACTGTAATTTGCTTATATGTGATTGTGGCCCAGGCCTCAGTGTTCGTACTTCGGCTGGTTCGTTTACTGGTAGTCAGTGACCGTCAAAACATTGTGAATTTCCGTATAAATCACAACGTTTTTAAAATAAATACGCTAAAACTTGTTAAAAAAACGTAAAAACGCTCCAATTCAAAAAAACGTAAAACACGTATTTCACAACCCTGACTTTAACATTTCGGTGCTCGTGGAAGCTTTCAACCACCTAATCCCGAATAACAACCACATTCTTCAGGGATGGTGATCACGTGCTACGCGTGGTTAGGGAACTTCATGTTCATGTTGTTCTACTTCTTAAATGTAGTTTACATGGCGGAGAAAACTTCAGATCCCGTCCAACGGAAGATCTACGGTCTGGAAGGAAGACTGGTATCCAATATAGACAATATCATGGATAGGTAAATTCGTACTTTTTGTTCGTTCTGTGACTGTCAAGAATAAGTTAAGATTCTAAACGAATCGGAGATTGAGAAACTGTCAAAAGTCCACTTATTTAATGGTGGATCTACAAATCATATGATGAATAATTTCATAACGTCTGTTAACGCCCGCCCAACCCCCCCCCCCCCCCCCCCCCTGGCCCCCCATATTTTTTAACCGATTAATCTCAGGGGTCACGGAGGTTCGTATCTGTTCATGGCAACGTTAGCAGACTCTCTGTCTTACCACAAACACACAATGTTTGTCCTCCCTCTAATGCTCCTGTGTGTACTCCTCAACAGTATCGGCTCTATCCAGGTAGTCTAGGATCCTATCTTGAAACATGGGGTACAATGTACACATTACATACCAATACTCTTACTTAAAACTCCGTAGTTAACGAGGTACTTGTCACGTGTGCTCGTGACTGACCTCACTAAGCCACTATTGAGACTTACTCCCCCTTCACCAGGCAATTGTTGAAACTATGGCAACCTCCGTTTACGGTGCCGGATTCTTCCCCTTCTCCAGAATACCCTCCTGTTTCCTTGTTGCTGCCCTCTGTGCTCTCCTATCTCAGGTAATTTTCATATTCATACTCTTTTCAAAGGGAATCGGTACTATAAAAACTTATCATTTACAATTTCACCAGTGGTTGAGAGACAAATATACTAATATATAGTACCATATTTGCCGGCATTCTCGTAATAATCCACCATCATTTACAGTAACTCCTTTAACGCCATAATTGTTCAACAATTTATTTAACATTCCATACTTTGAGGAAAGTGAGGAACTTTCATTAAGTATAACTGATTATCTATAACAGGTGTACGCTCTGAACTCTGGATTTGGATTCTTCATGTACCAGATATTTGAGAGATTTGTGTACGGCTGGCCTGTACCTATCTTATCTGCGATCATGGTCAGTATTTTTATATAGGTCAATTTAAATATCCAAACACAGGGAATATTTCCTCCTAGCATGCTCCTAAAACCGCTAGGATCCATTTGGATTTTGGCGGGTCCTCATCAAAACGCCGGTCGCTGTCACAAACCTTCATTAGAGAAGCGTGTTTAACACAGGAATATTTCCCTTACCGTCCTCTGATCTAACTGTAATTTTCTGACTGTAACTTTATTATCAGGTGATAGCAGGAACGTGGGTATACAGCATGTACCGGCTAAATAACGCCATGTTTATGTACAGCATGCACCATCTCCACTACTACTGGATGTTTGTGTGGCCTTTCATCACTCCCATGGGTTAGTTAACATCATGTGAACTGGTGGGGAAGTAATTTGTTTTTGTACGTGACAGCGAACACGTGACAACTGACAGCGAATAACAAATTTGCGCGCAGCAGCCCTTGTCACGTGTCAAAACAAAATCGCAACATCCAACCAGCTGGTTTTGAGACAAAATCATGACCACTTTCTCAGTGGGTTGAACTATTTTGTTTGCAATCAATGAAATATTACACACTAAATTCAGCAATCTCCTGCAGGAATGATTGGAATGGCAGGGTTCAGAGGGTATCTAGAATACAGCAAGCTGCTAGATAACAAGTTACCTTACCTAGGATCACAATCTAGGGATTACACTGTCTCCCCAGCAGACGCTAATAACACCGGTGAGTTTACTTTCTAGAAATACTACAACACTTTCTAAAGATGTGTCACATCTTGACGTAGAGGTACAATATTTGGTGATCTAAGTAATAAGTTTCTATGTTATTTGGTAAGTAATTAGTAAATAATTATTAGGTAATAAGTAAGTTATTAGTATGTAATTGGTTAGTAATTAATAATTAATTTCACCTCCAGTGTGCTAAACAATTTCCCCTCAGAGGTGATGAAGTTATATCTAGTAGAGGCGTACTGGCCAGAGCCCATCCTTTATGTTTCCTGTGCAATCTACATCATGTACCTTGCTCCATTCATCTTTACTTTCACTCTTGTGGGTATTGTGAACTGTATCAGAGACTTCCCTTGTAAACCTATGTGCTATGACTTCTACGTGGAACCAGAGGAGGAAGTGGAAGAGGTGGGAAATCCTTGGTTATTTAACAGATTAAATAGTTTAAAATGCGACTTTTTAATTTGTACAGTCCTCTTTCTGCACGCATTTCGAAGGTCAACAACCCCTTTACTTCAAACTTGTATAAGTTTATGCCAATTGTAATTTTATTGTTAAAAGTAAATGTTAAGCTTTAAACTCAGTGAATGTTTAAACAGTCGCTAGGTTCCAGTGTTGTTGTTCTTAAACTTATTACAGGAGAATACTGTAACAGTAGATAAAGTGTTTTCCTAAATAAGAGCCAGGAGAATACTGTAATAGTAGATAAAGTGTTTTCCTAAATAAGAGCCAAGAGAATACTGTAATAGTAGATAAAGTGTTTTCCTAAATAAGAGCCATGGTGAAGGTACCATTTACCAAACAAGATAAACTGAAAATAATATTAAATATGTACTTCACCAAATCTTCGGTCTCATGGATGCTGATTGATTACTCCTTGTTTGAAATTTAATGTTACCAGGAAGGGTTGGTGATATCAAACATTGTACAAACACCTCGACAAGCTCTGGAAGCTAATGATGATGATAATGTCAGTATCGGGGGAATGTCAGTAAAGTTCTCCGATATTGACTCTGAACTTACCCCATCTGAATCGGAGGTGAGTTGTACTATTATAATACACTTTATGAGTGATTAACTTTATGATTAATCACTACGGTCAATGTTAGTAGTTCAGGGAAGTCTTGATTGAAATTGTCGGTTCATCAGCATTTAATAGGACTAATTACCACAAAATAAACTAATTAGTTAATTAAATAATTAACATTTTACAGGCGAGTGTGTATTCAGACTACACATCCGCCTCATCGGATGAGAACCCAGATGATCCGTTTAGCGTAAAACGTAAAGCAGCAAGGCGAGGTGAGAAGGCACTGATAGCGGAAGAGAAGGAAAGGAGGAGGTTGGAGGAGGAAGAGGAGGCGAGGAAAGAGGAAGAGGAGATAATGAGGAGACTAAGGGAGGAGAGGGTTGCTGAGGGGAGACGAGGTAAGTGGTTAAGCGAGTTGTTTTATGATGAGTTAAATTGTTTACTGTCGATAACATTTGATGTTAATTTGTTTTTTAGTCACTCAAATATAAATAATTTATATAATCAATAATTGTGACTAGCTCTGTCTAACTCTAAGTGTGTCTGATGTTTACTAAATTCCAAAATATTTCAGCTACACCAACACCTGAGCCCACCCCTGAACCGACTGTGATAGAAGATAAGGATGCTGAGGCAGATGATGAGGGTGACAAATCTTGAGATCCTCTTTTCGTGCTCAATCAGTGATTGGACCTTAATCAACCAAGACTCAAATCAGTTTGCAATGGCTCGATCAACCGACATAGTTTTCAATTTGTTTGCATTGTTATTTGATATAATATTATGTGATCGGGAAGTAGAGTGATGATTTATTTTCAGGATGTAAATTTTAAAACTATTTAGTTTCTTCGCTACAAAATTACAACAAATTGAGCCATCCATGGCCCCCATTTGAATTAATTGTATCTATAATTTTAGGATCAGCAGTTGATACGAATTTATGCGATTATCAAGTATTAATTGTTCGTGTTTTAAATATATTTCTGTTTTTGGAAAACGATTGTTTTCATTTTAGATAGGGACTGTTGCAAACTAAGGAAACTAAGATAGCTAAAGTGATTAAAACCTAAAAGACTGGCCTATCCAGCTCGCCATTTTTGAGATTCGAGCAAATGGAAGATGTTCAAAGGGCGCAGGATGTTCAGCTCGACATAATACCGGTGGAACTGGAAATTATTTCATAGGTCCTAAAATGACTCCTCCAGATCGAGTCTTAACCTTAAAAGCTTAAATTTGACATAACTCACTAGTTAAAGTGGCTTTGATACGTCGGGTTAGAACCTGTAAGAGTCTTAAGACTGGCATCCCCTTGTCATACGTTGTATGACCCGCCGCGCACGAAGTGCGCGGCTCCCCCTGTAGCGTCGAAGGGGTGGGGGCCGTAGGGGTCACCACGTGATACAAGCATCCCCGCGGCCGCCAATGCCATCCAGCTCGCCATTATTGAGATTCGAGCAAATCGAGGATGTTCAAAGCACAAAGTTAAGGGTGCAGGATGTTCAGCTCGACATAATACCGGTGGAAATTATTAATATTTCGTAGGTCCTAAAATGGGCTCTTACTAATTCGCTCGCCCAGAAATTATCACGCGACTTTGGTTTTTACGGTTTTGCAGGCTGCAGCAGAACAAAACGGTTTTACATAAACCCTAATCCCATGCATTTGCAACCCAAAGTACCCTAACTGTAAGTGTAACCCCGAAGCTATCCGCATAACTGATAATCATAATCCTAACTACAACCCGAGCCCTAAACAATCGAATTCGTGTTTTACTAGCCTGCCACGTGACCAAAACAGTTTTTTGTCTTTTCACAATGCCTTTTCACAATTCACAAGAATCTTCTTAAAATTTAAGGGCGAGCGATTTAGTCGAAGCGCATAAAATGACTCCTCCAAATCCAGTCTTAAAGTTAACCTTAAATTAGAGATAACTCACTAGCTGAAGTAACTCTGATAGTGATATGTTGGTATTTAGGATTAGGACCTGTATAATAAGCGGTAGGCCTCAAGGTCACCATTCTTGAGATTCGAGCAAGTCGAGGATGTTCAAAAGTTGTATACCTCTGGCTCTTTTCAATTTTTGGATTTTAGAAACCGAAGAAATTAAGGTACGATCATAAATCGGGTGGGCGACAGTTGACCCCCGACAATATAATTTAATACAATTAACCCTAACCCTAACAGTAACTCTATAAACCCAAACCCTAACAGTAACCTTAACCCTAACCTTACCTGGGGACCTCAGGCTATCATCATCATGTTCATAAACATAGCCGAATAGAGATTCGGCGGAATGACAGACTGAGCGCCACCCAGTAAACCCTAACCATAACCCTAACGGCCTAACCCTAATCCTAACCCACCCTAACACTAACGACGGGGGGGGGGGGGCAATGGCATAAAATGGCATAAAATGGAGACTTTTTCTATGGAGAAAATGGAAAAACCCATGAGTAATTGTCCATTTTCTCCATTTTATGCCATGAATTTTGTCTTCGAAATTTCATCTTTAACACAATTTAACACCTAAATTGGACATCACAACATGTTTATTTACGCTTACTAGGGCGTAACAAGCTTATGAAAGCTCATAGTACTATAGTAGGCTACTAGATGCTTATACTAGGTTAGTAGAGGCACACTTCAGGCAAACTCATAATTACTCAAGCCTAGTGTTAAGTTATTTCTACAGGCTTCAGCAGGAGTGAGTAATAGGGGAGAGTAATATGCACTGAGAAGTGAGACCTACATCCTCGAAAGTCGAAACAAGCTCGCACTGCAAAGGGGAGGCCTACCTTCCGAGATCGCATCACCAGGGGGAAACCAAATTTGTGTATCGAGGGGTAGGTGTAGACTTCGATAAACCGAAAAACCAAAAAAATATTTTCGGCTAATAATGAAGAGGGTAGCATGAAACGTAGAGAAAAGTGGTTTTTAGAAAAACTTTGAAAAATTTTGACTTATAAAATTTTCGGCCCGAGTCATTCTCGATACGTACCTCTCGTATCGAGAGCTCCCGATTCCGAGCTCGTGTTGCAAAGGGGAGGCCTGCCTTCCGAGATCGCATTACCAGGGGGAAGAGTCGAGTCCAAAATTGTGTACCGAGCGGTAATTTTCTAAGTCAAAATTTTTCAAAGTTTTTCTGAAAAAAACTTTTCTCCACGTTTATGCTACCTTCCTTGGTAATGTTGCCTTTAGTAAATTTCAGAAAGTTTGGATGAAGAGCAAGATTTCAGTCCAAAAGAAGATCAAAATCTACAACGCACAAGTAGTCTCTATTCTACTCTACAACTGCAACTCCTGGGCTGCACCACTAGCTTCGTTGAATGAACTTGATATTGCTCATCGCAAACACCTCCGAAGAATCCTCAACATCAGATGGCCTACTGGGGTTATTTCTAATGAGGCACTCTATGCTCGTTGTTATGTCACTCCCTTGTCTGTGAGAGTCTCTAAGTTTCGATGGAGAATGTTAGGACATATCTTAAGAGGACAGGAAGACTCACCAGCATACACCTCTATGTTATTTGCTATAAATTCTGATATTTTTATGGAAGGGAGACGGGGTAGACCATGTTTAAACTTATTAGATGTTATTAGAAAAGACTTGACTAGTAGAAATCTTGATATTAGACTTAAGAATTTGACTGATTTCGAAGACCTTAGATTTTTGGCTTTAGATAGGGAGGAATGGAAGAAGTTAGAAGATGGTTGATGTTTTTGTTTTCTTTTTTATGCGTTTTGATATCTATAAGGTGCCTAGGATGCTCTTTTAAAGAGATATTTCGTACTTTGAAAGATTTACTACTACTACTACTACTACTTATGCTACCTTGTTCATTATAAGCCGAAAATATTTTTTCGGTCAAAATTTTTCAAATTGTTTCTGAAAACCGCTTTTCTCCACGTTTCATGCTACCCTGTTCATTATTTGCCGAAAATATTTTTTCGGTTTTTCGAAGTCCACACCTTCCCCTCGATTCACAATTTTGGACTAGAGGTAATGCAATCTCGGAAGGCAGGCCTCCCCTTTGCAACACGAGCTCGGAATCGGGAGCTCTCGATACAGGAGGCACGTATCGAAAATGACTCGGACCGAACATTTTCTAAGTCAACTTTTTTCAAAATTTTTCAAAGTTTTTCTAAAAACCACTTTTCTCCATGTTTCATTATTGGCCGAAAATATCTTTTTTTTAAATAATTTTTCTCGAAATTCTAAATTTTTCAGGTTTTCAATGGCATAAAATGGCATAAAATGGCATAAAATGGAGACTATTTCTATGGAGAAAATGGAAAAACCTATGAGTAATTCTCCATTTTCTCCATTTATGCCATTGGCCCCCCCCCCCCCACACTAACCCTAACCCTAACCCGATCAATTGACCTCAGTGTAATTACATGTAATGGGGGGTCAATTGTCGTACTAAGTCCTAGATTTCGCGACAATTGACCCCAGTGTAATTAAATAGGGGGTCGGTTGTCGGGGGGTCAATTGTCCGGGGGGTCAATTTTCGATGGCCGGTCAATTGTCGTACTAAACCCTAGATTTCGAGACAATTGGCCCCAGTGTAATTACATAGGGCCAGGGGGGCCGGGGGGGTCAATTGTTGCGGTACCGATAAATAAATCACACTGCCAACTGCTGGCAAGCATGACCGTCAACCAGATTATTTTTAATTTTATTGATTTCTTATAATATAGTTATTGAAATTTAAATGTGTCAGCACATCGGAACGTAGGCTAATTATATTCCCTGAGTTAGCTGTGCCAAAAATCATTGGCTTACTTTTTAGTTATCAATTAACAGATTCCGATCAAACAATCAGCCAAACTTTAGTACTTGTTATGTTCCGTAATCTCTATAATAAATACTGCTGTGGATACGATCGTCTTGAAGAGGAAGTGATACCACTCAAGAGGATGTCTCGGCACTGTCCCCCACCAACAACACAACCTTTCAGGACTAACCGATGGTACGCTTCATTGGAGACACCACCACCTGGCGTCGTGACACCATCACCAATGCCACCTCTAGGTGGTGAAGTGAGCGTCCTAACCCAGGCCTGCTTCCCTCAACCACCTGCCCCAACTTGGAATCCAATACCGGCGAATCAAGGAAGTTTCGTCTGTTTCACTCAGCAACAAAACGGGGGTTTGTCCAGTAACACCCTCCATTACAACACACCGTACCAGTATTACTACCAGCAGAGTACTTTGAGAGCAGCTGGATACTCAGAGCAAGGACGGGTTATTGGTAATCCTCTCGTCGGAGGAGGAGCACAAACACACAGACATGCAAACACACAAACATCTCTCAGTCCTGCAGCACAGCAGTTCGTGCCTAACAGTAACAGAGGGGGTATTCCTTATAACAACCCCTACTTTGATATGAATAACATGAGGTATCAGATGTCAGGGCTAGGAGGGTATGGAGGTGGCTGTCCTGGCAACCCTTTCCTTACTCCTAACCACTTCACTCAGCCTTATAATACCAACACGTTCAACCCGTATCAGAGGCAAGACAAGAAGAATAACGTACACACCAACACTACACTACACCTCACTAACAGTACTAATATGTCACGTGACCATAACAACAAGTCACGTGACCATGGCAACAAGTCACGTGACCAGGGGACGGAAACTACACTAGTGCTGGGGTCTAAGAAGAGGAATAGAGCTCAGAAACTTCCTGTTAAACGACCTACAGAACACCTGGCAGCTCCTGGAGCGGAGAGAACTGAGGAGGTAAAGCAGAGAGAAGGTACTGAGAGACAGCAGAGTGAGGGAGCTGTGGAGACTGGACAGGGAGAGGACGGGACACTGCAGCTCAATGTGGAAGAGCAGCTTGTTCTGGAGATTAAAGTTCAAAACTCAGGCGAAATGATCTTGGATTCCATGAGAGAAGGTCCAGCTGAAATGATATCTCAGGAGCAAGTGAAAAGTGACTCATCTGATAACAGTTCAACACGGAGCATATCACGAGATCTTACAAAACAGCCTACATTCGCTCAGGTCTTGTCCATGTCGATTGATCAAGCAGTGGATTCGCCCATCAGAACAACAAGCATCGAGGAAATCTTCACAGAACAACAAAACAAACCAAAAGAATCTGACGAACATGAAACCAAGGGATCACCCACAACTAAGCAAGCACAGAAACCCCTAACACCTCTGTCACCCGGACCCCTAACACCTCTAACACCTCTGTCACCTGGGTTTGAGTGGTGCGAGGAGTATGAATATGAACTTGTTGATCATATCGAGCATGAGATGGTCGAGGAGGAGGACGCTTTGGAGATTGATCTGAATTTTGAGTTAGACAGCCCTCAGTCGGTCAACTCACCTGTTTCTACCGAGTAAATGTTTTCTGGGTATTTCTTGTAGGGGTTTCAGGAATTTATTTAATTATATAGTGGCTATTCATACATTGTTTCCTAAAAATGTTTTTTAGTCGATTAAAATTTTGACACATTGTTTGAGTATTGTAAAAATAATAGTTCATGACAAACATGATTAAATAATCTAATCTTGACAGAAAATCCATCAAACCTATTTCCCGATAAAACTATAAAAAGTTAAAACAATTTTAATAAGTTAAATAAAAATCACCTATAACGCTATCACGCAGCTAAAAACAAACGAAAGATGTGCGCTACACTTCTGTTTTCAAATTTAGAGCTAACTTTTAGTCCAACATTCTATTAAGATAGCAGACATGATTAAGAGATAAGAAGTTTACTTTTTTCCCTTAGACTTAAGTCTAATTTCCAGTCTTTGCAAGCAATCTTGATAATTTTCAGATAACTCAGCTATAGAGTCATCAGAAATCTTCATCTCGCTGGCTCTAGTGTTTCCTGCTTTCTTCAGCAGTTGATGGAAATGTCGAATCTGAAAATGAAAATTAGTAGTTTTTCAGTTAACATTCTTATCTGATAACTGTTCAAAAATTCTGCTGTGATTGTATGAAAATGAGCTAACATTTTTTATGTAGGCGAGCTATTTGCCGTTACATTTCTGGTCTGAAAGGCTTCTCTCTAGAGAGAGAGAGAGAGCATGAACAATTATGTACAAACTGATAAGTTAATGACACTAATGTGCTCATATTACCTCTTCATATCTGACGAGCGTGTAAGCGTAACCCACTTTTCCTGCACGTGCAGTTCGTCCCACGCGGTGCACATAAGTCTGCACGTGCGCAGGCACATCGTAGTTGATCACATGATCTACCAAACTAATGTCCATACCACGTGCCAAGGAGTCTGAACACACTAATCTGGAAAATGGAGGTTTTGGTGATAATTAGCTGCAACACGTTTTAAGAAAATGGTAACAGCATTCTTAATCTTTAAAATTTCCTAACTTACTAAATTTTTTAAATGCAGTTATTTTTCTGTTACTCACAGTTGAATATTGCCGAGAGAAAAGTCCCTCATAACTTTATTTCTCTGTTGGACTGAGAGAGTAGATGAGTACTCTGCAACTTTAATTCCACCAAATTCCTCTGTAATTAAATGATGTAAATTATACAATTAGTTAAGTAATACAAATAAGTTTAATTTAATGAATCCACCACAGTTTAAAGGACCAGTTAACTGAAAAAAAAGTTATCCTCATATTTTGACAGATTGTGACAAATAGCAAACTAAGCAACGAGTCGAAATTCCTAAATCTCTAACTGCTGTCTAACGCGTGTAAATAGCGTTTGTATTATTTTGGCGATGACGTCACGAAGTCCCTTGCGCGCACAGAGGAGCTCGTGAGAATGTATTTTATAGGTAGAAAATGGACATAATACAATGTTTTTCCCCGAATAACTCGAAAAGTAAGTAATTTAGGGTACATGTTGCTTCATAAGTTGTATATAAACATGGCCATTCTGCACAATTTACACACATTCAAAAACCTTTAGGGCCTTCATAGCCCAATTTACCAGATATCCATAGTTTTGCATGATTTCTGGAACCGAAAATCAGTTTTTCGCCAATAACTGAAAAAGTAAGCCCTTTCAGGCATATGTTTGTTCGTAAGTCATATATTAATATGCTAATTGCGGTTCTTTTGCACCCTGTCTAAAGACTCTATCACAATCCTATCGAAAATGGGCTCAGCATCACGCCCAAAATGGTTTTTGGCGAATTTCTCGAAAAGTAACGATTTTAGGCCATGTGTTGCTCAATAACTCCTATATAAACATGCATATGCGGCTTCGTTTAAGCTTATTTTGAAGTCTCTACGACCTTCAGAAGCAAGGGGTCGGTTACCTTGGGTCAATATGGGCGTGGCCCTCCTGGGTTTTCTCCACTGTCAAAAAAATGTCTCCAAACGAAAATCGTTTATTCATACCTTCGGAAAGGTCTGTGCAAAGTTTCGTGATTATCTGAACATTTACAGGTTCATAAATGTCCATAAATGACTAGACTACACAACTTTAGAGTTAACTTTAGAGAAACTCATAAGTCATTTATCTCAAATTAAGCTGTTAGTGTCCATGATCAACCTATGGCGACAATGTTTTACGTGAAATGTAAAAATCAGGAGTAATATAAAAAGTGTATTTTTAGATTAAAGTGCTAGCTCATAGTTTTAGAATTGTATAGATTAACGTATAGGCAACACCGTAGTGCGCAATAGAAAACTCAGTTCGTGCTCCGAAACGGATTCTTTCACCGTCAGCCAAAACTGTGGCGGGAGAGGCTGTGCAACCTGTCCCCAACTGTTCAACTCCAACGAAGTTATCACTGTCAATGGTTTGGATTTAACTCTGGATTTCCGGTTGACATGTAAGGACAGCAATATAATTTATGTCGCCCAATGCCAAATTTGTAATAAACTTCCCCAGAGCCTAAAAGACGACACCTATTTCGGCCAAACGGTTTCTCCATTTCATATCAGAATGAATGGACACAGAAACAAGTTTAAAATTGATAATGAATTGTCATTTGAGAAGTCGGCACTTGCCATGCATTGTTTTCTAGCGCATAAATCTGATTTCACTATGGGAGTTTTTAAATTAGGTGTAGTAAGAAAAGTCCGACCAACAGCACTTGATAGAGAAGAGAGCATTCTTATTTCAAAATTTAGAACTAATATTTTTGGGTTAAATAGGATTGTAGTTACTCGCTGAATAATCTGTTATGCTCTGTTGTCCATTCTACCTAGCACATTGAGCTCTTTAGTAAAGTTTCAGATTAAAATCTGTTTGAATTTTCAAGTTGTTAACTTTTAAATTGCTTTCATTAGTCTAACCTAATTTTATTTTTATAGGCTAGTGATGTAAATATACGAAGAATTCACCTATATTTGTGCTGTCTTACTATGTGTCCAAACCAAATTGATAGATTAACGTTGGTCGTTTAACCATCTAACAATCGATCGTGCCGTAATATATGGCCAAAGAATAATAGGGTCTTGGAAATTCTATAGTTGTTCAGTGGGTCGATTGACTGAACACGTTTGCACTTGGTATTTAAACTTACCAGTAGTTTATTTATGTTATGTACCGACGATAATGCAATTAGGATAACAACTAGGTAAGCCGTAAGTCTAATTCAAAACACACCGCACACCGTACACTCAAATCAGTATTTGTATTTGGTAGACCGGGTACTTTGGCGGGAATTCTGTTCCCACGGCACAGTTCTGATAGAAGCTACTTCTACTAATGGTCCCAGAGGAACGGCTGTAAAGTAGCCAGACTTCTTGTCTCCTGTACTGGCTGACAGATTCGGATTAAGGGGGGGGGCCAATGGATATTTTTTTGTGAAACTTGATTTCGAGATAGTAGTTGACCAACAAACAAAGACCAGTGACCGAACTTTTGAGGGGGTCCCGGACCCCAACCGCCAAACGGTGCGCACAGGGCAGCCACGCCCATATTTGGTCCAAATTAGGCCCAATTTAGCCAAATACCCTGAACATGCCCAAAACCAAGGTTTATGGTGCTCTACTCGTAGCTAGTGGTCTCCTGAACTCGTATATGAAATTTCATCAAGATTGGACGAAAAATGACTGAGTTATGAGCCAAAAACCATATGCCCATATTTGGGCATACGCACCAAATTTGGTAGATTTCGGCCCATAAATTGGCCAAATATCAATATTTTTGAATGAAACTTACTTTATATGAAAGGTAAGCATAAACTACATATTATCTGTAAGTTATAGCTTAATATCTGTTTAAATGTGGATACTAAGGCGAAAAAACCACAAAAAATGAACTAAATTGCCCATATCTCGGTTCGCGATATTTGCGGAATTGATCTCATTAAAATTGTAACAACTCAATCAGTTTTCAAAATTTTTGCATGAAATTTTCGTAATCGACTCGAAATTGCATTTCCACCTTATTTTAAATACGGATTTTTGATTTAGGCCTCCAAAAAAATTTGGCGGCCAAATTCCAAAATTATCTCACAAAAATTCAGAATTTGGCCGCCAAATTTTTTTGGAGGCCTTAATCAAAAATCCGTATTTAAAATAAGGTGGAAATGCGATTTCGAGTCGATTCCGAAAATTTCATGCAAAAATTTTGAAATCTGATTGAGTTGTTACAATTTTAATGAGATCAATTCCGCAAATATCGCGAACCGAGATATGGGCAATTTAGTTCATTTTTTGTGGTTTTTTCGCCTTAGTATCCACATTTAAACAGATATAAAGCTATAACTTACAGATAATATGTAGTTTAGGCTTACCTTTCATATAAAGTAAGTTTCATTCAAAAATATTGATATTTGACCAATTTATGGGACGAAATCTACCAAATTTGGTGCGTATGCCCAAATATGGGCATATGGTTTTTGGCTCATAACTCAGTCATTTTTTGTCCAATCTTGATGAAATTTCATATACGAGTTCAGGAGACCACTAGCTACAAGTAGAGCACCATAAACCTTGGTTTTGGGCATGTTCAGGGTGTTTGGCTAAATTGGGCCTAATTTGGACCAAATATGGGCGTGGCTGCCATGCGCGCACCGTTTGGCGGTTGGGGTCCGGGACCCCCTCAAAAGTTCGGTCACTGGTCTTAGTTTGTTGGTCAATTGCTATCTCGAAATCAAGTTTCACAAAAAATACCCATTGGCCCCCCCCCTTAAAGTTAGAAATTTCGCTATGCTATAAATATAATTGCTCTCGGAATTGAACAAACTCGTACTTATCTAGATCCTTTCTAAATTCGTTATTATTATTAGAGTTCGTTATTATTATTAGAGTTTCATGGATTGGGGAAAAATAATCGGTACAGTCTCCCTGCTTGTGTAATTAAGCAATGAAAACAATCCAAAATTATCACATATGACATAAGTTGTAATAGCAGAAACTTTCTAACCGTACATTCACCCGCCACTGTCCAAGAACCTATATCACTGTTTAAAATCATGACGTGAGCACTGTACATCCAATCAGCTATTCCTTTAGTTAGGATGATAGCCAAAACTATAAGGATTTTGGAGAACTAGGGTAATAGTCATAATTCTAAAATTTGAGTGTTTTAATGACAACAATAAACATTTGCAACGTATTACGCTATGCCAGCGCGCACTGAGGGACTTCGTGACGTCACGAGGCCACAGCTTATTATTGCAATAACACGCGTTACACGTACGCTAGAGAGTTGGTTCTTTCGGCGATACGATTCTTTACCAGTTTGTCACAGCTGATTTAAATCTTAGCCAAATTGGAGACTACAAATTTTTCAGTTAACTGGTCCTTTAAAATAGAAAGTCATGAGACCTTTGCAACTGTTATGATGGTCTAGAATTAATGTAATGTTAATTTGTCCCTGTATTTAATAAGTGTTCCTTTACTAACCAGTTAGAATAGCAAGGCGGTGGGAAGTATCAACAGAACTTGCAAAACACAGTACGTGTTTTAGCTTATTGACAAGGTGGATTAGTACTAGGGCTTTGTCCTCTAGCTGACATCGTATCTGGTTTTGCTGTAAAAATAAATTGTAAGAAACGAGAATTTAAACTATGGTTTAAGTGCGACAAAATATTCAATCTTTCAGTAGAAAGTAGTTGCAGCAGAAAATAACTTTAAAAAATTTTAGGAGATTCCAGATTACTAACCACGAGTGTGCTAGGTAACGTGTATTTGCCCCCACAACTATACAATTTAGGTTTATACATCTGTAAAGGTGCCAGTTTGGAGGGGTCGTGAGTAACAGTAGCTGAGAATAACAACTTCTGTAAGGGCAGGGCAGGTTCAGAGAGTTGTGAGACACTGAGGGGAGTGTTGGGAGTGTAGCGGCGTGTTCGTACTACTGGCTGCATTGGGTGTCCTGGAGAGAGGATCAGGATTGTTTCATGGTCAACTGCATGACTAACTCATGCATGTTTATAAGAACATTTTCATAACTTTAAGTTTGCCTTGCCAAAATTTCAATTTTAAAAATTATGACCTTGAGTAAGATAAATAATAATATAAGAAAGAAGGGTAACTTACTGTTCGGGTCAGGGTTGTACACAGTTTTATAAAGTGAAGGTAGCCAATCTTGGTAAGTTTGATTCAACAAGGTGTCCATTTCGTCAATAACCTGGGAGGGAGCGTTAATAAAAACTGCAGTCCAACATTTATAATTGCTTTGAGGTGATATTATAAAACAGCATAAATTATAATTACGAATAAACTCTTTTTGGTTTGCATAATATGATGAAAAAGTTTAAAGAATGAGAACCTATCTAAGAAATTAGCCCACCCTTTTGGCTTCTCCCTGTAAAATACTGGTGCTTAGAAATTAAAATCTGAATAAAACATCAATAAATCACATTTCTCGGAAAGACAAACAGCGCATTTACCAAGAATCGAAGGTTTTGTAGAGTAAAGAGTTTGGTGTCCCTAAGATGATTAACGAGTCGACCAGGGGTTGTGACCGCTACATGAGCAAGACATGAACCCTGGTCTGTGAACATGTTCTTCTGTTCCGTTGGGAATGTGTCCTTTCCGGACAGCAGCACAACCTGAACATATGATCATTTGTTCAGTCTAGGAATGTTTAAATTAGATGTAATTTACTAGTATTTCACGTCCTAAAGAGTTGTTTGTTTGGACAGCTTACTGCTTACATAATATGCGCTCTTGAATTCTCAGAATTGCTCAATCTGAAGTCATAATATCATGCCGTCAGATCAATAGAACCACGTTTGCGCGCGAAATATGCGCGTGCGTATTGCTAACTTAATACAGAATAATACTGAAAACTAGCAATCATCAAGACCTCTTTCCTGCTTCTTTAGAAAGTGTACGTACGCGTAGTTTACCGGAATCGAAATAGTCACAGTTTAGCGATTAACATAAATCATTAGATTCGAGAATGATATGATTACGAGACGAAACTGAATTAAGAATGTTATCATAATCGACGAAGTTAAATCAGAACCCTCAGAATGTTCGTAGACTGACCTTAATTAGTTTGTTGAAGTTGTTAAAAACTTGTTTCACTTGATTCGCCAGATTCTTTGTAGGTACCACGACTATAGCTTGTAGCATTGGTGGTAACTTGTATAGACACTGCGTATAAATAGCAACTTTTAGAGCGTTGATAATGAAGTTTGAAGGCTTCCGATTCTACAAAAATTGTCAAATTTTGTAGGAAAGCCTTTGATTTGATATATTCAAGAGTCAAGACACTGACTTAACAAACCGAACTTCCCTACAAATATCAATTATCAGCAGTACACGTCTCCACGGGGCAAGAAGAATTATGGCAGATAAAGGAAATAGAACTAAGTTGTGTACTCAACAAACCTGAACAAGAGACAGTACATACACTAGAGTTTTACCAGAGCCCGTGGGAGCAGACACACAGATATCAGTTGGAGGAGTAAGATGTCGAGTTAGCAGGGTGGTTTTCTGACATCCAGATAGTATGTCTGGGATTATCTGACTCTGTACTGAAATAATTCACATTTTATTTCTCAATATGTCATGGAGTGCTGTTATTGTACACGCAATGAACTTATTTTGGTGTTTCATTGGTTAAAACTTTCTGAGATAAGAACTATATTACCAACCAGGGAATAAAGCGTTGATTTCCATAGACGCTAGTACATCGACAAGGGATTCATCCAGCAAACCAAAGTCTGCTAAAGTGCAAACGTTTTCAAACTCTGGGTCCACGATCTCACAATTAACAATCCAATCAGGCAGATCACGTTTAACGTGTTTCGCTTTCTGTAGAGTCTTGTGTCTACCCAAAATGGTCCATTCTTCTTCTTCTTCTTCTTTCTCTACATTTGCTTCTTCTGTTTCTTCTTCTACCTTTGATTCAACTGTATCCTCCTCAATGGTTTCGGGATAATCAGTTACAACGGCACCATTCGTTTCTTCACACACTTGTTCAGAGACAACTCCAGAACTTGTTTCTTCACTTACTTCCTTCTCCAAAACTTCGACAACACGTTCTCTCTTCTTTTTCTTTCTCTTCTTTTTAGGTGAAGTTTCGTTATCAGCAACGTCACCACTTTCTGGTTTTTCGTTTAAAGTATCGACAACAGAATTAATCATCTCCTGAGGTTTACTGATGTCCAATGATATTTCATTATCTTTATCAGCTACTTCAATATCATGTTTCTTCTTTTTCTTCTTTCGCTTCTTTTTTGGCTCAGATTCTTCACTCTCGCCATTTATGGTTCCAATTTCCTCTTCTTCCATTCTCGAACATCCTTGTTGGATAGAACTATCTTCAGCAACTTTCTTCTTTTTTCTCTTGGGTTTAACAGCTTCATTTTCGCCTGCCCCGCTTACTTTTCTTCTTTTCTTAGGATGCTTTTTAGTACCATTTGACGACAACACATCTGATAACTCGGCCACATTTTTGGTAGGCTGTTTCTGTTTGGCAGCTATTTTCTGTTTTAATGCCTCTAATCTCTGTTGTGATGTTGTCTCATTCTGTTCGACAGTGTCCTCGAATCTAGCAAAGAACATTCTGGAAAAAGCACTGATTATATCTACTGTGAATGTAACTTGTAATTTTATATGATCAATTTCTAAGATCTTATTGATAGAATTTTAAAAGGATCGCATTATCAGAGTGCAAGTGTAAGGTAATTAATGTCGCTAGAAGAAGATAACAATGATAATTTAATTACGGTTTATAATTATCCAATCTATTTGATATTTAAATCTGAGCAGTAAAAGTCACATTTATGAAAACGAACAATTATCTATCCACGGATCTAGATTACAATTTACACCAAAACACTAAAGCCAAGCAGTTAAGAGATATTCAAGACTTGATGCAACCATTTAACATTATGTTTTTAAACTCCGCTTAATTTAACTTGAAATTTGAAATCAGTATATTTTTACTTCTCATCTACTCATTTAAAATAAACTTCATGGCACAGGACGTATCACGTGACAGTAGTAATATCTGTAACAATATCCAGTTTACATTTTATCTAACTGAAATGAGAGACACTAAAGCAGAAGCAATAGAATAGAAGATCCCAGATTATGAAATATGAATTCTAAGGCATTGGTACAGTACCACAAATACATTTTCACGGGTCACAGATTCATGCATTACATTAAAGATTCATGCACCTTTAAACAAAGAATTTAAACTGTTCAATAATGTCTGCAAATTTTTTCACTTTTGAGTATGCGCACTGCACAATGTGTATGGAAAACTGTTTGTTGTTGATTTTTTTCGGCAACGATAAATTTTAACAATTCAGTATTTATCAAGAAGTAATATCTTTTAATCCTGTACACTAAAAAAGTAAATTGGGAAATCTAAATCTTTTGGGAGTTCAAACTGTAAATTTGTTGGTTAATTTCTGGATCAATTTCTAATTACACCTAATCAAATTCACGACAATTACACACATATATGAATAAATTAAATGACTAATTATAAAACAATCAAAGCATAATAAACTTTCGAGTAATGTCAGTACAAAATCTCCAAGAATTTATGAGAAAATTAAAACTTTATATTTCCCCCGATTTATCACCACGTGATTGCAGTTTTTACATTTAAACTGTTGCCGAGCACATTTCAAAAAATTCTCAATCCAAGTTCTTTTTTCCCGCTTTTTTTTCTTACAACAGAAATATTTCGTCTGAAGAGCTGGCCGGTAGTTCGTCATCCGTGTAGAAGTCGCGTCGTCCGCGTTTGTAGCGGGTTCGCACGGCCGTTCTAGAGCCGTGTGGTCCAGGCTCGACGATACTCACTGTCGAGGCAGATCTGAGGGAGAGTTGTGAGTTAGGTCACGTGATATATCAAGGTTGTTTGTTGGATTGGTGAGGTCACGTGATATTACATGTGGCAGTAAGAGGCGTACCAATAACTTTCAATAAGGGAATGAGTGAAGCAGTGAATTAAGGGACCACCCTCAGGGCTCAGGCCTCAATAGGTGCTGATCCCTGGTGAGGCAGGGTTGGGTAAAATATAAGGTAATTCTGTAGACTTATAAGAGCCCCCACCCCCTTAGAGAAACTCAGGTACGTATTCAATGTCAGAGTGTGTATGTGCTGGTGGACTGTTCTATTTTTACACTTTTCAAATTATATTAGCGTATCTTGATGACAACATTACGCAATAAATGTGGAATACAATACTGTATCTAACCCCTTATATAATATGTGATTTACCTGATTGCTTTCATGCACAAGTTAACTGTTAAGTCTAAAAGAATACATTACATAACAGGATCAAAAATGATCACATTAATCAAAAAAGTACTTTATCTGCCCCAGGAGCTGAAGCTATCATGCAAATAACGAGATAACTATTAGAAATCTGTTAACTGTCTGTACGTATTATATGTATCATGTATGTTAGTAATATTATAACTGACATTTTAAGATGACATATGCTGTAAATCATGGCGAAATAATCTGAACTAAAAGACTAAAACTCATTAAAATTTAGTAGAAATTGATACTATTCAAGACTGTGATCAAATTTGATATAATCTGTGTTTTAGGTGTATAAAGTAAGCAAGTGTAACACACTATGTTGAATTAGCTGAAACTTATGACGTTTGATACTGGACACCATTTTACAGGTCGCAGAAACATGTACATTACGATGGAGAGTTTGTATTTAATACATCACATAGATAGTGTGAAGTTCACAACATATCACTACATGCACAAGTGTCAAATAACGTTAAAACAACAAACATTCCCTGGCCCTTGCACCTTGCAAATTTCAATTAAATGTTGATCGGAGAAATTTACTTCTAAAATCAAAAACGAGATTTTATCTTATTAGCGTATTTTAGTGTAAAATCCGGATTGGATCCGGATTTAGTGATGAAGAACTAGCGAATCACAAGATCACAAGATCACAAAGTCATCGAATTTGAGACGGCAGTACGAATCCCAGGGTCAGGCTAGCACTAGATTGAATCAATATAACTAAATTAGTTATATTGTTATTAATTAACTAGCGTCCCTTGGAATTCAACTGGCAGTCTTAACCTGATCAGAGATACACAAACATGTAGTACAAGACACATACACGTCTTTTACTATACCTCAAAACTACAAGAGGTGGAACACATTTAGTTTATACACTGAAAAGGGAGAGTTGGTGTTAAAGACTTTGGTTATTGACATTGTTATTTAAAATGCTATAATATTATATTATTAATAGAATGCAAGTATACTTTACTGACCAGTTATCTTTTCAAAGAATAATATAACAATTTCATTTTATAGATTAGTCAAAGAATAATAATATAAGGTTATACGAAGAATGGGAAGTACACATTTTACGCACAAATATTTTGTAAGACACGGATTAGGTTCACAATCATGCAGTGACAGAATGAAATTGTGATTACGGAAAAATAAATTACTGAAGTTCATTGATTAGTTAATTAATATGGATTCCTTTAATTAATTGAATAAAGACAAGAGTAAGCTACTATAATAATATACTAGGTATAATAAGGTTACAAATTATCGAAATTTAAAAAAACTTAGGTATTTGCTTCATATCAATAGAACCAACGTATAAAAGATGAAACTTGTATTATTATATTTTGCTCCGAAAATCATCTTCGTGCAAGTTACACTTTCCAGTCAAATACATTTTGTGATCAGTCATGAAGCAAGTTTTGAACCAAGTACGATGTTTTATTTCAGATCAAGTGTTTTGATGATTTTATTAAAACAAGTTTGATCACCCTCTTAAAAAACAGTAAGTTTCGTAGTACTGTGAGATATGCAATCAGGCATATTACAAATCTACAGATAAATCATAAAAATTCCATCTTCTCCCACCGTGCTTCTTGTGCTATTATAGTTCACACTTCACATCAAATACCCAAAGACAATGCAATCACTGCTGCACGCACATCAGTGACCTATAGGACCTGCAGCTCCAGCTTCCTGCGTGAAAGAAACGCCTTATCTACACCTCTTACTGAGATGCCTATCACTCCTGTACTTGCGAACCTGTACTCACGAACTGTACTTGCCCCCAAGTCTACAGCTGAACCAGTAAGCTCCCCGTCGCTGCACAACATACGTAGATCTTCTCTGTCACTATCTGGCCTCTCGCAACTCAACAGCATGGACAGCTCCCCAGTTGGATCTCCTCTGGCATCAAGCTCCCCCTCCGTGACCAGCAGTAAAACTTCAGTGTCTGATAGTGAGACATTCCCTCTCAGTTTGGAAGCCATGTTAGAAGCCATTGACTCATTGAAAGAAAAAACGGTGAAAAACGAACTTTCTCGTCATGGCAGCTCAAACTCAGGGTCCCTCATTGACTGTAAGAAACGACTCAAGAAAGCTGTGAAAGCATGCCACAAACGCCTTAGCGTGCTTCTTCTTGAGCCTCCTTCCACCTCAGCTGAGCCTGATTGCGTCACCCACTCCCTCCAAACCATGGAAAACTCTGTTATTGATCTTCAAGCTAAAATTAGTCTGCAACACACCACCCTGCAAACTCTTGTATTGTGTTCTGACGATAAATCCAGTCAAAAAGGTAGTACCAGCTCCCCTAATTTGTCCAACGAACTGAACACTGTGGACAAGAGACTCGAGAAGCTTGAAGAAATCATGAGCAGCATCAACTCAAAACAGCAAGACACTGCTACCTCCCTCAAAGCCTTTGAAGTTAATATCACTGCTATTAAGAGCGAGGTTGAGGACTCTAAGGCCTGCCTGCAGTCTCTCCAGCTCAAAGACCATACAAATCCCTCAAACAAAAGGCCCTTGCCCCACTCTGCTCAAAACCAGAACCGTGGAAGGTCAAATGGCACACTCCCTGACTCTCGTAGAAAAACCAGAAAACCAAGAAAAGTTCTCCTCCTTCATGACTCCCAGATGAACGGATTTATAGCAGAGTCTTTCTCCTCTGGGTTTAAGGTTGAAAAAAAGAAAGTAGGTTCCTATTCTGACCTAAACGGAACACACATGAGAGATGTGATTAAACAACCAGAGGTTGACTGTTACATTCTTCAGCTTGGAGTAAATGATTACAGATATAAAGACCGTCCTGTAAATAAAGCAGTCGAGGATGCAAAAAAAGCCATTGACACACTCCTCTCTAGCTCCAGTGCTAAGATTGTCGTCTCCCTGCCCACTCCAACTCCTGGCCCATTAAGTGATTTAACAAAACAATTTGTCTCGGAAATCACCCAATTTGTCTCCACGCAAAGAGAACTAAGTGACTTACACCGGCGCCTCTTCACTGTAAACAACACTGGAAACTTTTCCCGTGCCATCTCTGCTGCCGGGTCATCCCAAGACTCTCCTAACCCACTGAAGGAAGACCAACTTCATGTCTCAGAGTATGGTCTAAAAAAACTTTGTGTTAACATAAAACTTGGCCTTTATCGTGCCTTTGGTATGAGATCCCATAGAATGCAGCCCTCTACTGCAGAGCGCTAGAATAACCCTAAAATTCAAAAACAAACAAGCCTCACGAGATCAAGTCGCTGTAATGTCCTGGAACATTCAGGACAGTACAGGAGACGGATCTAACAAATTTGAAAATAACGAATTTCTGACAATCCTCAAACAAGCAAACATTCTATGTCTCCAAGAAACTAAGAAGCAGGTTAAAATCGAAGGATACCTTTCCTTTAATAGCAACCGCAAAAATTCTCGCTCAGGAGGGGTCTGCATTCTTGCTGAAAATGATTTAAGAAAAGGTGTTTCCTGTGTTCCTTGTAGTGAATCTGACGATATTATTGTTGTTAAACTTGACAAAAACTTTTTTAAGCTTGATTTTGATCTATTTTTAGTATGTTATTATATTAGCCCTGCATATTCGTCCTATGTCAAGAAATATCCAGACTATACTGCTAAGACCTTCTCTGCTCTTGACACCCTCTGTATTAGACTACGTCAAAAAGGAGAAGTTATCATGTGTGGCGATGCAAATGCAAGAACTGGAAAACTCCCAGACTATATCCTCTCTTGTAATGCACCTGCCATGCATGACATCTATAATGATATTGGACTTGAACATGACATTGAAGAACCCAGAAACAACTCTGACCTGACTATATCTGAACCCCACTGCCAACATTTTCTTGACATGGTTATTAATAACCAACTGAAAATTCTTAATGGGCGTACCCTCGGGGACACCACTGGAAAAATGACCTGTCACAAATATAATGGAAGCAGTGTGGTCGATTATTTTGTAATCACCTCGTGGGCAAGAGATCATGTAAACTCTCTTCAAGTTAAAGAGTTTACATCATACTCTGACCACTGTCCCTTAGTCTTGAAACTCACCACATTCGAACCATTTGTTGCCAACTTCCAGCTCCCAGACTTTTCTAATTTACCGTGTGGCTATAAGTGGGACAACAACAACTCCCACTTACTATTTAAAGCAGCCCTCAACTCGCCCGAAATTGTCCATAACCTGGAAAACATTGTAGCAAACGAATTTAGCGGCACCTTGGAGGGCAATAATGAACTGAACGATGCAATTACTAACTGTCTCCACAGTGCTGCTGATATAGCATTAAAAGTGAAAAAACCTCCTAAAAATTCTGCCCAAAAGAAATGGTTTGATCCACAAGTCAACTCCTCGAGACGCAACCTAAATAGGCTAGCAAACCGGCTAGGTAGTAAACACTGCAACAACATTCTCAGACGAGAATATTATAAGCAACGCAATAAGCACAGCAATCTTGTTAACAGTAAGAAATTATCCTTTCTTAGGAAGCTAAATGAAGCTATTGAAGAGGGTCATATTCTTGACTGGAAAAAATTTAAAAGGCTAAAACAAGAACATGACACTAGTCCCCTACTAGACAAATTCGATCTGGCTAGCTTTCATGATTTCTTTGCTTCCCTCTATAATAAACCAGACCAGGAACCAGATCTCACTCACCACAATCACAGACATTACCCTGAACCACCAGATCTGGACATCCTAAACAAGCCCATATCTGATTCTGAACTTACTTCCGCAATCAAAAAGCTCAAAAAGGGTAAAAGTTGCTCAAATGACTTGATCTCAAACGAGATGCTTCAGAGCCTAACTCCGCTTTGTTTCCAAGTCATCCTCAAAACATTCAACCACTCTCTGGTCTCAGGCTACTATCCATGGCATACCAGTATTATCACTCCTATCTATAAATCAGGCAACCCCTTCAGCCCAGACAATTACAGAGCAATAGCAGTTGGCAGTTGTATGGGTAAGCTGTTCTCTAGCATCTTACTTGAACGTCTGTTACACTTCAAAAAGCTCTACTGTCCTGACCCAAAAGAACAGCTTGGATTTTCGAAAGGTGCCCAAACTAACGATCACGTTTTCACCCTCAAGACAGTAATTGACAAATACACAAAAGCTAAAAAGGCTCGTCTTTATGCATGCTTTGTTGATCTAAGAAAGGCCTTTGACACTGTATGTAGGGACCTCCTTCTGCACAAAATTACATGCCTTGGAATAACCGGTAACTTCTTCAACTGCCTAAGTGATATGTACAAAAACTCTATTGCCCATATAAAAATTTCCAAACTCTTGTCGCCTAAAATTGATATTGGCAAAGGAACGGAGCAAGGACACCCCCTATCGCCAGACCTCTTTAAAATCTACATTAATGACTTTTCATCTCTCCTGAAATCTGTTGGTGACTATCCAGTTCTTGCTGACGTTCTGATATCACATCTGCTGTGGGCTGACGATCTTGTCCTTCTTGCTCTAAGTCCCGAGGCCTTGCAAGTCAATATCAACATTCTATTTGATTTCTGTAACTCCATGGGCCTTGAAGTAAATATTAAGAAAACTAAGATTGTAATATTCAGCCCTCCCAAACGAAAGCAGTCCTATGAAACATTCACATTGGGAGGTCAGCCCATCCAGCACACCGATAAATACTGCTATCTTGGCATAATATTCCACAGAAATGGATCGTTTACAGCAGCAAATACTGAGCTGAGGGCCAAGGCTCTCCGTGCTCTCTATGGCCTCAAAGGCAAAATAGTTAAGGATGCCCTCTCACACCGTGCCCTTAATATTCTATTTGACTCCTTAATAAAACCAATCCTGCTTTATGGCTGTCAAGTCTTATGCCCCCACTCAAAAACCATGAGATACCTTTCAAAAATAGATGACAAAGCCAACCCCCAGCATACCTTGAAGTACATTGCACAAGACCACTATGAAAAATTCCACCTAAAGTTTATCAAGTGGTCTTTGTCTGTACATTCAAAAGCATCAAATATAGGTTGCTGGGGCGAAAGCGGGCGCCACCCTCTATTCTTTGAAGCCTGCAAACTTGCAATAGATTACTATAGTCGCCTTGAAAACACTGAAAACGAACTACTCTGTGCTGCATTTCACGAACAAATCATGTTGGGACTTCCTTGGTATACCAACATCTCAAAGCTTCTCACCAAATACAACTTCACCCCCTCATCTTCCTCAAAATCTAAGCTCTCCACCCAAATCAGTCATAACATGAGGGAAGAATTCGTGAATACCTGGAAAGCTGCCAAGGCCTCCTCGCCAAAACTAGAATTCTATAACTTAATTAAACATGATTTCGAACCAGAGGCATACCTACGAATTATCAAAATACCGGATGTTCGAAAAAGTCTGACAAGGTTTCGTATCAGCTGCCACAACCTCTACATCGAAAGGGGCAGATACGAAACCCCCCTTGTACCAAGAGAAGAACGTTGGTGCACCTACTGCTTTTTCAGCAAAGGGCTCAAGCCTATTGAGGACGAAAGTCACGTATTGATTGACTGTTTGCTCTACTCCTCAGTTAGGGAAAAATTCAATTTCCATCCCCTAAACATTACTGACCTAGTCGGTTTGCTCTCCAACAAAACTCTAGATCCTACCACACTCACTGCCACAGCAAGAGCAATCCATTCAATTCTCTCTGTGAACGAAAATTATACAGCCTACTATAAGAGCCCAGATTTCCACTCAAATACTGGCAAGTGCATAATGCTATAGGACCTTAAAATAAGATTGAACCATACAAACTCGATTTATCTATTTTTCTAAAACTAGCATTATATAACATTTCTAAATTATCCCTACACACTTGTAAATAATTAGAATTGTGTAACTTAAATTATTTCAGAATTACAACTATTGTGTACTCAATAAAGTAATTATCACTTTTGTATCCTTGTATCCTTGTATCCTTGTATCCATCATACACCTCACTGTACACATGCAGTGATCACACAGGTATTAATCACACGTTTATCACACATCTATTACAATCACACCTTGTTGATCACACATCTCACTTACCAGTAAAACAAGTGTCAGGTATAACCGCAGCACTTTGTCACATCATGTGTGTGATGTTAACATGAAAGGAGCGTGTGAGTGATTGTGTGACTCGGAGTGAAATGTAGTTAATTTAAAATTATTAATCACATAATTTCATTATTTTATTTAGCGTATTATTTTATTTAGCGTATTATTTATATTTATATTATTATGTAGGGTGATGTTAAAAGTATGTTGATAGCAAGAGATATCATCATGAGGTTGATCATGCCTTTAAAGTAAGATCAGATATGGGCAATTCCACGTAGTGTAATTCACACTTTGCACAAAATTTAGCTTTTAATTGCATGCTAATTGTAGGCTAACATTAGCAGCATGATAATATAAAGTCAGAATGAAGTTTAAACGTTTGTGATGATGTGGCAACAAAAGTTTAATGTCTATCTCTTATACTTTTTATGTGAGCAGCATTTTAAAAAGTAGGCGTTATTCACAGGCATAATTTGGTGTTTTAGAAATCTTGCCTTAAAATTGCAATTTGTGCCCCAGTGTAATAGCAGAAGTTACAATAAGGCTTGATCACAATAAAGTACACATTTTTTCAACTTCCTATGTCCTTCCTAACATAAATTTGTGGAATGTGTGTAGTACAGGGACAATATAGGAAGTAAACGTTATTCACATTTGGACGTAGTGTAACTCACACTCTGCCCAGATGCTCTGTTTGTGCGTTGTATTGATGTTTGCTTGTTCTTAATTTGGTTGCTGCTATTGTAAAATGGTGAAGTAGACTGACTATTACTGATTTTAAATTAAATTGACTACTAATTGGTCCAATGAGATACTGGTAATGGTGTAGATTACACCCTACTGCCATACCACAGTGGTCCGGGCGCCCATGCGAGGTAGACATAAGACATAGGCATGACTAAGGGGTATGATATACCACATAACATGTATTCTAGGAGTATCTTGCCCCCAAATAACGTTTAAAAAGGTTTTTTATTTTAGAGTGATTAAATGGATATTTGACCTCAAATATTAATTTTACCTCATTTTTTGTCAAAAATTGCATTTTTTGGCAATTTTTTGCCATTTTTTAGGACAAACTACAAAAATAAGTTGCAAATTAACTTTGGTAAGCATCTATAAGTTGATCTATCTGTAAGTATAGGACATTTAGAGTAATCCTAGAAAAATGTACAGTGTAATATTGTGGCATGATTTTTTTATGAGCTCTCAAAGGTTCATGATTAGACAGAAATTGGGTGAAATTTATAACTTTTTGAATCCATTTTTAGACCATTTTATCACTTATATCAATTCTAAACTACTTCTTTGTGTTTTTAATGTGGAGAGGTCATCAAGAGCTTTAATTTGATGCCTCTATACATGGTTTTTGATGAAAATTAGAATTTTTTGGGGCAAAAACACTGCTCTTTTGAGCAAAATTTAGTTACGTGACAAGAAAATAAGGTAATTTTAGCCCCAAATTGCTGATATTTTCTGAAAATAAGCCTTTAAATTACTCAAATAAGTGTTCCCAGACCTAACAATGACTATAAAATACTTTCAAATCAATTTTGATGTCCTAATCCATTTAAAAATCATTATTTTTGCGATTTAAGGTCTAAAAGTGGCACATTTTGCCCTGGCGGAACCCTAATTTCGATTAAATTACCAACACTTTCAGGCAGTTGTTGAAAATAGGTCCCTGGAATTGCCCTGGAAGTATTGAAAGTACAATTTATTTCACAACAAAGCATTTAAACCACTTGTATTATTAATTTTCCGCTGTGTAAATTACACTACCAAGCTGTGAATTACGCTACCTGTGAATCACACTACCCCTACTTTTTGCACTTCCAGTGTGACAAAACGAATGAAATTTTCTGACCTTTATAGATGACTAAAGTTGCCGTTAGAGAGAGAGTTACGAATCAAACAGACTTATAGTGTAGCCACAGTAAAACATTTTTCACTATTTGGTAGCGTTATTCACACGCGAAGAGGAAAAATTTGATCATAAGACACTCAAAAAGTAAAGAAATTTGGCCCTCAAAATTAGGCTGGCCTTCTATCTGAAGCCCACTAGGTTTATATACAGGATAAAATATTGAATTCTACGATTAATAAAGCTCCCTAAAATCTTTCGGAAAATAACTGGATATTCACACTAAAGATACACTAAATTTAAGCCAACTTTGACGCGCTACAGTTTTTAAACTAGGCTAGATATCAACAAACGGTTTTTTGCCCCTGAAAATATGGTCAAATATCTTTAAGATTTTCTATCTCTCCCAAACCACCTCCAAACTTTATTATTTTGTTACTGGTTACCGTTATCGTGGAATTGCCCATATAGTAACTTAAGATGTGTAGAGATTAGCAGAGGAGATGTTTGTGAGATGCAATACTGTCTGAATCATTCAAATAAAATGAGGCGTGAAAAGTTGGAATACAGCAATAACAATAAGAATATATTGAGAGTATTAAAACTTTAAAACGCTTGCCTGGTAAGATTGGTAACGTTAGCGAGCTGAGGCGAGAAGTCTAGATTAGAGTTTGATCTGAGTTTGGTGGTGGACTCACGCGTGGCCTGCATCACGTGATCAAACCGTGAGAAGAGACTGTCAAGCTGTTTGTCTTCGTCGGGGGACGTGCACGCCGCGCGGGATATGGGACTAGGGTCGGAGGCTGGGGATGTTAGGTTAATCTGGAGATATTTTTTTTTTATCTCACACTTATTTTACTTCGGAGTATTCCAACAGCCACATTGTTACACAAGTGTAACTAGCCAATTACAGGAAGCCGAAGGAAAAAATATATCAGATAAGAAAATGTAATATTATAGGATAGATATTATATTTGAGTATTTTGAATACTGTTCATGGCACTCAGCCAGCTGGATTCAAACAAGAATTCAAGAATCAATAAAATACTTTTCGTTCTTTTATCAATTTCAGTGTTCACAAGCTTGGAACATGATAAAGGAAGTTTTAAAGCTTTTTCAGATGATAAGCCGCAAAATTGTAATCTTATCTAATTCTACATAATGTTATTTAAATATAAAGTTGCTCTACAAATTCTAAGATAACCCCGGCTCCCTCACGTACAACTTACCAGTTGGGGTAGTAGCGTCAATAGAAGCGGCTACTTGTGATCCTCTGTCATTATTAGGTATGGGATGAGTCACGTGATTAGGTGAAGTCACGTGGTTTGATGACGGACTCACGTGATGACCATTACGCTGTTTTGAGGGAATGTTTGGTACTGGTATCAGCAGCATGTCTCTGAGGAGATTGTTGAGATTAATTGAGTTTGATAAGATATATTTTAAGAATGAAACAGTTCAGTTCAGGCAAGATGAGTTTGCAGTCTGAATAGTTTGCAACATACATATTATATACGACTCTAGAAATTTTAATATTATTGGATCACGCCCCACTGTGACATTGTCAGCTGCATCATTATTTATCCTAATTAATCCCATATGTATAGTAATTAACCCCAGCTGACATATATAATGACTTACAGTATTAAAAGCAGCCTAAAAAAGGATATCAAATTTAATATGAAAGTCATTATATATTTTTTCTTTTTGTACGTGTCTTCAAAGTACATTTAAATTACACTCCAATTTTGGTAGAAGACAGTAACCCCCACTTCTGAATGAAATGGTAGTACAGTCACAGAGGCCACTAAACAGGTAATAAATTAAGTAATTAAGTAATTATGTAATTAAGTAATTACCTGAGGAATAGTTGATCCTGGTACCACATCTTATTAACTGTTTTAATGAGTTCCGTGGGCACTGAATATTTTACTGAAATACCTGAAAAAGTTTTTATTAATTTACTACTCATCATTGCGTCACATTAGTGCGTCACATCATTTTTCGTACACCCCCCCCCCCCCCCCCTCCTGCACCTCGACATTACCCTCATCGCTAGCAGGGGTTAACCATCTTAATTATAAAGTTTGAATTGCTAAGCAAAACTAAACAAAAAGTAAGTTATCGGACTCAGCACCCGAAGGTCTACAAGTTAAAGTGTAATGTATTTATAATCACTATAAATAGCCTTTATAAACACTATAAATACTTCAATTTATATCTTAGAGATTTAACTTAACCACTTTGTGGCGTCGTATATAAAATATATAATATAGATAGATCTCAGATGTATAAATTGTACGAAACATAGTACGCTAAAGATAAAACAGTTCTGAGAGTACTGATCGGTCACTAATCGGTCACTAATCGGTCACTACTCGGTTAGTCACTATCATAAACCCAAGATCAATTACACTGTATATTTGCACTTCAAAGCCTTTTATCGCGTGAGTTTGATCCACTATCCTAGTAATACTCACCCACAATTACACATACTATGTAAATAACATCCAAACTCACAATAACCAATTAACTAATTATGTAATTATAATTACCACCAGTAAGTACCTTGAAGTGTGTCAGTGGGGGATATCTTGTGTTGTAAGCACTTCTCTGGACTAGTTAGCCACTTTGTGTCTACTGTGTTAACTGCTCCGTACCTGTGGTTGGGTTTAGCTGCTCTCAGCTCGTTACTTTCTGAAGCTGAAATTAGTGTAGACTGTTATAGTGGTGTAGTGTGGACTGTAATGTATTGTGGACTGTAATGTATTATATAATAGTAATATACAATCTACATTACATTAGGCGCTCAGTGCTGTACAGACATAATACATTTCTGCAGACATAATGTTCAAAAAAATTACAGAAAAAGGTCACCGCTTTTGAATTTGGATTGAAACTGGACAATGAGTATGAAATTGATGTAGTGACAGTGTCAAAACTTCAGAGTTCAAATAAACGGGTTTCAAGACATTTAAATATTTCTGGTCATCGCAACTGCGACGTTAAGTCACGAGATAAAACAATCGTAGTTTGTTTTTAATATCAAGCGAGATCACCATAGTAACGAACCTCCAAAGAGAGATCTGGACTCCTCCGCCACGCTCCCGAACAGTGAGTCAGATGTTGTGGAGAACATTCTGGAACCGGTATTTAATGTGGAATACAGTAACAAGACTCTGCTAACAATCCTTCAAGTGTAGATCTGCTGTACAGAGGGAGGCGGCGTTTAGCGTGTGTTGCTGAGATAACTTGTTCTCAGTTAGCAGGACTGTATCAAACAGACTTCTTCATTTGCTATGAAGAGAAGGGTTAGACGTTATGATCACACAGTTATAGGAAACAATGTTTGAAAATTGTTTATTGAAAACCAAACTGAAATAAAAACTACAAATGTGCGATCTCTGATCAAATGTAGTATTATTAAACCTGTATTATTGAACCTGTAAAAACAAGACACAGATGTGAACTTGAACAGATAATAAAATACCAGGAGCACAATATCCTTGCTAGGATAAGAGAATACACACATGCTGTGACTGATTAAGTTAATTGGATCTAGCATCTGGCTCGGAAACCGCACGATAGTAATTCGAGACACTTTCTCAATCCCGGTAATCATGATGCGGAAGGACAACAGGGGAGGGTGATAACATATTATCTGTAATTTGTATGTGGGGTACAAACTGCTTGGCTAGGGGCTTATCTTATCTTATTTCACAAATATGCAGACTTATATAATATAATATTATATAAATATTATGTTATCGTAAATGTGACAATTTTTTGGAAATGCAGACGTTTAATGATAAATATGGGACTCAAGAATTAAAAAAAGAAAACTGGTAACAGAAACTAAGTACTAGAGTAAAACGAATAGGTGAGAGTCTGTAAGAATTTGTATATAATATAAACCAAATAACAACTTAACTTTTGATAGACATCAAATTTATTAAATTGTAATTAGTGCAGGCTTTGTGCCCAACCCAAAAACATTGCAGACCCAAAGTGTGAGAATCCCATATAATTATAACTCTTTTTTAAGTGTTTCGCCCATTTAAAAACTAACAATACCACACGTGCCACCAGTGAATCCAGATAAACAATTCAGGTATATCATTTCCTTCATTTCTAAATACATACTGTCTGCAACGTGGTTGTAATTAGGAGTCATTACCAGTGACGAGTTAATTGGCCCAGCTATACCAAAAATACACCGATTACATAGCCAAGCGACTGTACTGTGTACACAGAATTTTTGTACTGTGAGCACAGATTTTTGTAAGGATATTTTTATATCTGAGAGCGATAACTTCAGAAAAAAAGGACATAGGCGGAGAATTCGAAATTTAATTTCTATTGAATCAACAACCAGGAAGTCACTATCCAGATGTTAGATAACGTTACCAAACTTCCTAACACGACCGTGAAGATAAAGAACACATTGTTGTTTACAAATATTCAGGAAATTTGGTGTGTGTTTGCAGACAGTACATCCTTGTTCTTTGTTTAGATAGTGAAACACATCAGATTGTGAATAATGACGGCATTCGTGTAGTTTCTCTTCAAAGCTTTATTATATACCCCAAGCAATAAACCCAAATAAAATAGGAGCTTTTACAAATAGCGTTTTAACCTTTTGAACACCCACTTCTATATTCTATAACTACAACTTCCTTTTTAAAAAGCCTTCAAACCACTAATGATTTGATCTACAATTCATGACCAGATGAATTTTTATCAAAAAAGCATCTGAAAATTTATCAAACAAATTTACAAATACAACATAAATTAATAGAATCTATCATTTATAAATATATGCATTACTCAACCCAGCACCCCTGAGTGCCCCTAGCTCTTCCGTTGCACAATACAAGCATTAAGCAGTCCTGCGTCCGCGATACTGGAGCCCTCTTCAGACAGTACTTTGTTGGGAAATGTAGTCATGAGAGCGTACGCGGTGGGCGCGCCCGGGCGAGACAGGTTGATAAAGTTCCTGATGTCCCCGACCGTGTGTGTGTGGTTAAACTTTGAGACTAGTCGCGTACCGTCTGATAGTCGAATCTGGGAAATGAGGTCGGGGTTTTAGAATTATATTATGTACGGGTATATGCCTCACAGAATGGCCAAAAAAAAGAAAGGTCTCTCAAAATCACAAAACACACTTTATTCCAGTTTTTATCTCATAAGAAGCTAAGTTGACACTCATATTTTTCTTCCCGGGGGTTGATTTAATCTCATAACCATTTTTTCTTTGAGAAAAATTGGCCGGAGAATCTTCCTCCAAAAAAACATGCCTCACAGAATGGCCAAATCTGAACTTCTATAATTTTTTGATGGAGATACTTTTTAAATTTCTATCACCACACGTTGTTAGAAAACCTATTAAGGAATGGGGTAATAACCTAAAACTCACAAAAAAACTGAGCTGTGAAAAATTATTTCACAAACAAAAAAAAATGCCTCACAAAATGGCCAAAAAAAAATGAAAACGAGAAAATTTTATTTTTCTAAAACCTTTGGCTCTTGTTTCAGGCATGCTGCTGGTATAAATATGCCTTGTTAACACCCCCATATAGGTGAAATTTCTTAGAACTGAATAAAAAGGGCATAATTTCCTACACCAAAAATGGCCATTTTGTTCATATTCCCTGATTTCATGATTTATAACCTTCATTCGGCTGTAAAAACACTCCATCTGGGGTGTTATTGTATGATAAATAGCTTGTGAATACTTTAGACCATCAAAACTAACATGTCTACATCAATAAAAGGAGTTTTAAATTTTGGCCATTTTGTGAGGCATATTTTGGCCATTTTGTGAGGTGTGTAGCCATTTTAGCGTTTTTTTCTTCCTATATTGAACAATGTTCGTTTTTTTTTGATGAATACTATTCTTTAAACATCTTCTGTCATACTGGTGCCAGAAGTTCTCACCAAAATGCAAACTTAGTTCAAAAATTTGAGAACAAATTTTGTGAGGCATATTTTGGCCATTTTGTGAGGCGTGTATCCATTTTAGCATTTTTTTCTTCCGACATTGAACAATGTTCGTTTTGTTTGATGAATACTATTCTTTGAACATCTTCTGTCATACTGGTGCCAGAAGTTCTCACCAAAATGCAAACTTAGTTCAAAAATTTGAAAACAAATTTTCAGTGCTCAAAATTTCTACATAAACAGTAATATTTATGCCAGAAAATGTGGTCCTAGTTAATGATTTCACCACAGGAAGTGTTGCCAGAAGACTTTTGTTTCATATGGTATCCACAAAACCTACCGGTCTTATACAAAAAATTAGTTACAAAAACATTTACAAATTTGGCCATTCTGTGAGGCTAGCCATTCTGTGAGGCATATACCCGTAGGTGGATATCTTGCTGATTGGTAGAAAATCTCCAAATCAAGATGTGTCACCTCTAACAGTGCAGAGACACCATGATGGTACGTATGAAAAGGATTGTATTCACCAAGGACTGTAACTGTTACAGTGTTATAGAAACAAGTTTCCGATTTGTACTAAAGAATGAACCTGTATGGAAGTAACGGGGGCAGATTGGTCCACATCAACAGAAGCAGCAGTGGGTGGGTTAGTGGGAGCGCGTGGGGAGGGGCCCGAGTTTGTTACCACTTCAGGAACTGGACTTCCTAACTTGAATCCACTTCCTGAGAAGAGGGGGTTTTATTAAGATAAGGACAGCTTTATGTTTAAATTATCAACTTATCATTATTATATTACATATAGTTTTGTTACGTGTTGAAAAACAGAGCTCCCTTATCTCTGTTTAATCGGAAATTTTAACTGCCACTGCACTGCTACTGCACGGTGTTTGTACTTTACCTTTGTACATCTATACAAGTACAAATACACAATTGCAATGGAAAAGTCTGCTCATAACTCTGCAAAGAATCTTCTCGTCAACGGTTTATGTAAAGCTTGTTCGAATGATGAGGTTGTCAAAAGTACCGACATTGTACAGTGTTTTTGGTGTAAGGACAGTTTTCATGCTATCAACTGTGATGAAACTTGCAATGTCAGTGCGCCCACGGTTTTTACTGCTCACCTGTCTCATGCTGTGAACAACACTTCATCTTATGCTAAACGATTTGGTCGCTTTCTATTTATCTGTAATGATTGTAGTACTGCTGAGGAGGAAAAGAGGGCTGCTACTACCGTAGATCGGGTAGGATTGTTAGATAATAAAATAGATGCCATAAATTTGGAGTTCAGGGAAGAGATGTCTGAACTTAAAACCTTGCTGAAGGAACAACTGTCCCAGAAACCTGAGAGAGCTCAAGAGCGATCCTCAGATCAGGTTGATTTTATGAAACAATTTGCTGAACAGTTTTCATCTTTAAAAGAAGACCTCACGAAAAATATCAATGATGTTATTGACAATAAAGTAAACACTGTTGTAACAAAATCCGGTACTGTTTCTCATACAAAGGACGTTCTCTATTCCAGTTTGTTTACCGACTCAAACAGTTCCACACCATCTGCTCAACCACCACATGTTCCAATTGCTCCAACACGTACACAACCTTCATCACCCGAGATTCTAATTCTGTCCCCGAAAGAAGAACAATCGGTAAATGCTGCAACAATGACGAATGTGAAAAAATTTGCTACTGATAAATTAAAGAGCAGTCAAGTAGTATTTCTCAGATGTAATGAAAACAACAAGAAAGTTTCAATTGGCTTCCCTAATGCTGAAATTCGTGATAAGGCTACTTCACTTCTCAATGATGGAAATACCTTAGATTCGTATGGATATCAGTCTAAGAATGGCAACAAAATGCTGCCAAAAGTTACTATTTATGGTGTTTCTTCTGAAGTTCTTGACGATATAGACACTACAGCTGTAGGGAATGATGCCGATAAACTTAGGGATCTTGAAAAGAACCACTTAGTCGCCCAAATTGTGGAGAAAAACTCGTCCATCAAAGATTTGTATGAAGCAGGGCACACTATCAGTATTGTCTATCTCAATAAGATAAAACGTTTCACCAACGATAAGCAGGAACGCATAGAGCTCACTATTGGAATCAAACTATCACCATCTGTCTATAGAGTCCTCTTTAACCAACAACAAGGATCTCTCTATTTAGGTAGTCGCAGATACAAGGTAACTGATCGCTTCTACATCAAACAGTGTTATCATTGTCAAATGATTGGACACACTTCTGTTGACTGTAATGAAGTCAAAACAAATAAACATCCTACCTGCATGTACTGTATGGGAAGTCACCGGTCTTCAGCATGTCAATTTAAGCAGAAGAAGGACAAACATGCCTGTGCTCGATGTTTGGCTTCAACACACACTAATGATGCCGAGAATTCAAGAACACATAATGCGGCAGCTTACGATTGTCCTGTGTTGGTAAGAGAAACTAAACGTATTTCTGCTAACACTGACTTTATTTCAAAAAACGTAATGTGAAATTAGGTGCTAATCGACAGAAATCACAGCTTTCTATTGGTTGTTTCAACGCAAGGTCTCTATGCAACAAAACTTGTGGCGTACTAGAAATGCTTAAAGATAACTCGATTTCTATCTGTTGTATCACGGAAACTTGGCTAAAAACTAATGATCGGGCAAAGTTTGCCGAAATCCGTGATTTTGGGTTCGATATTATCAGTGCCCCTCGAAGAGGTAGGGGAGGTGGTGTTGGTTTTCTCTTCAACCCCAAAATGATATCGCCTGTACGCAATGATGTTACTAAATATTCATCTTTTGAAGTACTTGAATGTGTCATTAAAACTGCTGATGAGATTATCAGGCTATGTGTAGTTTATCGCAGCACTCAGGCCAAAGCGAAATATGATGAAACAAAAATATCTAAGTTTATGGATGACTTTGATGGATACCTGGACAATCTTCTGCTTAAAACTGGATCTCCAATTATTTGTGGTGACTTTAATTTCCATGTTGAAGACATATACAATAATGTTGCCCAGAACTTTATTGCTCTTTGTGAGAGTAAAGGCTTCCTTCAGCATGTCGACTCTCCTACTCACATCTCCGGCGGGACACTGGACTTGTTATTTACTCTAGGCTGTGTAAGTGACTCATTGTCTGTAACAGATATGATGGTAGAGACAAGCACTGGTACCAGCTCTGATCACTATCTAGTAAGTTTTCAGGTCCCAGTCACATTCGATCTTCATAAAGCTCGTACATATGAAGAAAAAGATGTCAGAGAGCTAAGCAAAATTGACATCGATAAGTTCAGGGAAGATCTGTTTTGTTCAGAGCTTAACCTTTCTGAATATCAATCCTTAGACGAGGCTGTGAACCTTTATCAAAATGTCCTTGAACAGGTGCTAGACAAACATGCCCCACTTATTACGAAACGATTTACTGCTGAAAAGTCTGATTTTTGGGATAATAAATGTCAAATTGCTGTCAGAGAGAGGAGAAGGGCAAAACGAAAAGCCAAAAAGTATCCAGAGAATGATGAGTTTAAAACTACTCATTTTGAAAAATGTGTTGACGCAGAAATCACTATCAATCGAGCTAGGGATGGCTACTATGATAAACAGCTCAGTTCTTGCAAAGGAGACTCGAAAGGGACCTATTAAGTCATAAATAAACTTTTAGATAAGGAATATGGCTCCAACAAATTGCCAAATGGTGAAGATATCGAAGTGGCTGCCAAACTCAAGACTTTCTTCGATCAAAAAGTAAAGACCATTTACTCTAATATTGAGAAGGAAATTCAAAATACTTCCCTAAACGGTCAAGGTACCAAAGACTCTACTTCGATAGATAATGCAAAGTGTAGACTTAATCAGTTTAAGGAAGTCTCATTATCAGACCTTGAAACCTTAATTAAGAGTCTTCCCAATAAATCAAGCGTACTCGATGTCATACCAATGTGGCTCTTCAAGAACTGCTTACCCGAGCTTCTCCCAATCATCCATTACATCGTGAATGAATCACTAAGAGTCGGAAAGTTTCCATCTGCCCTAAAAGAAGCATCTATTAGGCCTGGACTCAAGAACCTACCTTAGATGTTGATGAGCTGAAAAACTATCGACCGATTAGCAATCTAACTTATCTGTCCAAAATACTAGAAAAAGTAGTTCATTGCCAATTAAATGAATATGCTGATGTCAACAACCTGTTTTCCCCATATCAATCAGGCTATAGAAAATTCCATAGTTGTGAAACTGCAGTTACCAAAATACATAATGATATTCTAATGATGATTGACAGCAAATCGAATGTTGTGCTTCTACTCTTAGATCTATCAGCTGCTTTCGACACCATAAACCATAACCTTCTTCTTACGAAACTCAAGAATGCGTATGGTATTACAGAACTAGCACTCAGCTGGTTACAGTGTTACCTTAATAATCGCACATTCAAGGTTAAAGTAAAAAAAAGCCACATCTTCTGAAGGCTATCTGGATATTGGTGTACCTCAAGGATCCATTTTAGGACCACTACTGTTCATATTGTATACCAGAGATCTTGAAGAAATTGTCACAAAATATGGTTTCTCGATACATTTGTATGCAGATGACACACAGGTGTACTTTACTTTTGATGTTCACAGTTCTAATCCTGATTTAACGGCTGTGAAAAATTGCTTTCTGGAGATAAAGCAATGGATGACAGTTAACTTCCTAAAACTAAATGATGAAAAAACAGAGTTCATTGATATAGGACCATATGTCAGCCCAATCCAGACAATGGATTTAGGAGACCTCTCAATCTGCCCTGTTAGCAAGGCCAAGAACCTGGGATTCCTTTTCGATCACCAAATGAATCTGGACTCTCAAATAAATGCTGTCTCCAAAGTATGTTATTTGAATCAAAGGGACTTAGCAAGAATCGGTTCGAAGCTTTCCCATGACCTAAAAGTTCAGTTAGTTCACTCCAATATCCTCTGTTTCATAGACTACTGCAACTCAGTCTATTATGGAATAACAGAAAAGAATCTTCATAAGCTACAAAAGATACAGAACAATGCTGCTAGATTTATCTTTGGTCTTTACGGAAAAAAGATACGTGAACCTATCATGCCTTACCTCAAAAAGCTCCACTTTCTGCCTGTTCGGTTCAGAATTAAGTTCAAAATATCACTTCTGGTCTTCAAGTGTCTTAATAACATAGCCCCTCAGTACTTACAAGGACACGTCAATCTAAGGGAAGTACGAAGACAAAGTTCCAGACTAGATGATGACTTTTATTTGTTGAAAGTTCCTCCTGCTCCTCATTTCAGACGAACAGATGCTGCATTTATGTTTTGTGGACCAAAAATTTGGAATGAACTACCCTACTCAGTGAGATCATTATCATCTGTAGAATGTTTTTAAAATGCCCTAAAGACGTTTTATTTCCAACTAGCTTTTGATAATATTTCTAATATTTGTCCATAATGTCTGAACTGATATGAAAGTGCATAATTTTGGTAACTTCATACAAATATTTGTTCATAAAATCTGAACTGTTTAAAAAGTCCATAATCTTGCTATTTCAACACTAAGTCTCGCTTGAATGACTTTAATGTACATCTTTGTTGGGTATATTTTAATGTCGAAGCGTGTAATAAATGTTAGAATTTATTTATTTATTATTTACATAAACTAATAACCATCACTGCCACTGTCCTGAGGAAATGTGATGGATAATATATTCACATTGTGCGTCCTGAGTCTCGGACTGTGGTTCTGAATTACGTGTTCAGATAGTGTAACGAACTTAAGATAATCTTCAATAATTATTAATAATCTACCCAACCCACAGTAACTACACATTGATTGGAGCAGCAATTACTTACCATCAACTGCCTGTGCCTCGCCTGTTTGTTTGTTAGATTAATAGATAGGCAAGGGAACAGATAAATTTAAGTCAGTCCTTGACCTACTATTATATTGGAGTCCACTAAATTCACACAAATCACAACCAAAATTAAATAAAAATACCAGAGAAAGGTCTAAGGATGGGTTTAGGAGGAACAAACTCCTCAGTTCTCTTGTCCACCATGTTAACATGGACTTCAGCTCCTTGTGCCTGTCTCACTAACTCTTGTGGGATTTCACTGAGATTGTACACATGTTACGAAGGTTCCAACGAAAGTAGGGAAGTTGTAATAGAAGAGTACATTGTCGTGGAGTTTGGGAGATTGAGTTAAAAGTTACAACATTTACCCCTCGTAAACATATCAAAAATATATAAAAGTTTATAAGCCATGCAAATGAAATTACGGAAGCTTCAACAAAATAGTCGAATGTGCGAGATTAACGATTTAGTTAATATTGTTAACAATATTTACCCCCTCATGACAGCACTAAGAAACTCCTTGTTAGCAGGATCCTCCATCTTGCGGAGAGGACCATCGTCCACAGTGAAGCCTCCTTTCCAAAACGTTATAGTGCTTGTTTGTTCCTGAGCTGGAGCTGCTCTTCGCGCTGGGGATGACTTTGTGAAACTGCTGCTAAAGTGAATCACACAACTTTTAACTAAAAATGTTTTGTCTGGCTGGTCTGGCAAATCATGGTAAGAAAGGTCAACAAGCAGTGAATATAATATTATGGTGTTTGTTTGAGAACTGCAAAATGTTCAACAAAATGAACTATTAGGGACAGAACTGAATTGTACTGTGGCATCTAAATCTTACCAGAAGGTATGGGTTCTGAAGTTGAAGAAGAGTCGCCAAGTTTAAAACCACCCCCACCAAACGCTCCAAAGTTCTGCCCACGACTCGGTTTTCCTTGATCTTCTACAACTTCTGCACCATGCCTGTGATAGTTATAATTTTTAGTGAATATTGGACTAAACTGGGAGGAAGCTCTGAAGACTCATTTTTTTTGCCTGATGATCTTTATAATTAGCTATACTTACTCTTTGGCAGAGTTAAAAACATCTGTAACTTTGATTTTGTCTTTGTTCCCTTTAATGAGTTGTCCACTGTGTTCACTACCTCCCGCGTAATGTTTGTTAGTTTCATCATCTGAAGAGTCATCATCTCCAGTGTTTAATGATGCTATTGTGCCAAACCTGGATAAATAAGAGATTAACCTTTTTAATAATTTAAACAAAAAAACAATTGATTGGTGTTTTAAAATAATAAAATTATCCTTTCTCATCACTAACATACACCGAATTGATTAAAAATTGGAGCAAATTCATATAATATTCATTTATGAATAATTTGTGCAGAGATAAAAATAAAAATACCTTGGTGGATCTCGTGATGAGGGTTGACCTCCAGAGGCAATTTCTCTCAAAGTAGGAGGTTGACTACCAGTGCTAGTACCGGTAGTTACAGGAGGCTGACTAGCAGTGGTTGTTGGGGGAGCAGGTATTTCTTGGACCTCATCTTGAGCATCCATACCAGATGGATCCAAAAACGTGTTCAATGCAGACTGAAATTGTAGACTTTCTTGCAACAAAAGATGGAAAACTTTAGAATGATACACATTAGCATGTAAAAATTTACAAAAGTATTGACGATGAATCAATAATTAATTAGAAAATTTTACATCACCACCATTTGAAACACTAACCTCAAGCTCCCAATTAGATGCAGCAAGGAAGAATTTTGCTCTTTCAGGGTCACAGTCAGCAATGCCACAGAACGTTGATACCAACTCGTCTTGATCCATCACAAACTAAATTGAATGGGCAATAAAAAACAGTTTGAAAAAATGAAAATATTTTTACTAGAAACAAAATAGTATACAATATAATGTAGATTTATAAATGTCTGATTTTTTTATAAATAGAATGACGTGTTGCATCCTCATTACAACATTGTCATCACTGGATATGTTCATGAAAATTCATAAATTTCCATTTAAAAGAATGATCTGTAGTATTTGTACAGCAATACTAAGGTAATGGGACCACTGCGGACCCTCTACCGGCCAAACCTTGTTAACTAAGCCGCAGTCAAGGTTTGTAGTGGACATGATGTCGGAGAAGATAAAGGCCTTGCTCAGCAATGGGTAGGGTTTGCAGTTTAGCTAGCCATGTGGCACGCTGCAACTAAATTATTCTCTAATAATTTTCAAGACTTGATGTCAATTTATAATCGGAGAATAAGACGATCTATGAAGGAGCAACCTTACATTCTACTACATTACATTCTACTACCTATTACTCATTTCTCAAGATGTCCACTACATGATGTTGCTCTACCACTTTGACTTATGTCCCTTAAGCGCTTTTAACTACCGTTCACCAAACCTTGACTGCGGCTTTGTTAACAAGGTTTGGCCGGTAGAGGGTCTGCAGTAGTCCCATTACCTTAGTATTGCTGTACAACTACTACAGAAGTAATCCCGATAACACTCAACCTCTGCCTGATCCAGAGGATGTCATCATTTTACCTTCACACAGACATTGAACGCTGTAAGAAGATGACGTTTGCTTTTTCTCAGGTAAGGGCGCCAACATGCAACGTTACACCACTGCAGCTGCACTGGTAACACTCAATTTTGAGAGAAATATTGATATTCTTTCATATATGTTATCAGAAGGTTATGGTTTCAAGTCCTGCTTGAGCATTCAATTCTAAAGTGCGCTAAAGACGTCATTAGATCTAAACCTAATGTCTAGAATCAGGTAGCCCTGTCAGTTCTAGGATGTTGTAGGTGCATCTTTCAGTAAAAATTCAAGGGGAACAACAGCCAAGTATTAATTCAATAAGTGTGCTAGCAAATTTTTGAAACTGTTAAATATCATAATCGCTTTCGAAACAATCCATCTGATCAAGCTGCCCTTTTTAACGAATATTTTTATGAGCAGTTTTCTCAAGAGAGCGATTATGGCATTGACATAGATTTTCGTGATGATTGTTTTTCCAGTCTTGTGTTTAATAGAGAAGATGTTCTGTTTCGATACTTAAAAAGTTAAATCCTAACAAGGCCCCTGGCCCTGATGGGATTCATGGGAAAGTCCTCAAAAACTGTGCCCAAAGCCTTGCATACCCACTTAGTGTTTTATTTAACCTGTCTTTCTCAAGCGGATGCATACCCCCTGATTGGAAGCTGGCACTTGTAGTACCAGTGCACAAAAGGGGTGATAAGTCTTCGGTTGAGAACTACAGGCCTATCTCGTTAACATCTCTTGTAATGAAAGTCTTTGAAAGGTGCATAAAGACTGCATTATACGCTGCATGTTCTGATCTGTTGGATGACCGACAACACGGTTTTGTTAATGAACGTTCATGCACAACCCAAATGATACCTTTCACAGACAATCTTGCACTTGCACTGAACAACAGGTCCAGGACTGATATAATATATTTTGATTTTGCGAAAGCTTTTGATAGCGTTTCGCATGACCTCATTTTAAGTAAATTAAAGAATATTTTTAAAGTCGATGGACTAATGCTTAAATTTATCAAGTCCTATCTTGAGGGGCGACAACAACAAGTAGTGATAGGAGGCCAAACGTCTTCCTCTCTACCAGTTCGGTCTGGTGTCCCTCAAGGTTCTATACTTGGCCCTCTATTGTTTGTAATATTTATAAATGACATGTTCTCCTGTGTCTCTGAAGGCACCAATATCGCCCTTTATGCAGATGACACTAAAATTTGGAGGGAGATTCTTGGTTACCCTGACCATCACATAATCCAAAATGACATCAATAGATTGTATGATTGGTCAGTGAGAAATCGAATGAAGTTCCATCCACAAAAGTGCAAAGCCCTCTCTGTGTCCCTGCAAAGAAACGTGCTGGATAACTTGCCATTCAATACCTTCTTCTATAAACTTTCTGGAAGTGATATTGACTTTGTGCCCTCTCAGTCAGATTTAGGAGTCGCAATAAACTCCAGGTTTAATTGGGGTGCACAATGTAAAGCGCTTGTTTCCAAAGCTAACTCCAGACTTGGACTACTTAAGAGAACATGTCATTTCACTACTGATAAAAGGCAGAAAAGATCGTTCTATTTGGCGTTAATTAGGTCTATATTTGAACATTGTTCTGTCATATGGTCCCCTCAATCTGCAACTCATCTTCAACAGTTTGTTGCTATCCAAAAGAGGGCTATTAAATGGATCAATGGTGAACCCTACTCCAGTTATAATGACGATAAACTTGCTACAGAGCAAAAGAAGCTAAATATTCTCCCTGTCATGCAGAAGTTTATTTATAACGATCTTATGACCTTCTATAAAATAGTGAATAGCATAATCCCAGTTTCGCTTCCTACCTATATAGTCCTATGCCGTCCAGAGGGCACCCGATACACTAGGCACAATGCTCAAATAATTGATAGGTCGGATACTTCAACTTACATGAGTACCACTGTGCCCTGCTCGGATGCCTTCCGAAATAGCTTCTTTCATAGATCTATGCTGAAATGGAATAGTCTACCAGTATGTATCCGGCAGTCAGAGCGGATTTCTACTTTTAAGGCCAATCTGATCAAGTACCTCTGGGCTGCCGATACAGTCTGGCCAGACTAGCTCATCAGTCTTATGTTTCTCTGAAATGTGTTTTTGTTGGTTACAATTCTGCCGTCCAATTTCCTATCCGCTTGACCTATTCTTTTTTCTTCTATCAGTTGTGACGGAATTGTAATGAACAAAACCCATATATAATTATTTAGGATATGTTTGATTTTTTTGTTATTGTATGTAATTCAAATTTGGTAGACGGCCCCAACGTTAATGTGGCTCTTGCTATGTGTTGGTTCAGCCGAATTAATTATTATGTAATCAAGTTTATTTTTTTCTTTTAGTTAGTTGTCATCCGGCCAAACATTAAGCAACTTATATTGCAGTTCCATTTATCAATTAGTATACCAAAATATGTGATATGTCATTGTAATTTTGCATGGCTGAAATGTAACGCTTGATTTATATATATAATAATTAATTGAATTTTCAAATAAAAAAAAAGAATTGTGAACAAAGTATAACCAGAATATCATGGCTGAAGGTTAAATAAGGGGCAGCCCACAAATCAATGATAAATGTGTAGGATACAAGGATACAAGGATACAAGGATACAAAAGTGATAATTATTTTATTGAATTCACAATAGTTATAATTCTGAAATAATTTAAGGTTACACAATTCTAGTTATTTACAAATGTGTAGGGATAAAATAGAAATGTTTTATAATACTATTTTTGAGGTCCTATAGCATTATGCATTGGCCAGTATTTGAGTGGAAATCTGGGCTCTTATAGTAGGCTGTAAAATTTTCGTTCACAGAGAGAATTGAATGGATTGCTCTTGCTGTGGCAGTAAATTTTGTAGGGTCTAGTGTTTTATCGGATAGCAAACCGGCTAGGTCAGTAATATTTTTGGGATGGAAGTTAAATTTTTCTCTAACTGAGGAGTAGAGTAAACAGTCAGTTAGAACATGAATTTCGTCCTCAATAGGCCTAAGCCCCTTGCTGAAAAAGCAAAAAGTGCACCATCGATGTTCTCTTGGTACTAGGGGGGTTTCGTAACGGCCCCTCTCAATGTAAAGATTGTGGCAGCTAATACGAAACCTTGTTAAGCTTTTCCGAGCATCGGGGATCTTGACCACTCCTAAGTATGTTTCTGGTTCAAAATCATGTTTAATTTGATTGTAGAATTCTAATTTAGGTGAGGATGCCTTGGCAGATTTCCAGGTATCCACAAATTCTTCCCTCATGTTGTGACTGATTTGGGTAGAGCTTGGATTTTGAAGAGGATGAGTGGGGGAAGTTATATTTGGTGAGAAGATTAGAGATGTTGGTGTACCAAGGAAGGCCCAGCATAATCTGCTCGTGAAATGCAGCGGAGAGAAGTTCATTTTCAGTGCTTTCAAGGCGACTATAGAAATCTATTGCAAGTTTGCAGGCTTCAAAGAAGAGGGGGTGGCGCCCACTTTCGCCCCAGCAGCCTATATTTGATGCTTTTGAATGGACAGACAAGGACCACTTGATAAACTTAAGGTGGAATCTTTCATAGTGGTCTTGTGAGATGTACCTGAGAGTATGCTGGGGGTTGGCTTTGCTATCTGTTTTGGAGAGGTATCTCATGGTTTTTGAGTGAGGACATAAGATTTGGCAGCCATAGAGCAGTATCGGTTTTATTAGAGAGTCAAATAGAATGTTTAGGGAACGGTGAGAGAGGGCATCTTTGACGATATTGCCTTTGAGGCCATAGAAAGCACGGAGAGCCTTGGCCCTCAGTTCAGTATTTGCTGCTGTAAAAGATCCATTTCTGTGGAATATAATGCCAAGATAGCAGTATTTTTCGGTGTGTTGGATGGGCTGGCCTCCCAAAATGAATGTTTCATAGGATTGTTTTCTTTTAGGAGGGCAGAATATGATAATCTTGGTTTTTTTAATGTTTACTTCAAGGCCCATAGAGTTACAGAAGTCGAATAGGATGTTTATATTGTCTTGCAAGGCCTTGGGACTTAGGGCAAGTAGGACAAGATCGTCAGCCCAGAGCAGATGTGATATTAGGACGTCAGCTAGAATAGGATAATCACCAACAGATTTCAGGAGAGATGACAAGTCGTTGATATAGATTTTAAAAAGGTCCGGTGATAGGGGGTGTCCCTGCTCTGTTCCTTTTCCAATGTCAATATTAGGGGACAAGAGTTTGGAGATTTTTATATGAGCTATTGAGTTTCTATACATATCACTTAGGCAATTGAAGAAGTTTCCAGTTATTCCAAGGCATGTGATTTTGTGCAGAAGGAGGTCCCTACATACAGTGTCAAGTATAGAAACCTCAGTATATATTGTAAAATTTACAGAAAATCTATTCAAACTAAGATTAATGCTTTTAATTAAATGATTCTGCTTTACTGTTTACGATCGGCAATTATCCAATATATCGATGGGTGCAATTCAAAAAAAATAAGACAAATGTATTTTAATCCCAAAACGAATAGTTTTAAAATTGCGCGAACAATATTTTTATGAGTTTGCCTTCTTGCATGGCTCTTTTAAGTACTTGGTGAGGTATAAAACGTGTGTCAACGTATCAAAATTGTTTAATTAAAAAAATTACAAATTTGTCGCAAAAAAATGCGTGTTTGTGCTTGGTGCTGCGTGGCCATTTTAAAAATATTTTGGTACATTTGTATATTTGTTGCAAAAATTTATAAAAAATCGGACAAAAATGTTTAAAAACTTTTTTCGAAACAAAACTAGTAAGTTTACAACGTACCAGGACGCGCGCCGAGTTGGACTCAGATATGGAACAAATATTTTACAAGTATTACCCGTTAACAAATACAATATATTTATTTAAAATTTATCAAAACATTTTATTATTTTAAAAACCTAATCAAACTTCTCGCAGTGAAATAAAAATTCGCTTTTTGCCACATATGCATGAGGATGGCAAAAGCCACAATATGGCCGCGCGGCGGGCCCACACCTCGGTGCAAAATAAATATGATTTAATTTGTTTAATAAAATATTGACTATCAAATTGAAACTTTTTGAGAGTTTGAATTACATGCCATAGTAAAATGATTGAGTAAAATGAATATTTATTTGTAAATCAGTCATTTTAAAACTTTTTGAGTTTAATTATACCACATCGTTTTAGCGTTTCCGAGATTTTAAGAACTATAAATTTAATCATTGTCCATTGTTAATGGACTAGCCCGGCGCGCGCTACTTCGTAGCACTTGGCTCGAGAAGAAAGCGGCGCGCGCAACTTCGAAGAAATGTATACGAGTTACATCCGTCAATATAAATCATAAATTAACATATTTGTTGTGCTTTTGTGCTTTTTATTTGTGCCAGCAAAATAAAGATAATCAGTAGTGAATTTTTTTGAAACCCATATAATATTGACAATTTATCAGCATAACTTTTTCAAATTCAACTTTGCTTTGGAATAACTATTTTAAAGTTACGACTGCATACCTTGATGATACGAATCGTAAATTTATGTTGTTTACAGTGCACTCCAAGTTCTGGAGTCCAATGTATGTGTGATGAAGGGGAACCTTCACATTTAATAATATATCTCAGTTTTCCTGACTATGCTGAGTTGAATGGTGGGGCTGCATAGACCTAGTGTAGTGGAGTCTTTAGCTAATAGCTTACCATTGCGATCGATGGCACAAGCGACTCTAACCTGCACTCATACGCCTCTAATGGCAAATTATCAATGCCACTGAACTACCAGACCCTGTTATGGTATATTTAAGTACAATATAGTGTAGATATATTGGAGGGGTATCTAAGAATGATTCTTGATCTTAGGGCTGGCCCCTCTTGATTTTACATTCAATCACCTTCTTCTGATCATTCGAGTCAACGAACAAAACATCGCATAATTACACAAATGTGCAACCCCATATTGGTCAAACAGATCCTTAGCTATCTCCCTAGGCTAGGTGGCGAAAGGATTCGAACCCTGGACCTTCTGCACAGAAAGCTGAAGCAGTGGTGTAACGAAGGTCCCGCTGACCCTGCTGTGCGCCATTTTAGGGGGGGGGGGGGGGGCATGCAAATCTATGATTTAAACCAATAGAAACTAGCCATTTTGATTGATTTTCCTTTAACAGGGAGCTGGTTATGCTAAACAGCTAAGGAATATTAGAACTTAGCCATCACTCTGATCAATATGTTTCACTGTTCATTACTTCAGATGAAAATGGTTTAACATAGTAATTGGTAGTAACTTCGATGCGTCAGTGGGAGAAGAACCCAATACCTTGACTTCATTAAGCAACAATAAGGGCATTGTATTTCCTCAATCAAACACAAAATTCCAGCCAATTTAGTATTTATGGAAGGTAAGTTAGCAAGAGCTCAAGAGATGCCCATTTTTTTCACAAGGTGGTTTAGTGCCCTCACTGCTACTGAGCAGTAGTGTGGCCTGAGCATTGTCTTCCTCAACTTATTGGGATTAAATTATGCATACTAACTCACGGGTCCGTATTGCCTGATTTAAGTTACAGAAAAGCCAGCGGATGGCTAGCGGGCGCCTAACGGAGATGCACTAAAATGCAGCATTCTGTTACTGTTACTGTTTAGTCCTGGACGGCTTTAATCCGTAACCGGGTTTCTCCTCCGGAGTAGGACCTCAAAATTTCTTACTGGTAGAGGTTCGCCGTTCGGCCTCCCTTCTAAGGGAATCCACGGAGATAGGTGCGAATAATGGGCTATCTGGATAAGCCTTCAAGCCCTCGCGGATCCTTAAGTATCGTCCTTTCTGTACTGGCTGTGCACATGAGGACTTCCCAGCGACCTGTGGGGCAATATGTCTGCCACTGAAATCAAAGCAACAGAGCAGAATTATTATTATAAGACATAATCGTCCCGAGAATTAATGGCCAGATGTACGGGCAGCCAACTGACCATTTTCCTCGTGAGAGTCATTCCATACTAATCATGAGTTGGGACAGTGAAAGACCCTCAGAAATTCTGTCCCACCTCCTAAAGTTTCTGCGAGGAATTGTTTGGGTTTAGTTTTGTGGTTATTATTTGATCGAGTTATAATTGGACGTGCTTGTGAGAGGTTCACAGGATTTCAGTGTCGTGGGGAGGCTGGAAGATCTCTCTTTTTGGATAGGGTTTCAGATTTTGTGAAGAATTTGATTATGTTTTTAGTAATGTGTTTTTTTGTGTCTTTATTTTTTAGTAGTTCTTCTAATGTGAGAATGGGTTTTCCAAAGGTGTATTGTCTTTCTTTTGTGAAGGCTGCACAGTCTAGTAGGATGTGCATAGCAGTTTCATTTTCCTCAGCGTCTTTACAGTAGTCACATTTTGGGCTGTCTGCAAGTTTTGCTCGGAAGGCATGGTTGTTGAGGTTGTTGTGTCCAGTTAAGATTTTAGTGAGAATTGCTGTGTCTTGTTTGTCTAGATGTTTAATTGCCTTTGTTAGCCAATTGTGTAAGGTTTTCATGGCAAGTTTTGATTGTAATGTGTTTAATGATCGTTTTGTCAAGTGCTTTGATAGCGGCTTGAGAGTCGGAGTAAATGATTATGTTTTTGTTTTGTGTGTCTTTATCTAGTAAGTTAAGGGCCAGTCTGTTAATGGCAAAGGTTTCTGCTTGGAATACAGAGTTTGAGTTATTCAGCTTGCCGTGTTTCCGAATAACCTGAGCCTTCCCTTGGGTCAATGATATGAAAGTCAAATCCTGTGTTGTCTTTTTCATCCTTGGAGCCATCTGTGTATCCTATTATGACATCCTGGTTTTGTGTTACTTTAAAGTTAGATCTAGTTTGGCTTTGCAGATCATAAAAAATCACATTTTCTCCCATAACTTCAAAGGGAAGCATTTTAGGGTGTTTTGTTGTTCATAACTCATATATGAATGTGCTAGTTGCGGTTATTTTGCGTCCTTCAAAAAGTCGCTAGCACATTCCTATCAAAATTTTAGAAAAATCAGTAAATATGAAAAACGAAAAATGTGCCTAAATTTGTTGTTTGGCTTTGAAGTCCAATAGATCTGAAGATAAATGAGGAAAAACATTTTTGAGGTTATCAAAAACTGTGCCAGAATTCAGAGAACAAGTTCATGTTAACCATCAAATCAATCCGATCTTCACTGACTGACTTTTTGGTTAAAATAAGTCTGAAAAGGACAATTTCAACTTTTTGACTTTTTTAAACTTTAAAACTTTATAACACACCAGCCTTTTTAGATACGATATCAAGATTTTACACACACCTTGAAATAGATGTGAATAGACGGCGAGCAAAATTTCAACCCGATACCGCAAGAAATGATTAACTTATATATATAGCCTCTCCACGAAACAAATTGTGTTTTTCCGAAAATTCCACTCTAACCAGGAAGTGCTCGATTACAAAAATGGGTATTCTCAAAATAATTTTATTTGATGTGGAAACAGTGCGCTAGATGGTCACTGAACTGCCTATGAGGTCATTTGGGTTGGACGGCACAAACCACTGTTTTGGTGTATGCCCCCTTAAGGCACTTGAAGACCAGAAGAGCTATTTTGAACTTGATTCTGAACTAGACTGAGTTGCAGTAATCTAAGAAACAGAGTTGGAGCGAACTGAACTTTAAGGTCATGGCAAAATATCATATTATAATTTGTTACATGATATATTGATAAGTTGTTGAAACCATTTTAAGTAACAATCTAAGTGAATTGGTGATTGCCTATATTACGTTATTACAGGGAAGGATGGCTTTCTTACGGATGAAGATACTGTCTGTAGAGGTCGACCAGGCCACCAAAGCATCCTACAGTGACTTTGAGCCTTATTGTATGGTAAACATCAAGGAAAAAGTTGAGGCATCGGTTTCTTCTGCTCATGGAAAACTTTTCACGTGAGTTTTAAACCGTTTGATTATCTAGCCTTGAAATATTTTGAATGACCCTTTCCGAAAAAACATTTAACAATCATTTCACTTTTTTTGGGTGCTATTTATTACAATCTAACCCAAACTAGAATAAAAAATGTTAAATCTAATATCGTAAGAAGGCTTTTGATGCCTTCTGTTATTGCCACTGCACTCTTAAAATTATTTAGAAGAAAGTTAGATTTTAATGATTCGACTGATACCACATACATCAAAGTACTATCTATATTATATATATATAATATTATAGTACATGTCAAGTTTTAATTCAAGCAACGAGACATTTAATATTTGGTACCTATGCAAGCCCTTTAAAGACCTTTCATATTATTTATAATGGAGATATTATAAATCGAACTCTTTCAGCCAAAGAAAACCGTCCTTTTATCCCGAGCACAATGAGTTCGATTCTCATTTACACAAAGGAAGGCTGATGCAGGTATTAATACCTACCTATATTGATAAATAGATAAAGTAGCATTTTATGATATAAAATACCATCACAATGGTGGCTAATGTCACTATGATATCAGAATCCTTTGATAAATAAGAGTTAAATATATTTTTCAATTCTCCATTATAGATTAGTCCTTATTAGATAATCTGTTTTGAGAGCGGCTCTTACATACAAAACAGTTATTAATACTTCTAAATATGTCCCCCGTAGTCTCGTACAAGCTAAATTTTAAACTTGTTCACTTCAAACTTTCATATCTGATATGATTATAGAAAATTACCACCTAACTATAATCAACACAAGGTAATCGTGCTGAACAGTAATGATGGGTATATGATCGGCGAGACCCAAACTTTGCTTCGTAACCTGGCCAAGGAGACCAACAATGGACTCGAACCTGCTATATTATCAGTAAGTTGAGCCGTTTGCTTTATAAATTTTAAAGATTATTAGTTAATACTAGTCAGATTTTCCTTTTACAAAAGGAAAATCTGACTACTAAAAAAACCTGGTGCACTACTATTTGTGTGTCTCATTGAAGGAGATATGATCTCGAAAGTTCGAAAATCTGATCTCGAAAGTTTGAAGATCTGATCTCGAAAGATTGAAGATCTGATCTCGAAAGTGGGAAGGTTTTCAATGAGTCTTGATTAGATTCGAATGAGCATAAACGTTGTTTAAACATGCATTACTAACCAACATTTAACGAGAGGCCTACTCTGAATTTAAATCTCACTCAAAATTTATTCGGATTAACCGAGTTGACCAAACTTGTGTGCAAACTTCGTATTTTTTCTTATCATTATGACGTCATAAGTATCATGTTACATCACAATTCTTACATTTTTAACATTCTTTACCTACAAGTGGGTTGGGTGTGTTTTTCAAACAGCTCCCAACAGCGTTAACATATTTGTTCCAGTTCACTGCAATTTAATTTACGAAGTTCGAACAAGTTTTAAATTAACTGCCAGTGTTTAGCGTTGACTTCGACAACAATTTAGTTGTTTGCAACATTCTTGAGAGTTTTTATTTCAGTATAATAACATCGTTTTACGTTGGAACTTAAATTCCCATTGTATTTGTGTTTCATTTGAGTCTGATCAGGAAAAATTAGTGACTCAAAATTTAATTGAGTACTATTAATGATGAGAACCTTGACGTGGCAAAAAGACTAATTTATTTTTTCTGTTGTTTAAAAGTACTAAAACCACATCTCGGAAAATAACAAAAATTTGACAGCCACTTACTCAACAATTTGTCATAATTACTCATGCTGCAATGTGCTTGATCATTTAGAAAAAAGTTCTGCAGATGTACATTCTTGTACATTCAACATTGTACGATGTGTGACTCACACAAAATTGAATTAAGGACAAAGTCAGTAAATTGCTTTTAAATTTCTATACATAACATTTCTACAAGGACTAACTCCATTTTAACACCAGTGTAAAGCTTTAAAGGTAGCCAATGTAGAATTTATAATTTAGAATGCAGAATGTAGAATGTAGAGTTTTAAATGTAGTAAACCAGTGAATTAAAACTTAACAGTATTTCCCAGTTGCCTCTAAGCATTGGAACTGATATAAAAGGCAGTGTCAAGCTACAAGTGGTCCAGTACGGCCAACAAACAGGTTTGTAAATTTCAGTTATTTATTGCTTGTCACTTTTTCACGACCTTTTTTCGCGACCTTTTCTTCTAGTTTTCATTGGTGATTTAGATAACCTACCAAGCCTACTAATGTGCGCTTTACAGAGGAGGCAATGGCAGATATACCAGACGAGCAGCTCCCAACTGAAATGACGCAGTTCAGACCCCGTCGTAATGCTCTCCGTCAACAGAAAGTACACAAGAACAAAGGACATCACTTTATTGCCCGGTGGTTCCACCAACCTACTTACTGTGCTCTTTGTACTGACTTTTTGTGGGGACTTACCAATAAACAGGGTTACCAGTGCAAAAGTATGTTTTTAACTTCTTCTTTTGAGAATGATTATGTTATTATGATTAGTCATAATATATGATTTAATCCTTAATCTTCGAACAAGGCTATAATTCAGATCATTCTGAGATCATTCTGAGATCATTCTGAGGTATTTCTGAGGTATTTCTATACTTCTTATACTGATCGAGTTAGGGGTTGATTGATGATTTCACCAATTTAATAAAAGTAGACATACCTCTTCCAATATTCAAACACTCCTACCCTATTATAATAAAGAATAATATATTGTTAAAGAACGCTTGGTTATCCCAATGTGCTAGAATATCATTTAAAACTTTCTTCTGCAGCGAGAAATATCAGGGAAGAAAGCTCATTATATGTGTTGAGATTTTAAAATATCTCTATTCCTATTAAATAAAAGTAAAGTTTGTTATTAATAGTTTCATTACCTGTTACATCCCTCAGTGTGCTCTATGGTGACACACAAGAAATGTCACCACAAGGTTATGACAACCTGTAAAGGAGCGACTTCTGTCTCTGATTCTATGGAGAATACTCTTCTAGCTAAGAACAGATTTAGTCTTAATGTACCTCATAGGTTGGTCTTCATTACTGTTTAAATAGTTATTAATTAATGATAAATAGATTTCCAAAACCGAAAACGTTGTGTATATTATTATTATATTAAGTACAGGTATCTCCTGATATTTAACTGTTATTATGACGATTTCATCCACATTATCCATTCTGTGTTATATAATCCATAAAGATTCCCAGTTATTTAAACAGTTATTTTAGTGTTTCCCTAAACTATAAACAAGCTTCATTTACTTAGCTTAATTTGTGCTGTATAAAACTTAATTTAATTTAAATCTATATTTACCTATCTAAAAAGTCACTACCAGGTTCAAGGTACATACTTACTACAAGTTCACATTCTGTGATCACTGTGGAATGTTGCTAGTAGGTCTGAGGAGACAAGGAATGCGGTGCTCCGACTGTAAGATGAACTGTCACATGCGATGTCAGGATAGCGTGAGTTTTGAAAACATTTCCTCGTGTTTCACATCCAAGAAATGTGTTTATCTGTTTTGAAGATTTTACCTTTTGCTGTATTATTCACAGTATGACATGGTAATGTCTCCTAAGCTATCTTGACTAGATACGATTTAAGATACAATTGATTTTAGAAACAATTAGGCGCACAATGAGTACCACTGTCTCTAGCTCATGCTTATATAGTCACTGTACAGCTCCCATTGTATTCAAGACACAATACCAAACACTAATCCCCAGTTCTATGAGGTTTGTATTATCGTGTTATGGGCAATGTGAAATTCTCATCTCAATAAGATGGAGCGGTAACTAATGTGATCGTGTTCTAAAGCGTTCGCGTTGTTACGTTACAGTTACAGTTACAGTGTTACTGTAACGTAACAACGCTTTAGAACACGTTACATGACACCATTACTTACAGTAACTTGTGTTACATTATATTATATATTATATAATTACAGGTGCCCAACTTATGCGGCCTTGATCCCAAGTTGATGGCAGACGCCCTTGAAGATCTACAGAAAGGGAAGTTAAAGTCAGTTCAGAGCGTACGACCTTCTAGTCACCACGGAGATGGTGCTCCCGCTGGTAATTAATCTAATTAGTCTAATTAGTTACATTTGCATTCATAAATATTAAATTGGTTAATGATAATATGCACTAAGGAAAAGTAAGAACATACATAGTTTTACCTATTATCACAAAGAAGACTTTTCTCAAATACTTCTGAGATATGAATAAAGTATCAATAATTCATGATTCTAATCGAAATCTGCGACAGAGTTGAGTATTAGCTAAATTATCACATGCGATGATGCGCATTTTAGACCTTTCCATCTAGATTTGAAACAAATTATTCATACTATGGAGCTCTAGGGTATGGAGTGTGGACTAGCTACACCTGGTTAAAAAGTTGTCATCCCATTAAATAATACTCAAATTATTTGTTATAATAGCAGTGTTGAAAGTATTAAAATATAAGCATATATTTTCAAGATACTATGATACAATTGTCTGAGGTCAACTAAGTAGAAGTGGAGATTGTAGGTGTTTATTGTAGCCAGGTATAAAAGCCTCAGCCAGACTTAAAGTTGGCAGAACCCCAAACAACTTGGCGGGGGCCACTCCCGAAAGTTGACACTTCAATTTAGTAATTAGTTATTAAACTTGACGTATTAAGTCCTCATTAGGGAAGCAGTCCCGAGGGATTATTATCTCTAATTACAGTTTAAGTGTTAACCTGAAGTGCAGGCTGAACAACGTCCAGAACTTCGCAGCTAGTATAGTATAATATAATAATACAATATAATGCACTGATGTAGAGGATGGTAACTATGGGGGAAGTGGTTCAAAATTTTGTTGTAAGGACTGAAGGGATTATCAAAATTATAACTTTTGTTTTCGAGCATTTATCCATTAGATTTGATCTCGCTTTGGCCTTTCTTATCGAACGAAATTTGTAGATTTTTCATTATTATATCTATTTAACGCGTTATTCATAACCTGTGGGTGATGTTACCTCTTAATTCATGTAATTGAATTAATATTAAATAATATGATTGATATTCATATCACAAACAATACAAGTTGTAAATACAATGAGGAACTTAATAACACTGTCCTCAGCTGCCCACCGTTCAGTAAGCGTACCGTTGGATATAGGAAAATCTGGAGTTTACGACGACACTATAGAGCTAGCAGGTAATTATCTTTATCGTGTTATTTTTAGTAAGTTTTATCTTGGGGCGGGGGATGAGGCTACCTGGTATCACAGGATGGTTATTTATATTAAGTACTGATTCAGGATGTCCATCTCACGTGATATCAGGATGTGGGATCTTTTAGTATTCATCATCCTGAGGTCTATTATAAGAATCGTCATATTGCATAATATGAGCTGGCCAAGTTTCCAATCTCGTCGTTTCAGACTGGGTTAACAAGGTGTCGAACAAGGTCACCTCGAGATCAGGTGATTGGGTACAAGGTCACGTGATTGGGTTCAAAGTCACGTGATTCTTGACTTCATTGCAGCCCTATTTCCCGTAATCGGCCAAAACTTTCAACCGTCCACTACTACTGTAAGGCATCATGTAGCCGGTGGGCCCGACTTGATACGACACACCTCGACACGTCGGGGTTTTGTCGGGGTTTGTCAGGGTTTGTCGGGGTTTGTCGGGGTTTGTCGGGGTTTGTCGGGGTTTGTCAGGGTTTGTCGGGGTTTGTCGGGGTGTGTCGGGGTTTGTCGGGGTTTGTCGGGGTTTGTCAGGATTCGTTAATAATGGATGAAAAGTGATTGGAAGTTGCCTAAAGAAGATTGATCAATGGCAGTATAATGGCGCAGGAGGGTCAACCTGAAAAAAACAGTGCTTGACCCTCCTGCCCCACACATGGATCAGGAGGCTCATTCCAGAAAAAGAGTGCTTGACCCTCCTGCCCCGCACATGGATTACAGGGGTCATTGGAAGCCACAAGACCATGTGCACGTATTACTACAGCGCGCGATAAGTACGCGCGTGATTACATAAAATCTTACCGCGCCCTACGCCAAGTAGACGAAAAAGCTTGGACGAAGAGCGAGAGTTGGTACAATGTGGCACACGAGTCACGTCGGGCAGTAGTTGATAAAGTTTTTAAAGTTGTTTTTAAAATATTGAATTATTTAGTACATTGAATTATGTAGTAGTGTCAAATTACCTGGGAACTGTTTGATACTTTGATGCTGAAATATTGTTATTTTATTTCTAAAAACATCAAGTTCTTGTTTTGGGAACTAAGATTTCTCTCGAATTGATCTTTTTTGGACATTGATTCATTGTACTTTAGAAGGCATTGTGATTGATTTGGAGAGTTTTGTAAGGTTTCATAATTTTCATGTAAGTTTTGTTTTGAAATTTTTTGAACGATGGATCCCAAAAGTTCCAAACTTGTCTTAACTGTCCAATCTCCACTCCTTCCCGCCCTTTACTCCTTTACCGCGCTCTCTGATTACGACGATCAACGGTGCTTAGTGAATGTTCACTTCGGTACGTAATGAGCGGATCTATGTTAATATACTGGCCAGTACATTACCAATTATCATATTTTGATATCATTATAATTGTGATGCTATATAATAGATATTACATTGTTTTTTATTATTTTAACAATAACAAAAGGCTACACGTTAAATCTTCTTACAATGGGTTGTAGTTTTTAGAGTTCGACACATGTAGAAAATTATCAATGATAATTAAGAATATTTGTTTAAATTTTACAAATTGCATGATATTTTGGCCTTTGGGATACGTGTACTTCTAAGTTGTATAATGCCTTGTAAAGTACATTTTAAAAGTTACTCTTAGTATTAGTAATACTTTTGAAACTTTCAATAACTTTTATACGTATGTATGTTATTTAAAATACATGATACAAATTTTGTTGTTTTTATTCAGCATCGCTTGTTTCATTGAATTGGATTTAGGCAAGTATTGGTAAGTATATATAAGTATATATTAGGGTAGTATATACTGCTGCAATAATAGGGGTATAACTCTTAGGGCAACGTCTTCTAAGGTTCTTCAAATGGTTCTTCTTAAGAGGCTGGATGTTGGAATGGAGTGTCTTCTTAGGGAAAATCAGTGTGGGTTCAGACGGAACCGCTCATGTATTGATCAGATTTATTCCATCCGCACCATTATTCACAACTGCATTGAGTTTAACATTCCACTTTATGTTAATTTCATTGATTTTAAGGCAGCGTTTGATTCCATCAGAAGAGAGTTTATTTGGTCAAGCATGAGACACTATGGACTTCCTGAGAAATATGTTAGAATCTTTCAGGCATTCTTCAACGGAACCATGAGTGCTGTCAGGGTTAATGGTGAAATGTCTGATTGGTTCTCTGTTAATTCGGGCACTGGACAGGGTGATATCCAGGGCCCTCCTGTATTTAATTTCTGTCTGAACTTTGGAATCTTTTTGGCCGAGGTTCACAAGGCAATCAGTCATGGTGCTGTACTGCAAAAGGAACTAAAGGGTGCAGATGAAAAAGTTATCATGGATAGTGACTACGCTGATGATCTGGCAGTGATGGACAATACTGAAGAAGGGCTGCAAGAGTCCACTGATCTTATAGCTTATTACACCTCTTATGCTGGGTTGAAGATCAACGCTAAAAAGACACAATGCATGGCGATCAGCAAGTGTGCGTCCCAGCGACCTTACACCGAAAGAGACAGTATAAAGCTAACAGTGGAGGGAGAACCTGTTGAACAGGTCAGCAACTTTGTTTATCTTGGTGCCAACATCAGTGGGGATGGTACCATTGACCGAGATCTTGACATCAGGATCCAGCGTGCTAATGGTGCGTTCCATCAGCTTTGGAAGATATGGAACAGTCGAACTATAGGAACGCCCACCAAGATCCGTATCTACAAGGCTGCTGTTATTACTATTCTGTTATACCGAGCTGAAGTGTGGAACACAACAAAGAAGCAGATGAAACGGTTTGAGGTCTTCCATCTGACCTCCCTGAGAAGAATCTTGAAGATAAAGTGGTTCTTCCATGTCTCCAATGAAGAAGTTCTCAGGCGTGCTGGAATTAAGTCTATCGAAACTTTCATCGGTGCGGCTAGACTAAGGTGGTACCGGTACGGACATGTTGTCACAATGCCAGAGACGCGGTTCCCCAATTTCTTACTGGATTGGAAACCAAACTATGGAAAGAGACTGAGAGGACGACCCCGCAAAGGCTGGATGGCCTGTGTACTCGAGGATGCGGCTGAATTTACAGGTGTCGATAACATCAGCAGAGATGCAGTAAAACAGTTGGCTCTAAAGCGAGTGGAATGGAGGAACATGTTACGCCGTAGAAGAGATGTGTGTGATGCAGGCCACTCCAACGACTAGGAGGAGACCTCTTCATGTAGCATGTATGTATTGGTAAGGAAGTGAACCGATGCGGCGAAGCAAAGCCTGACGCAACACTCCTTTCTTTTCATCCTGTGGCTCTTACTGTCTCCCACTCTTGCTCTTTTGGTCTCTTGCGCTGCGCTCTTGCTTTCTCACAATCTTGCAGTCCCGTCCGGTATAGTACTCTTCTCTCGTGCTCATAGCTTCATAGTGCGTATTAGATTATTATTATACTGAGTGCACAGTTTTAACAAGAATTGCGCCCGTTGTTTCGTTTTGGCGGACGCTAGATTTCCATTCACTATAACTATAAATATAAGCTCTAATCAGCTCACTTTATAATAATAATATACACAGAGTACATTATACTACGCATGCCATGTACAAATTGGGCTTATTACCTAATACTGTACATAACATAGCATACATTAAAATACACTCGCGCCGCGCATTCATTGACATGCTAGCTATATAATATACATTAAATCTCCGCAAGCAATACTCGCGCGCTGCACTGCGCGCTAGTTGTCATGGTAACTTACGGAAGGAAGGAAGGACTGACGACATATTTATAGCCACTTACCTCGTTCTCCAAAATCCACGTTTTTCTGCTAAAACGTCCATTCGTAACCTTTCACTATTGTCTTTCTACAAAAGAGTGCGAACGGAAAAAATTGTATTATGAGAGCTCCAGAGTATTATTTTCGTCAATTTGATACCGAAATTATTGGGCAAACTGACATAATCCGACATACCCTGACATATCTCGACACGTCGGGATATGTCGGGGTTTGTCGGGGTTTGTCGGGATATGTCGGGGTTTGTCGGGGTCTGTCGGGGTTTGTCGGGGTTTGTCAGGATATGTCGGGGTTTGTCGGGGTTTGTCGGGGTCTGTCGGGGTTTGTCGGGGTTTGTCGAGCCTGGAGGCTACATGATGCCTTACTGTACTGCTATCAAACAAAATTGGGATTTTTATAAAATTTGATTTTTGTCAAAAAGGATACACCACGAGCACATGCATTAAACATTTAATCTGAAACCATAATTATTGCATACCTAGATTATAATGTCTATTGTATGATGTGTTCTATGAAGTGTGTTGCAAGTAGTAAAACTCAGGTACTGAAGAACTGTAAACAAAAAAACACGCTTGTCTTTGAAACTTGATATTTCTTATCTTTTGATAATAACTCCTGCAAAATGCTAGGATGTAAATTACGTAAATGTTATATAATATGATGGATGTTGCAGTTGAGCAAAAAATACAAATTCTTGACAGTTTATAATTCAGATTGAAGGAACATATATTATGTCCCACATTCAGATAGTACACTGTAATCTTGCCCTAATCAGACACCTTTACCGTGTATAATTGTATTAGCATGTTTTCCAGTGTCTTGTGTGTATTTTGTCATTATATGGTCCACTATGTATAGTGCTATGTATAATGTATATTGTATGATATGTACGCTAATGTCGTGTTACGTGAAATGCTACAATGCTAATTTTGAATGTAGAAATATTTTCGCTAAGAAATATTTCAGATAATAGTAAAGTCAAATGTTCTAACTTATTAAAACTAGTCAGATAGCAACGCTTGTGATCTTCAATCTTCATGACTTATAACTTCCAAGGGATCGAAATATGAACCCTTAAAGCAATGTGAACATTCTGAGATGAAATTGTAGTTTTATAGCGGCCACATTGTTTTGCGACCGCAACTATTCAGTACACACTACACAGTGTATATGTGTTATTCACAGGATGTCTGTGTATACATTGCATCGGTCATGGTATGTGTGTGTGTACCGTGTGTGTGTACCCACACACAGCGCACACATCTTGTCCAATATATTCCATGTAATATTTATTAATTATAACATGACAGATCAGACAAGGTTACTCTTCTAGTGACCGTCACTCTTATTCTATGTGAGCATTTCAAGGGACCAGCTTCTGAGCTTCTGTTGCTCCAGAAGGCCAGGTATATATGATAGTATTTTAGAGTTGCAAATATATTAGTTATTCTTTCTTTGTGGACCAGGACTAAGAGACAAATACAAATATTATTTATATTTAGAATCGTTGTTAGCATTGAAACATGATGCAGGATACAATGTCTGTACGTCTCCCTTTTCAGGGTATATTATATAACACTAGGGGTGCAAGTACAGTCAACTATTTATCGTTCTATTTATAACTCTGGCATTCTTTAGTTCTCGACTCCACCTGAACGGCTCTTAGGACTGATACGGAACTTTACTTGCTATAATAATAATATTCAACACTCAGACTTTTGGCTGAATTTTGGCATTTTCTGTGCACTATGTGTCAATGGGTTCCTGAAATTTGACGAAATAATAATCGTATACTCACGATCAAATGGTCCCTGTCCATAATATACCAACTTTTTTCATCGGACTTTTTCTCGGCCATTAAGCTTAAAATAAACATGTCAAACATGTTAAATATGTTGAATATATTGAATATATATGTTGAATATGTTGAATATGTTGAATTGTAAAAGGTCGAGTCAAACTTTGTAGCTATCATAAAACCAAACCCACAGAATAATTCGAATCTTAAATAAAATATCTCCTGTATCCAAATTAAAATTATAATGATCTGCACATGATTATTGACGTGGTGGTAATGGTTTAGTACGTGGCTAATGGGTTCGTACTGTGCACTGAAACTCCCGGAAATATGTCTGCTATGTGTTTCGTGACAAGTTAAAACAGTACCCGCTGCTTGTGTCAAGAAAGGGTTTATTGTTTAATTTGTTAACATGTACGTATCGCATAATATGATGTATTTACTAGGGATATTCATGCACCGTTCTAGAATGCATAATTCGTGCATAATTTATGCTTCCTGTATCCGAAATGATGCAAATAGTATACGAATGGTCGTCTCGGTCATTCGCATTCCTCATCTGCATTCCTCATACAATAGAAATAATTCATATGGTATCTGAATACCTCTCTATTATATGATGATCTGTAACGGACCTTGTGCGATTTCATCGGGAAATTGGAACTCAAATATGTTCCTACATCGAGTGTGCCGCGGAGCGTATTCCTCGTGCTGTACTAGGTTTTATGTCATACATCTGGTTGGTATTGACCACCTTTCAGTGGAATTAATGGAGGAAACTACACGTACACAGTTAAAAATATCATTCTAAGAAATAAAGAAGCCATAGCATATAATGACAAGATTAGGTATTTTCCATAAATTTAGACTAATGTACGTTTTTAACATTTCGTAATCTCTGCAGGAGCGAGACCAGGCACTCCAGATCTGGACAGTTTAGCTGTTAAAAAGGAGGGATCTCACTTGAGATACACTATTGACGACTTCAGCCTGTTGAAGGTCCTTGGTAAAGGTAGTTTTGGAAAGGTATGTTATATATTTATCTTATCAATCTTTCTTTGTTCCTAAAAATGTTATTGAGCTATGCGTTACCCCTGTTCCAATGACTGTCGTGATTTGTGACACCACGTATCAACATTTTCATATCACAATACCTGATACACACTCTGTTAAATTTTAATACTATTACGAAGGAATTCCTTCCGTGAGCCCTGATATCTAAATACCATCTAAAGGAACACTCTAAATTAAATTCTCTTCTCCGGTTACGTTGTACTGTCTAGTTCATGCGAGTTTCAAACGGTTACAGTGTCTCATGACCTAGCTCACTACTTTCTACTTTTGATTGTAGATAGAATCAACATAATGCAATTAAAACAAGAAATGCGGAAGAATTTCTTATCGGCTTATTTGGGCGACAGCTAAATTTCCCGATCCATAAAGGTGTCTTATATCATATTCCATATCGATTATGCAAATCATTTCTATGTCTCTACAACCCTATGCTTATGGCTTGATTGACGACATCCATCTTGTAGCTTTGTTACGATCTCGTGGTTCCAAGAAGCCTAATAGTGCATCGTGCTACAAGCTTGTTGCTAATGCAAGCTTACACGGATCTGGGCATAATACTAATTAAATTCCATGATATAAATTGCAAAATATTTATACATCCGCCGTTAGACCATATCTTCCATAAATGAGTGGGATCCAATTTATATGACCAGTTTAGTTACTAACAACAGTAACTCAATCCAGAATATCGCGCAAAAATAACTTTTCGAGTATAACCATAGCAACTAAACGGGCCAGCGGCAACCATGAGGAATGAGAAATCGCGCGGACACAAGCTACCATATACGCAAAAAAACATCGTTCGCTAATCCTAGTCCTGACTATTTTGTGGCTAACGGCACAAGAATCATGGATCGGGAAAAATCTAACACTAAAATAGCCTGCATAATATTTAGGTTGGACAGGAATGCACAGCAGCAAGATCTACTAGAATAAATTGTCTGGGATGATATATATATAACACTTGCACATGGACATGTTCTATATCATCACTTAATATTGAAAAATACCCACGCTCTGCAGTCTGCGTTGCTGTCATTGGCAATCATTGGCAAGCAATATCTGTTTGTGGCAAATCGTACCCTTAAACCCGGGTTTGGTCAGCGCGCGCTGAAAATAAAATCTTGACCGTTGCCGCGCGAATAACCGATCACACGCGCCAACGTATCACGTGATCATGTAGAATTAAGAAAGCCCCTTCAGATGACCTCACTTAAACTCGATCCAGGTTTTGCTAGCGGAGCTGAAAGGCTCCGGTAAGGTGTTTGCGGTAAAAGCGCTTAAGAAGGACGTGGTTGTGGAGGATGACGATATCGAGTGCACGCTGACAGAGAAACGAGTGCTGGCACTCGCCTGCCACCATCCCTACCTTACTCAGCTACACTCCTGCTTCCAAACGGATGTAAGTTTATTGATGATCTCATGCACACTCACTGTGCTATATAATGTAGTGAAGTTATAGGAAAGTCGGATCCTACGTCGAAAGTGATTCTATTAAAATATCAGGATGTACATGATGTATGGGTAGGAATTACAAAGTCTTCACAACTAGGGTTACGTAATTTATTAACAAACCTCATTAATGCCACTTTTTGTTTCGGGTTTTGGCACCTTGAATCTACGATACAAAAGAATGGAAAGTGCAATAACGTGTCATTTCTCACCTGAAATCGATTCGACTAGCAAACCATAAAATTCGATTATCCGTCATCCGTATACGGTCCAAATTAAATTTTGTATGGTTACGTCGCTGTGTGAATCAAACTAAACACTGTATTACATACACAAATTATATTGCCTTATTACGCTCCATGTAACAGGAATGTTGCACAAATTCTAGAAATTGGAAGTGGAAGTTTGTTTTGGTTACCTATTTCCTAATTAGATTGCCCAACGTGATCTCCAAAGATATGACGTCACACATTATGACGTCACACATTCCCCCAGGACCACCTGTTCTTTGTAATGGAATACCTAAACGGAGGAGATCTGATGTTCCACATCCAGACAACCGGTAAATTCAGCGAGGAGCGCACTAGGTTCTACACCGCTCAAATAATAAGTGCTCTCCAATTCCTTCATTCCAAGGGAATAGTCTACAGGTAAGTTTTCCACGTGGAAATATATTATGATTTATGATGGAATTATATATGATTTAAACCAGATGTTAATAAATGAGTTGCTACAAATAACTGTATCGTATTGTCTGCGTTTTTAGTGTCTGAACCAAAGCTGTCTACACCTGTCTATTAGTAACTAAGCTATCATCGTGTTGCCTAGTAACGAGTTATCCAATACCCCCCGCCGTGCCAAGCAGCCAGCTCACTGCACTTTTATGGTTTAGTAATGACCACTCATTTGCTTAAGTGGCGGATATTGACAGAGTGGTAACTAAATTTAACAGTATTTGTACTGTTATGGGTGTGCTGGTGGTGGTGACCAGCATATTCTCACCTTCATTCCACTTCAGGGATCTAAAGTTGGATAACATATTGCTGGATAGCAAAGGGCACGTGAAGATAGCTGACTTTGGTATGTGTAAAGAGAACATGGACGAGGGAGTAACGACTAACACTTTCTGTGGGACACCCGACTATATCGCTCCAGAGGTATTTTACCCGTTAGTACTATGGTTTCTTACTCGTTACCATGGTTACTTCACTGTTATCATGGTAACTGTTCTCGTTACCAGGGTTACCTTAGGGGGTTCACCATGATATTGTTATAGCAGTGACCAACAAACTAGGGCAGGGCACGGGACCGAACTTTTGAGGTGGTCCCGGGCGCCCACTGGTGCTGCTGGAGAGAGATCGTTCTAGGATATACTTTGCAGTTCATAGTACAAAATCCCACGCTTACGTCTGTAATTGCAGGGTACATAAACATGTACTAACAAGGAACCGTTTCAGATTTTGAAAGAGTTGCCGTACGACAGATCTTGTGACTTCTGGTCGCTGGGAGTGTTGGTGTACGAGATGTTAACAGGGACCTCCCCATTTGTTGGGGATCTAGAGGAGGATCTCTTCAGGAGCATTCTCAACAGCAGAATTACATTCCCCAAATACCTCAGTAAAGATGCCATGGCTTTCCTCAAGGGGGTCAGTTGATGCTATACAATTTGAGGGAAATTTTCAGATTGATTATTCGACTTTGTTATCTTATTTTGTGATGTTACATTGAACCCTATACATCACAGCCAACTGGTAATGAACCAAGCTATAAGAACTGACCACCCCCCCCCCCCCCTCCCGCCCCCCCCCTCCCCCCCCCTCCCGGCCCCTTCAACTTACCAGCCCCACCTCAGGTCTTAGAAAGAGTAGTTGGCAACAGACTAGGATACTGCACCCGAACTAACATTAGAGAGCACCGCTTCTTCAGACCCATTGACTGGGAAGCTCTGGAACGGAAAGAATTAGAAGCTCCCTTCGTTCCTAATGTGGTAAGTTAGGGAGATAATATTTTTGTTAGGATTTTTAATCGCATCTAGTAACGAGTTTAGTGAGAAATAACGTATAACGTGTTCTAGATCGATAATATAATCGATATATCTACTTACAACAGGTTGTACAGATTAGTGTGGGATGAGACACAATTATTTACGGTTTCGATACATAATTTACATATTATATGAAATTGTAGAGTGACAAGTGTACTGTAAGATGAAGGCCACTATTGTCCGCTGATACCCGCACTACTACTACTGCAATTGTACATATAATATGTTACATGACATGTACATATTGTCTTTTGACATGAATGTACGTAAGTAATTTATAAAGGTTAAAAAAGCTTCGCCCTACACACTTCACTTATAATTTCAGAAATCAGCAGTAGATACAGACAACTTCGACCCTGAGTTTACCATGGAGCACGCTCAGCTGTCACCAGTTGAGACAGCGCTTATACAAACCATCAACCAGGAGGAGTTTGCCGGATTTTCATTCGTCAACACCGACTTTGGGAGCTTCAATTGGTGAGCACCACGTGTAAAGCTTTGAGCACGTGGAGTCGCTGAAATTGTGCACGTGTGAAAGATTTTGCGCGGCGCATATCGTGCATGTGTGATTACAGTGCGCGGCGCTACGACGAGTTTAGTCTTAACGGAAGAATAGAAGGAGTACTTAGATTAAGATATTATCGATTGTACAGAAAGTTTGTTTCTGTCGTGTATTCTGCAGTCTGGTAGCCAGCAAGTATTCGGCTACTGTATGTCCGTGTGTAAGTTTGTATGATACCTGTTTTTGTTGATTTTGCTAATAGTTTGATTAACGGTTTTTTTGGTCATTTAATTATTACTGGATTAGATTTAAGTTTGAACTGTTTAGCACCTAATTTGGGCGTTTTGAGGACTATTTCATGAGACATCGTTCTTAGGAAATCATGTATTATTATAGTATCGATTGGTATAATATTCTGTAATTACGTTTGTTATTTTCACCTGGCATATGAATTAATTTTAACAACTTCAAAATATTCCGTGGGCTCATTGTTATATTGATTATCAGTTTCATTAATTTTAATTCAGAGTTCAGTTTTTTTGCAATCGTCTGATAAAGTCGTGACTGTGTAGATCTGTAATTAGTATTATTAAGTAAATATTAAAATTAGTATACTCTATCATAGTTGGATATATACGTACATAGTTTTGTCACATACCACCAAGTAATAGTAACAGTTTCGATGAATGTAAAAACGACTGGTTTTGATTTTTGATGTTTTATGGTGAAATTTTCATGCGCTTAATCGTACTTCTTCAAGGACTTCTGACAAATACAGTACTTAAAGTACTACTATGGGTGTTATTGATAAATCTCATTCAAATATCGACAACAACAGTATCATTATGATTAATAAATGTATGATATAGATATTTTAATAAAAGCTTACATTTACTCTGTGTATGATCTGGAAGTTGATTATCATAAGAATAGACGGGTTTAGATAACGTTTTATCTGATCCCTGCTCAATAACTATAGTCGAGGAGCTCCATTTCAACTTCATCCCTCGCTGTCATGGCGATCAAATAATTTCAATTAAGTTAACAGTTAGGGGTCGTTCACATATTACGTAATCAGCCGAGGGGGAGGGGGCTTTCCGAATGATTACTTTAGTGTAATTTTGACACAATAGCTATGTGTAAAAATTATTACGGAGGGGGAGGGGGGGTTAAAAATTGGTCAAAAAGTGATTACTTAATATTATGTGAACGACCCCTCATGATGTACTCGATTTAAGGTCCAGTTTGTTAAAAGTTATTTCGATCACTTTTACCCAGATTCCTTTCTCTGATAGTATTATAATTACAGTCACAATTATGGAGTCACGTTTTTGAGCTGTTTTTGTACAATACACTTACGTAGTTTAATGACGATTCAATAATTATATAATATGATACAGCATCTCTCCAGTTTGGGAAGATGATGTATGAAATGAAATGCGGGCTTCTCGACAAAACATAATTTTTATGGTATCAATGATAACTTTTTACTATTGTTTACTAAACATGTTTCCTGATCAAATTTGTTTAGCTTAGTTAAAATTATGTAAATATCGCGGTACTGTAAATATCAAGAGACCTCGCTCGGTGGCTCTGCTTTTACACGCCCCGCCCCAGTGAGATATTACTGGGCAGCACTCAGCTTGTCAGTGTCATTCCGCCATATCTATGAACACTATTAGTCTAGAGTCAGAACGTGCTAAATCACTCTACATTATAACTTCGAAATGTTTCGAAAAGACAATTGAAACCAACCTGAATCGATTATTTTTGAACGTTGATTCACGATGTCAATCCTTCGCATCTCGCCGATCTGCATACGTGGTTATCTGCATATGTGGTTGCGAGAAGCATTATTGGATGCGCGCGCGACCCAGTAGTGCATCGCGCTACAATTTTGAACGCTAATTCCGAATCACCCTACTCCCTTGTCATACGTTGTATGACTCGCCGCGCACGAGTGCGCGGCTCCCCTTCACTATAGTGAAGCGACAGTGGGGGTCACCACGTGATCTGATACAACTACTCCCTAAGCACTAAGCCAATGGCATAAAAGTAAGAATTACTCAAGGGTTTTTCCATTTTCTCCACAAAAAAGCTAGGATTCCTGATTCCGGGGATCACACTATACTACACATTTGATACCAATTACTTTAAAGTTGGAATTTCAGATTCTTTATGCCACTGGGTCCGCTCCTACTAAATCGCTCGCCCAAATTTTAAGAAAATTCTTGTGAAAAGGCGCCCTTTGGGCATGAAAGTGATCTAAATCGGTGTATTTTTGGACGCTGATTCCGAATCACCCCCCATGACGTAGGGTTAAAATGCTTCCCTGGAGAGTTATGGGCAAAAAACCATTTTGGTCACGTGACAGGCTAGTAAAATACGAATTTGATTGTTTAGGACTCGGGTTAGGGTTAGGGTTGTGGTAAGGGTTATGGTTAGCTTCGAGGTTATGGTTAGGGTTAGGGTTGGGATTAGGGTATATGTAAAACCGTTTTGTATGGCTGCAAAACCATAGAAACCAAAGTCACGTGAAATTTTTGGGCGAGCGAATTAGTAAAAGCCCACTGGGTAGTGGTAGGAGGTGCACCATAAAAATAAACTTGCTCGGATTTTAAAAATTTTTGTACCATTGTTTTCTAGAGACTGTGAGAATTTTCACAATACCAAATTTGTCATACCTTTTTGGAAAGATCGGTGAGTTTCGCCTAGGTGCCATAATTGATGGTGCGCGGCTTTTGGAGCAAAATTAGCTGTAAAAGTCGCGTAATTTGACCAAATTTGACCAAATTCGTTGATTTTTGTCGTATTATTTGGATATATCTTCAGTTCCTTGAATGAGATCATTCTGAAAATTGGCGACGACCTTCCAATAGGGCTTTCACAACTGTCCGAAAAATTTGGTGGATATCGGAGTTGATATAGTGATCAAAATGGTGCAAAATACGCTGCTTTTAGCTGTAACATAATGTTTAATGGTTGGATATGCTTTAAACTTTTCGGACACCTTCTTTGTAAGTCTATGAGTAAGCTTACCAATTTTTGTTGCAATCGGAGGTCGGGAAGGATACTTAATATCTATTTGTTTGAAGAAAATTGTGCTGGCCGAAATTAGCGCTAAAAAACCATCCACCAGTCGGCACGCGCGGCTCACTGTCGATGTTGACCATTGTTAATGGTCTGGCCCGGCGCGCGCTACTTCGTAGCACTTGCCGTCGGGCCAGAGAAGAAAGCGGCGCGCGCTACTTCGAAGAAATTTAGACGAGTAACATCCGTCAATGTCGATGGCGCACTACCTAGTAGTGGGTCAGTCCTTTTGCTTTCTGTTCCACTCCATCCACAAATACAGCTACAGTCATCACATTGTCCATGTCCGGTTTCACTAATTCACTCGCCATGGATTATTTAACGGGTGATACTCGTAAAATATTTGATTCATATACAGCTAGGACCGTCGACGAGTCCAACTCGGCGCGCGTCCTGGTAGGTTGTAAACCTACAATGGATTATGGGAAAAGCGCGCTATTTTGTATTTCGCGCGCATTGGATATAAAGATGCATGACCAATGATATTGCAGTGTTTAAGTCACGTGCACGTGATATAGCTGATGAAAAACTGAAAACAATTCGATATTGTTTTATTATACTGCTTATATTTTACTCTTACTGGGTCGCGCTCAGCCTGTCATTCCGCCGAATCTTTATGTTTATGAACATAATAGCCTGAGGTCCCAAAGTAAATTTTACCCTTGACCAACAAGATCTATAAAACCTTTTATAAAACCTACACAGTCGCTTCACTGTAGAGTTTCGATCGTTGTCATGTGCGCGGCTCCCCCTGTATCGTCGACGATACAGGGGGAGCCGCGCACATGACAACGTGTAACAATGAACACGTTGGATAGTGATTCTGCGAACAGAATTAAATTATAATTTGATCCATAAATTGCGAGTCGTAGCCGGCCCCCAATTATTAATAATACATTTTGCTCTAGTATGAACACTAAAAAATAAAACTAAGTTTTTATTTGGGTTTGACTCGGATGATATAAAACGAGTCTAAATTTTTTCAAAGTATTGCTTGGCCTTCACCTAACTATGTCACATGTGCCACTGCGGGCGCGCTTGTTTCACATGAAGTAAAGACAGCGCCTGGCGCCAGGGCTCTGGATAGAGCAATGCTTGGCCCGTTGTTACGAAGTAGCGTGTGTCGGATTAATTCATTAACAATGGACAACCTTGTATCACGTGGTGACCCCCACGGTCGCTTCACGATACAGGGGGAGCCGCGCACTTCGTGCGCGGCGGGTCATAGAATCAAGAATGTATGACAAGGACAACCGACCCGAGGTCCCCAGGAAGATTTGAAATATGCTAAACAAGGTCTTATTCAATTACAACACTTAATCGCTTTTCCAGCAATTTGTCAACAGATTAGTGGACCTTATAGCCAGAGCCCAGAAATAAAGAGGAAGGAGAGGTATTTTGTCATAAGTTGTATGACCCGCCGCGCAACAAGGGCGCGGCTCACCCTGTATCGTCGAAGTGGGGGTCACCACGTGATACAAGATGCAAGAGGTATTGTGATGTGGTAAGGTATGTAAGAACGAGGATAAGACTAGATTTGCAATGCTAAGAATAACACTTATTGATATATGTGGGTACAGAGGAAAGAAGATGGACAGCAAACATGAGACCCCTCTATCAGAAGTCTCATGCAACATCATCCCTGCAGCTGCCCTATGATGGAGTAAAATTATGTTTTTCAAAATTTTGTGTACATATTTGATTGTTTCAAGTTCAAAAATATTGGTTACAATGGCAAATGGACCATTTCCGTTTCCTATGTATTGTGCTCTGCCAATTGCATCACTTCGTTTAATTGAATGTATATATTGTTTGAATGACCTTTTCATTTCGGCAATTATCAATTAATTCATAAGATTTATAAAATTTTCTATTTATAAAATGTTTAGCTATACTAGACGCAGGGAGACTACAGTGCAAAGAAACTGCTGCAAACTGCTGCTAACTGCTGCTAACTGCTGCTGTCGCGTGCGCGCCATTTGCAGCAGTTAGCAGCAGTTGCGTGTGGGTGCGCTGCGCAGTTAAGACACGCATAAACCTGCTGCTAACTGCTGCTGACTAGCAGCAGTAACAGCAGTTAGCAGCAGTTTCTTTGGGGGGGGGGGGGGGGGGGGGGCAGAGTTGAAGTCCATGCTGTATTGTTGGGAGCATATTGCATCTTTAGGAGTTCCTTTTTAGGAAGATTTTATAGGAGTACTATGGTGCTCCAGATCTTGGGAAATCTTGATATAAAATCTCTAGATTGGAATTAAGCAACGAGGGGGGGGGGGGGGGGGGTAGGGGTAATGGATATTATGCCTTTACTACAATCAATTTATTATAGTAAAATGGAATCTTACCTTCTTTCTTCTTCCTTTCTCCTCACTCTTCTACGTTTTCGTCCTCTACGACTTCGTTATCATTGTCCACTTCATTGTCTTCATTGTTGTTAGTGTCACGTACTAAATTGAGGTCCAGGTCGTCAACAGGGATCGCTTTATGATAGTACCGTCCTCGGTATCCTTTTACATGGATAAGTACGGTCTTAACCCATATAATACCAACAACTCTAAACGTTCGAATTTTTTGGCGAAATTTTGTTTCCTAAGCACTGAGGTACCAACTCCGACGGTGCAATAATTATTTTGAAAAAATTTATATTTTTTATAGCTTTTTCGACCCGTACTTTTAAAAGTTCATTGTTGGAGCTTGCTTTTTTGGAACATTGCATCGTACTTTTAAAAGTACATCATATTTGAATGATGTACTTTTAAAAGTACGGGTTTAATAAATAATGTACTTTTAAAAGTACGGGTTTAATGAATAGTGTACTTCTGGAGGTACGTTAGTTAATTAAACAGAAACTCAGGGTCAGATAATAAAACTAAAAGCCCTTGTCAGAATCGCTGAATAAAATTTAAACAATACATACAAAATTTAAGTGGTACACTAAACAAATCATGATGGTGGGAACAGCTATATACTTATAAACTACTATCATAATTCCATTTACCAATTTACTAGAATTTTACGAAAATTTTCGGGTTTTGTGCTTTTTACTCTAACTGATGATAAGGCTAAGGATAAACAAAGCACGCAAAGTGCAACGTCACACACTTCACACTTAGCCAGACGCTTTTCACAACTTAAAGAATACCGAAAATGGTGAGAATGAGAAGAGAGTAGCAGAGGCTGAGACAATTCTAGAGGAACAGAAGAAAGTAGCAGAAGCTGAGAGAGTTCTAGAGTAACAGAAGAGAGTAGCAGAAGCTGAGAGAGTTCTAGAGGAGCAGGAGAAAGTAGCAGAAGCTGAGCGTATTCTAGAGGAACAGAAGAGAGTAGCAGAAGCTGAGCGTATTCTAGAGGAACAGAAGAGAGTAGCAGAAGCTGAGCGTATTCTAGAGGAACAGAAGAGAGTAGCAGAAGCTGAGAAAGTTCTAGAGGAGCAGGAGAAGGTAGCAGAAGCTGAGCGTATTCTAGAGGAGCAGAAGATAGTAGCAGAAGCTGAGCGTATTCTAGAGGAGCAGAAGATAGTAGCAGAAGCTGAGAGAGTTCTAGAGGAGCAGGAGAAGGTAGCAGAAGCTGAGAGAGTTCTATAGGAACAGAAGAGAGTAGCAGAAGCTGAGCGAGTTCTAGAGGAGCAGGAGAAGGTAGCAGAAGCTGAGCGTATTCTAGAGGAACAGAAGAGAGTAGCAGAAGCTGAGCGAGTTCTGGAGGAACAGAAGAGAGTAGCAGAAGCTGAGCGAGTTCTAGAGGAACAGAAGAGAGTAGCAGAAGCTGAGCGTATTCTAGAGGAACAGAAGAGAGTAGCAGAAGCTGAGAGAGTTCTAGAGGAGCAGGAGAAGGTAGCAGAAGCTGAGCGTATTCTAGAGGAACAGAAGAGAGTAGCAGAAGCTGAGAGAGTTCTAGAGGAACAGAAGAAGGTAGCAGAAGCTGAGAGAGTTCTAGAGGAGCAGGAGAAGGTAGCAGAAGCTGAGCGTATTCTAGAGGAACAGAAGAGAGTAGCAGAAGCTGAGAGAGTTCTAGAGGAACAGAAGAGAGTAGCAGAAGCTGAGCGTATTCTAGAGGAACAGAAGAGAGTAGCAGAAGCTGAGAGGGTTCTAGAGGAACAGAAGAGAGTAGCAGAAGCTGAGCGTATTCTAGAGGAACAGAAGAGAGTAGCAGAAGCTGAGAGAGTTCTAGAGGAACAGAAGAGAGTAGCAGAAGCTGAGCGTATTCTAGAGGAACAGAAGAGAGTAGCAGAAGCTGAGAGGGTTCTAGAGGAACAGAAGAGAGTAGCAGAAGCTGAGCGTATTCTAGAGGAACAGAAGAGAGTAGCAGAAGCTGAGAGAGTTCTAGAGGAGCAGGAGAAGGTAGCAGAAGCTGAGCGTATTCTAGAGGAGCAGAAGAGAGTAGCAGAAGCTGAGAGAGTTCTAGAGGAGCAGAAGAGAGTAGCAGAAGCTGAGAGTGTTCTAGAGGAGCAGAAGAGAGGAGCAGAAGCTGAGAGAGTTCTAGAGGAGCAGAAGAGAGTAGCAGAAGCTGAGAGAGTTCTAGAAGAGCAGGAGAAGGTAGCAGAAGCTGAGGGGGGGGGGGGGGGGGGATCAGGTACCAAGTGCTGTACGTGACGTCGACTAAGTGCAACTTTGGAATTTACAAAAAAGACCCACCCACCCCCTTCGCGGTACTAACTTTTTTTTTTCGGATAATATTTAGGACACCCACCCTTTTTGCGGTACTAACTGTTGAGTAATCACGGTACTGACGTCTGACTGTGTTTTGGTATACAAAATAAGATACCCACCCATAAATTGCTTTAAACAGCTCATTAAACATTGGGAATGGACAAAGTATACCCACTATTTAATAGGGGTTTTGTTTTCAATGCAGTCGAATTAAATAAAAAGTTACAAAAAAAGGAAACAAAATAAAAAAACCCAAAAAAAAGGAAAAAAACCTCAAAACCAAATAAAATATGACCCACCCCCCGCATTAAGTAAGAGTATACTGAAGGCCGCTCTGGAAGACGTGGAATAACCGGGTGAAAACGTGGATCCTTCAAGATCGACTAAATCCCAGAAGTCACAACAGAAAGTTTCTGTTGTGACTTCCGTTCTGATTCAGAACAATTTACCTGCCATTACAGTCTTACCGACATTAATCATGCCAGCACACATTGTGTAGTCTATATAGATTATAAACCTGTACTTTTAAAAGTACATTTTTCGTGAAACCTGTCCTTTTAAAAGTACAATATTCGAAGATAATGCACTTTTAAAAGTACGTACTTTTAAAAGTACATCATTGTCTAGAATGATGTACTTTTAAAAGTACACCCAATTAACATCTCAATTAGAGGCAATTTATGATTTTTATGTCGCCCCACATTATTGCCTATTTATTGCACAATCGTTTAGGCAATATTAAAAAACCAAATTTGGGATCCATCAAAGTTGGAGAATTGGCTGGTGGTACCGAGAATTTACCATTTTTCAAAGTACCATTTTTGACCACCTTTGCCAACATCCTATAAATTTCTTGCTTTTTTAGACCATCTGGCCAGGGTGTTGAAATCATCAGCAGACTTTTTCTTACCTAATGCAAAAAACTGTATCAAAAAATATTTGTCACGAGACAAGTTAGGTCACTGTTTATGAACCGTACTTTTAAAAGTACCGTGGAAGAATATGGGTTAAGCAAATCAAACCCCAAACGACATCTGAGATTTGCCATATTGAGGCCTAACACGCAATTTTACACCACTGCTTACTACATGCCTTGCTCCAGACCAATCTGACAGGGGGTGATCAGATGATTTGTTTCATGTCAGGACCTTCCAGGAAACTAGTATTTGCCTGGAGACATCTTTTCGATGAACAGGCATTTACCTGTTGCCAATGTCATAATTTGCATGAAATAGTAATGATTTGAAAATCTTTAAATCTCATCATAACAATATTATACAGTCGAATGTAAAAAAGCAAGAATGATTAGAGGACTCAGGAACTTACATCATGCCAAGAACCTTCAACAGATATCTGTATCTTTCAAGTACTTTTCAGCTAAGGTAAACATTACGATACAACATGAACATGTTTAATGTTTTACACAGGCTGTTCTATATAATTGTCATCAATCAATGTGATTAAATATGTTACATCAAACTCTAACGATGCTATATAACAGTACTGACACTGAATAGTATCATACTTCATTCAGACAGAGGGGAGGAAGATTTCAAAGTTGCTGATAGCAAATAGAGGAGAGATTGCGATACGAGTGACCAGAGCTGCACATGAGCTTTCTCTAAAGTCTGTTGCCATTTATGGCACCGAGGACAGATATTCTATGCATAGAGCTGGGGTTAGCTCATCACTTTCTTGTATAATTCCTTTACCTCACATATCTTAATCAATATTTTTATCATTCCATTAATCCAATACTATCTCACTATATAATTCATTTGCTTTCATTCCATATTATGGTTGTTAATTATGAAATCGTATCAATAATTAACACTACGATTTTTTGACTACAGGCAACAGAGTCGTACGAGATCCCGGGATATAAAGATAGTCCGGTGAGAGCATACCTTGACCAGGATGCTATTATAAAGATAGCCCTTCAAGCTGGAGCTGAGGCGATACATCCTGGTTATGGGTTTCTATCAGAAAATGCTGAATTTATTAAAAAGTGTGAGGACAGTGGGATTATATTTGTGGGACCGCCTTCTCATGTGGTGCAAGGTATGTTGCTTTGTTGGCACTATTTGTAAGGGAATCAAGTCTTGTGTCATCAACTTATTGATTAGCTGATAAAACCGATGAATAAGTTGGTACTAAATTGGTGGTACTAAATTTTTATAGAAAACCGACAGGATGAAAGATGTTTAGAATTCTCTAGATGTCTATGATTATTAAGACTACATTTCAATGTTCATGGTTTTGTGACAGAACTGTTTTATGCAGGTTTGGGAGACAAGACTGCTGCACGTGACACAGCAATAGCTGCGGGACTTCCGGTCATTCCTGGATCTGATAACACGGTTAGCTCCCTGTTACTACAGTATATTTCTGATCGACTTATCGAGCTTATAAGAAACGAAATTTTAATAATTTTAAAACCTTACCAGATTTTAATCCAATACTATGATATCATAGTGAAATTAAACTATTAGTTTATGGTCCATACAGGTGGCAAATCAACCTTTAGTACGGACGTTGTGAGTAGTGAAAGTAATATATAGTTTATTAGGTTCCTATTGGGTAAATTATTTGAAGAAACTGTGAAAATTTCGGATAAGGCAAGAGGTAAGAAACATAAAACTATTATCTGCTTCTTGATCTATTTAATTTAATTCTATTTCAAACAAAGAGAAACACTCACTTGGCGGGCAAACGATCCGTTTCATGATATTATATAGAAAACAATACCAATTGCACTGAGGATTGGTATTGTTTTCTACATAATATCATATAATATAACGGATCGTTTGCCCGCCAATTTGAGTCATTCTGTTTGTTTGAAATATAATGCTCCTGCTTGATTGCAGTTGAGCATTCTTTAGGAAACCAAGCAACAACTTATCATTAATTTAATTCTATATAGATACATAAGGTGAAGCTCATTCAAGTTTCTCGCTTTAGATAATTTGTAAAATTTGATTACAAACACTTCCAAAAATTATTATTATTTAATTAAAGAATTTAACAAATATTCTAATTCCCGCTAACTCCCACTAATAACTAAGTGTTTGAAAAAGGAAGTCCCTCTCTACACAGGCACGTATCTGCAGTACACAGTCGTTTTGATTTTGTGGTCTTTGGTCCAAATCCAGGATGCTTCCCTTGAGATATCTCCTACAAAACCTCTCCAGGGTTTAACTCCGTCGTGTTTTCTTATCATATCTCCTTCTTCCCAAGCCTCAAAATCAACTTCAAATCCAGGTTTTGCCCAGTCTTCTTCTTCCTCTTGAGTACATAACCACGTGTCGTCAGTTAACACTACAATCTCTCCGCTCTCATCATGTAGTGAAGCAAGGATTCCGGCGACTACTCCATTGTCAACACATTTGATACCAATAACTTCAAAGTTGGACGGGACAGGAATTTTAGATTCTTTATGCCACTGGGTCAGTCCTTCTGCTTTCTGTTCCACACCATCCACAAATACAGTCATCAAATTGTCACACGTAGCTCTGAGGGTGTAGGTTTGCACCTGCACATGCACTGGTTCGTAGCGACAGTAAACAGTTGTTCGGATCTTGTGGTCTTTGGTCCAGATCCAATTTGCGTTCCTAGAGATTTGCCCTATGAACGTCCAAGGACTAGCCCCATGCTTACCAATGACGTCTCCTTCCTCCCATACTACAGAATCAGAAGCAAATCCAGGTTCTACCCACCCTTTCTCTGCCTCTTGTGTACAGGTCCAGGACTCGTCTGTGACCAATATCTCGTCTCCTGCTTCATCGTGTACAGAAGCTAGGATTCCGGGGATTACTCCTACGTCTACACATTTGATACCAATTACTTTAAAGTTGGACGGGACAGGGATTTTAGATTCTTTATGCCACTGGGTCAGTCCTTCTGCTTTCTGTTCCACTCCATCCACAAATACAGTCATCAAATTGTCACACGTAGCTCTCAGAGTATAGGTCTCATCGCTTGCTGCCAGAAGTGCAATAGCTGCCAAAGAAAAGAGTACTAGCCACGTCATCATTACCAAGTGAGGAGGATCAAGAAATAAGATGAGGATTTTACTGAAGTGTTTATAAGAGAATCAATAGATATACTTCCAGAAGAGTAATCTATTTTCAGGCCTAGCCACTGACCAGATGGTTGGTAAGTTGTCAGTGCTTCAGTGTGATTGTATTAACTTCAAAGTAAATGATCAAAGCGGTCTATCATTGGGAAACTCGAGGATAATTACTGTAATGTTAATTTCCGGGGATTTGTAAAGAAGGCTAATGAAATTGATTGCTAGGTGTGGCAGTAAAGTATGATGTTTTTGCCTTTGAAGAAGTGGTTTTATTGTATAACATATGGTGAGTTAAGATCGATTGATCCATAAGTGAGCTCCGCCAAACAACTGTTACTCAACCCCTGGAAGGGTGTCAGACCGAGGCTATGTGTTTTAGAAGTGTTTAGAGTTTCTGAGTGCTCAATGTTTGTTTGTCAGAACAATAACATCAAACATTTATAAACTGTTGGAATATATAAAATTATTTCGAATTGAGATTGTTTTGAATAAAATTGTTTCATATAAATTATAAAAGAAACAATTTCCATTTCAGGTGACGTTGTCAGAAGGCCGGGAGTTTGCAGAGAAGTATGGGTTACCTGTCATGTTGAAAGCAGTACACGGTGGAGGTGGCAGGGGTATGAGGGTTGTCAAGGAAATGTCTCAATTTAATGACAGTTTTCAGGTATCATTCACTTCAGACATTGTTCCGATCTTTTCAAATCTTTTAAGCTTTAACTTTCGATTTACCAATAGATTTGATCCATGGAAGGAGTTCATACAACTACAGCCAAATTGCCACAAATTTATGACACTTAAGGTACGGTTACCATAGTTTCTTCAACATCTAACAACTGTTGCTATAGTAACGGTTACTCTGATTTTTATTGAAAGAAGGCGTTATTACCAGGCGTGTGTGAGAGAAGCTGAGCAAGCATTTGGTAACGGAGACATGTTCATTGAGAAGTTCCTGGATAGACCCAGACATATAGAGGTTCAAATACTGGGTATGTTTTTAACTTTCTTACAGTCATCATAGTTATCACACACTACACAGCCATAGTTACTAAGTTACTAGTCAATCGAAATTCGGGCCGATTGTCTCTCTCGAATAGCTTTTCGCCCCAACTGTGCCCCAGGAAATTCAATTTTGTGCCCCAAGTGTACCCCAAGTGTTCCTAGCTTTATTACCAAATTGCCTAACGGACGTTGTTCATCAACTGGAGACTCTATCATGTTTTGAAAACCGGTTGTAATATCCAGGTGACAAACACGGCAACATAATACATTTGTTCGAGAGGGACTGTTCAGTGCAGAGACGACATCAGAAGGTTGTAGAGATTGCTCCCTCTGTTAATCTTGGTACGTCTTTTCTATCCTCTAAATTCTAGTAGATAGTTCTTATCTCCTTTTACTTAGAATTTTATCATTTACTATGTTAAAGATACAGACTTGATTACTAGTAAGTGTACCTGTTTGGTAAGTAGAGGCATATCTGGCTCATAGCCAATGCCCAAATATGGTATACTACATATTATCTCACCAGAGTCCCACTAACAGATCCAGTGCTAAGAGAAAAGATGCTGAGTGACGCGGTGAAGCTGGCAGAACATATCGGGTATATAAACGCGGGTACTGTGGAGTTTCTAGTAGATAACATTGGTAACCACTATTTCATGGAGGTGAACCCTCGTATTCAGGTTAGATTTTTAGATTATTTTTGTAGCTTATTATCATAATTCAATATTGTTTTAGTTTAAGAGAACACTTGGTAATCACCATTTGAGCTGGTGCTTGTTTGTCTGGCACGACTTTTATTTAAGGGATCTTTCAAAATATCTTGTCCAAAAAAAGTGAGACTTTATAGTGTATGTCCAAATATTTATTGATCAACAATCATTACAGATATATTTGTAAGAAGTACTAGCACTATAATTTCACTTTGCTCCAATAAGTTTGCTCTTAAATTCAGATTTTATTAGCACCGTTAGACCAAGATTAAAGGTATCCAAACCACGTACCAGAAGAGGAACTTTGATATCTTTCAAATCTCAAACGAACACGTACACTAGACGGAGGTTCTAAGATTAAATATTCACGTTTGGGAGGTGTTATCTTTATTCCATTATTCAATATGTAGGTTATTTTTATTTCACCCCGTGTTCAAAGTTATTGTAGCCGGTGTTATACTAATGGTAAAGGAATGGAGTCAGAATTAAGTTTAGACCAGCGTGACAGATTCATACGTAAAACTGTGAAATGTTATATATATCTTACTATATATATAAAGCGAGAAGATATATATGTGTTTATCCGTACCATTTTACTGACACCACGGCATCAACTTTAACACGAATTTCCGCAAAAAACCGTAAAAGATATAAAACTTAAACTTTTTTGACTGAGTCAGATGCTTTAATGGCCTTCAAATCAGCATGAAAAAATAAAAAATAAATATTATATACATAATGTAACATAATGTACATATAATATGTAATAAAACACCTTCGACTAAATTCATCAAATAGTCCAAATATTGCTGTAGTATTACCGTGGACAATAAATATGTTTGATCTTCGAGTTTTTAAGTATAAGAGTTCTGTATTACCGCGAGAGAACCGCATCTTATTTCACCTAGTACTTCACACGAAGTATTTCACTCTTGTAACACTACTTCAGGTTGAACACACTGTAACAGAGGAGGTGACAGGTGTAGATATCGTATGTTCCCAGCTTGAAGTTGCTATGGGAACGTCTCTACCTGAACTTGGTCTTTCTCAGGTCAGATTCTAGAACTTTTATAATATAGTAACCATGGTAACTTTGTATGTTCAATTATTAGATTCCGGATCAGAACTTACAAACATATCTGAATGTAATTTTACTTTCGCTGTATTTCCCCGAGGCAATGTGATAGATAACTGCAGTACATTTGCAGGACAAAGTAGAATGTGTAGGCTCGTCTATTCAATGTAGGATAACGACAGAGGATCCAGAGAACGGGTTTATCCCTGACAATGGCCGAATAATCACCTATCGGTAAATATGACTCTATGATAATATTTTTCTCAACTATTAAACTTTGTTTATATATCTTGTCGCCTCTTACAACTAAATTGATTCGTGAAACAAGTAAAAAACGCTATGCCTTCTTGCTGACAAAACTATGCCTTCTTGCCGCCATCACAACATAACACTATCCGGATATTACTTATACATAATATGTATTATAATTCATATCCTATATATCGTAACCGGGTGTTACACAACATACCACCTTATACATACCTAATACCTACTTACTATATACCTAATACATACCTACTACATACCTAATACATACCTAATACATACCTAATACATACCTAATACATACCTAATACATACCTAATACATACCTAATACATACCTAATACATACCTAATACATACCTAATACATACCTAATACATACTTTATATATACCTAATACAGTACATACTATATACCTAATACATACCTAATACATACCTAATACATACCTAATACATACCTAATACATACCTAATACATACCTAATACATACATACTATATACCTAATACATACCTAATACGTACCTAATACATACCTAATACATACATACTATATACCTAATACATACCTAATACGTACCTAATACATACCTAATACATACCTAATACATACTTTATATATACCTAATACATACCTATTACCTAATACATACCTAATACATACCTAATACATACCTAATACATACCTAATACATACCTAATACATAACTTACATAACACCTAACTAATAATACCTGCAGGAGTCCAGGCGGGTACGGAGTGAGACTAGACAGAGGGAGTGGGTACAGTGGATCTGTTATCACACCCTACTACGATTCTCTGCTCGCTAAGTGTATCACTACTTCCTCCTCATTTGACAGTTAGTTATGTTCTTGTTTGATTGAAGTTAAAAGAAGATAAAAAAGGGCAGGTTAAGCTTTTACCAGGGAATAAGGATATTTGATATGTTTCTTGGCCGATGAAGCATATCAAACGCTACCTTTTTTCAGTACTGAAGCTCGGTTATAAAATGCTATAAGCTGTATCCCTCCACTAGGCTATAATTTCAATTTCCCTAGGGTATTTTTTGTAAGGTTTTTCGAAAACGACGTACTTAATAAGGCAGTTATTGTAGGAGTTCTACCTTTAACAATGTTTCACTCTATCAGGAGCTGTTGCCAAGATGGTACAGGCCCTGTCAGATTTCAGAGTGAGAGGTGTAAAGACTAACATTGCATTCTTGGAGCGAGTAATGCATCACCCTGACTTCATATCTGGAAACAGTCAGTTTGTTTATTTGTTTATTTGTTAATTCTATAGATACGATAGATATTTTCCTGATGGGCTTATCAGTGGCGTAACGTTGCCTGTTGGCGCCCCCTGCCGAAAAAGCGCCCCCCTGTTGGCGCCCCCTCCCCTTTTGGTGCCCCTCCCTAAAATTGAACAAAATAGGTGATTTTAGAGAATACGCCGGTAAAATCTCTAAAAAAGTGTGTATCTAGAGCAAAACGCGCAGTTTTGCTAGTACTTTAGTTAAGTTTTCGAAATTGTCCCACATTCAAACGACGATTTGGCGCCCCCCTAAGACGGCGCCCCCCTGCACAGCGGGGTCAGCAGGGCCTTTCGTTACGCCACTGGGGCTTATCTATCTATTTTACAACAACTTGTTGCCCGAGAATTAAGTAAATCTAACCTTATCCATTCCTTCAGTCGACACCTCGTTTATCGAGAAAGAGAGCGACTACTTGCTCGCTCCCTGGGACGACAAGTCAGGAATGTTAAACACCTTGAGATACCTGAGTGAGGTAATGGTGAACGGCACTGACATTCCGGGTCTCCAAGGAAAACCAGGAGCAAACCCAATACCTTTAGCTCCTGTGGAGGAGGTGTATCAGAGGGGGTACAAACAGGTGCGAAATAGGGTTGCCATTATCGGTACAAAATTTTTTATCGCGATAATCGATAATTTTTTCAAAATTATCGCGATAATATCGGTTATCGGCGATAAATTTGGCAATATAATTGAAGTAATATTTATATGCACTCTGCATACTTGAATTATGCTCATATGCTATGTTACATCTTGTGCTGATTGCTTTGTTAAAGAATCAGTTGCAATATTGCCCTTTTATTTAACAAGCCCAAATTTCATAGACAAAATATGTTATTGCTTTTAGCAAACAATTTTTAAAAAGAAATCAGCACATGCACGACGTATTTCTTTGATAGTGTCAGTTTCCTGCCTGTTAGCAGTGAACAGACCTATCTCCCGAGCAAGGGTATCTGTCCTTGCTACCGTAGTCAAATCACTGCCCTAATGTAGGTCTGATAATTCTTTTGTCAGCGGGATAGGATTGGAATCTGGTATCTGAAATTGTGGGAGTCGCCTGTGAGTCCTGAGGAACAATCGTCGAACTACATGCGAAGCTCAATCGCTGTTTGTCTCTTTCTGCTTAAACAACCGCTGGTGCAGAGACTTAGAGTTACGTATCAAGGTTGACTTTGTGATAACTCTGTATTCTTGTCCTACATCTTCATCTAGAATACCGGGGTCCGAGTAGAACTTTACCAGCGATACGAAGTGAAGGCCCTTTCTCTTGGCATATCGTGTACGTAGCCTATCGAGAAGGGTTCGAGAAAGTGGCGAGTCTATCTCAGATCTCTTCTAGCTTGCTGTCAATAAACTAAATAATCACTTCTGCTTGAGCGAGCATGCTGTCTCTTTTACACAAAAACTCAGTTACAATCTTGAACGGTGCGAGAGTCTTGGTAATGTCTTTTAAAGCTAACTCAGTCTCTTCTACATCCAGTTTTAGATTGCCTAGCTCCAAGTCATCTAAAATTCCGTGCACTGCATCAGTTATCCGGTCATATCTCTCCAACATACTGCACAGCGAGCTCCAACGGGTTTAGTAGTCTCGTTGCAGTCTGCAAGTACCTTTTCGTGCTTCAACAAACAACAATAACGAGGTCTACAACCTCCAAGTAGACTGCAAATTATGCTAGCACTGGGTTTTAACTTTACAAACAGAGAAATGGATTCGAAAAATATGTTAAATGTTGGCCATCTTACCCTAATAAAAATTTGTTGATTATCGCGATAATTCTCGAAAATTATCGCGATAATCGATAACGATTTTTGGGAAATTATCGCCGATAATTATCGGCCGATAATATCGGTTGGCAACCCTAGTGCGAAACATGTCCTCTAAATTCGGGCTTATTGTGCGGACATTTAATCTGTGATTTTACATGTATCTCTATATGGAATAATAATCCTTACAACGGTTTCTACAGATTACAGACTGCACATTTCTGTGCTGCATGTCATCTTGCGATGTACATTGTATGTGTATTTCTCGAGCTTGATTAATTACCAGGTTGTAGTGTTGGCAGCTAGGAATCCGGCAATAATGATTACAAAATATGCTTGGCTTATTTTTAATTTTACAAGAATCGCTTTGGATAGAATGAGGCTTTAGCTGACTACAATTGATTAAAAGTAGAGTAGAGCAGTTTTGAACAGCTATATAAGATAAGTGTAGAGTTTAACCTGTACTCTATCAGGTGTTAAATAAGAGTAGAGTTTAAGCCCGTACTCTATCAGGTGCTAGATAAGTGTAGAGTTTGACCCGTACACTATCAGGTGCTAGATAAGTGTAGAGTTTGACCCGTACTCTATCAGGTGCTAGATAAGTGTAGAGTTTAAGCCCTTACTCTATCAGGTGCTAGATAAGAGTAGAGTTTAAGCCCGTACTCTATCAGGTGCTAGATAAGTGTAGAGTTTAACCCGTACTCTATCAGGTGCTAGATAAGTGTAGAGTTTGACTCGTACTCTATCAGGTGCTAGATAAGTGTAGAGTTTGACCCGTACTCTATCAGGTGCTAGATAAGTGTAGAGTTTGACCCGTACTCTATCAGGTGCTAGATAAGTGTAGAGTTTGACCCGTACTCTATCAGGTGCTAGATAAGTGTAGAGTTTGACCCGTACTTTATCAGTTGCTAGATAAGTGTAGAGTTTGACCCGTACTCTATCAGGTGCTAGATAAATGTAGAGTTTAACCCGTACTCTATCAGGTGCTAGATAAGTGTAGAGTTTGACCCGTACTCTATCAGGTGCTAGATAAGTGTAGAGTTTAACCCGTACTCTATCAGGTGCTAGATAAGTGTAGAGTTTGACTCGTACTCTATCAGGTGCTAGATAAGTGTAGAGTTTGACCCGTACTCTATCAGGTGCTAGATAAGAGTAGAGTTTAAGCCCGTACTCTATCAGGTGCTAGATAAGTGTAGAGTTTGACCCGTACTCTATCAGGTGCTAGATAAGAGTAGAGTTTGACCCGTACTCTATCAGGTGCTAGATAAGAGTAGAGTTTGACCCGTACTCTATCAGGTGCTAGATAAGTGTAGAGTTTGACCCGTACTCTACCAGGTGCTAGATAAGGGTAGAGTTTAAGCCCGTACTCTATCAGGTGCTAGATAAGTGTAGAGTTTGACCCGTACTCTATCAGGTGCTAGATAAGAGTAGAGTTTGACCCGTACTCTATCAGGTGCTAGATAAGTGTAGAGTTTAACCCGTACTCTATCAGGTGCTAGATAAGTGTAGAGTTTGACTCGTACTCTATCAGGTGCTAGATAAGTGTAGAGTTTGACCCGTACTCTATCAGGTGCTAGATAGGTGTAGAGTTTGACCCGTACTCTATCAGGTGCTAGATAAGTGTAGAGTTTGACCCGTACTCTATCAGGTGCTAGATAAGAGTAGAGTTTAAGCCCGTACTCTATCAGGTGCTAGATAAGTGTAGAGTTTGACCCGTACTCTATCAGGTGCTAGATAAGAGTAGAGTTTGACCCGTACTCTATCAGGTGCTAGATAAGTGTAGAGTTTGACCCGTACTCTATCAGGTGCTAGATAAGAGTAGAGTTTAAGCCCGTACTCTATCAGGTGCTAGATAAGTGTAGAGTTTGACCCGTACTCTATCAGGTGCTAGATAAGTGTAGAGTTTGACCCGTACTCTATCAGGTGCTAGATAAGAGTAGAGTTTGACCCGTACTCTATCAGGTGCTAGATAAGAGTAGAGTTTGACCCGTACTCTATCAGGTGCTAGATAAGTGTAGAGTTTAACCCGTACTCTATCAGGTGCTAGATAAGTGTAGAGTTTGACTCGTACTCTATCAGGTGCTAGATAAGTGTAGAGTTTGACCCGTACTCTATCAGGTGCTAGATAGGTGTAGAGTTTGACCCGTACTCTATCAGGTGCTAGATAAGTGTAGAGTTTGACTCGTATTCTATCAGGTGCTAGATAAGTGTAGAGTTTGACCCGTACTCTATTAGGTGCTAGATAGGTGTAGAGTTTGACCCGTACTCTATCAGGTGCTACATAAGTGTAGAGTTTGACCCGTACTCTATCAGGTGCTAGATAAGTGTAGAGTTTGACCCGTACTCTATCAGGTGCTAGATAAGAGTAGAGTTTGACCCGTACTCTATCAGGTGCTAGATAAGAGTAGAGTTTGACCCGTACTCTATCAGGTGCTAGATAAGTGTAGAGTTTGACCCGTACTCTATCAGGTGCTAGATAAGAGTAGAGTTTAAGCCCGTACTCTATCAGGTGCTAGATAAGTGTAGAGTTTGACCCGTACTCTATCAGGTGCTAGATAAGAGTAGAGTTTGACCCGTACTCTATCAGGTGCTAGATGAGTGTAGAGTTTGACCCGTACTCTATCAGGTGCTAGATAGGTGTAGAGTTTGACCCGTACTCTATCAGGTGCTAGATAAGTGTAGAGTTTGACCCGTACTCTATCAGGTGCTAGATAAGTGTAGAGTTTGACCCGTACTCTATCAGGTGCTAGATAAGTGTAGAGTTTGACCCGTACTCTATCAGGTGCTAGATAAGAGTAGAGTTTAAGCCCGTACTCTATCAGGTGCTAGATAAGTGTAGAGTTTGACCCGTACTCTATCAGGTGCTAGATAAGAGTAGAGTTTGACCCGTACTCTATCAGGTGCTAGATAAGAGTAGAGTTTGACCCGTACTCTATCAGGTGCTAGATAAGTGTAGAGTTTGACCCGTACTCTACCAGGTGCTAGATAAGGGTAGAGTTTAAGCCCGTACTCTATCAGGTGCTAGATAAGTGTAGAGTTTGACCCGTACTCTATCAGGTGCTAGATAAGAGTAGAGTTTGACCCGTACTCTATCAGGTGCTAGATAAGTGTAGAGTTTAACCCGTACTCTATCAGGTGCTAGATAAGTGTAGAGTTTGACTCGTACTCTATCAGGTGCTAGATAAGTGTAGAGTTTGACCCGTACTCTATCAGGTGCTAGATAGGTGTAGAGTTTGACCCGTACTCTATCAGGTGATAGATAAGTGTAGAGTTTGACCCGTACTCTATCAGGTGCTAGATGAGTGTAGAGGTTGACCCGTACTCTATCAGGTGCTGGATAAGTGTAGAGTTTGACCCGTATTCTATCAGGTGCTAGATAAGAGTAGAGTTTGACCCGTACTCTATCAGCTGCTAGATAAGAGTAGAGTTTGACCCGTACTCTATCAGGTGCTAGATAAGTGTAGAGTTTGACCCGTACTCTATCAGGTGCTAGATAAGAGTAGAGTTTAAGCCCGTACTCTATCAGGTGCTAGATAAGTGTAGAGTTTGACCCGTACTCTATCAGGTGCTAGATAAGAGTAGAGTTTGACCCGTACTCTATCAGGTGCTAGATAAGAGTAGAGTTTAAGCCCGTACTCTATCAGGTGCTAGATAAGAGTAGAGTTTGACCCGTACTCTATCAGGTGCTAGATAAGAGTAGAGTTTGACCCGTACTCTATCAGGTGCTAGATAAGTGTAGAGTTTGACCCGTACTCTATCAGGTGCTAGATAAGAGTAGAGTTTAAGCCCGTACTCTATCAGGTGCTAGATAAGTGTAGAGTTTGACCCGTACTCTATCAGGTGCTAGATAAGAGTAGAGTTTGACCCGTACTCTATCAGGTGCTAGATAAATGTAGAGTTTAACCCGTACTCTATCAGGTGCTAGATAAGTGTAGAGTTTGACTCGTACTCTATCAGGTGCTAAATAAGTGTAGAGTTTGACCCGTACTCTATCAGGTGCTAGATAGGTGTAGAGTTTGACCCGTACTCTATTAGGTGCTAGATAAGTGTAGAGTTTGACTCGTACTCTATCAGGTGCTAAATAAGTGTAGAGTTTGACCCGTACTCTATCAGGTGCTAGATAGGTGTAGAGTTTGACCCGTACTCTATCAGGTGCTGGATAAGTGTAGAGTTTGACCCGTACTCTATCAGGTGCTAGATAAGTGTAGAGTTTGACCCGTACTCTATCAGGTGCTAGATAAGAGTAGAGTTTAAGCCCGTACTCTATCAGGTGCTAGATAAGTGTAGAGTTTGACCCGTACTCTACCAGGTGCTAGATAAGTGTAGAGTTTAACCCGTACTCTATCAGGTGCTAGATAAGTCTAGAGTTTGACCTGTACTCTATCAGGTGCTGGATGAAGGAGGACCGGACGCACTGGCTCGCGCAGTCCGACAGAAAAGCGGTCTGCTACTGACGGACACGACGTGGCGAGACGCGCATCAGAGTTCACTCATGACCCGCATGAGAACACACGACCTCTGCAAGGTTTGTTAGATTATTTATAAATAAACTATTTGTAAACAGTATAAACAGTGATAAGCAGGTGTAGAAGTTGAGAATAAGCTTCCGTGTAGAGGAATAATAATAGGAATAGCAGAGAATCAGAGAACATCCGAGAGTTTACTATACCAGCAAATTTCAAGAGATAAAAGCAACAGCGTAGAATTGAGAGTCAACTAGCAAATTTCAAAAAATAAAAATTATAGCGTAGAATTGGATAACTTTCGACATGCTATTTGCTACTACATGATCTCAATAATTAAAATGATTGGAGAATGGTCGAGAATGTACTACCAACGTAGCGGTATGGTTAATTTGTGATTTTCATTGACAAATGTGCCTTACAATGTAGTCAGGGTTATATTAAGTAATTTATCCTCGAATTAGCCTAATTATGCTGTTGTACTATAATTATAATGAAAACACTAATGCTTCAAAGTTCAATGGACCATTGGTGCTTTTATTAATTTATTATGAAACCAACAAATTATCATAAGATTTACAATCGTGTGATGTCGTCTTATGTGATATTTAATATTATCATACGATGCATGGTGTGATAGTGAATATTTATCTAAGAAGGTGGTTTGAAGTGCTGGTCCTTGTGCTGAAAGGTTACGTAGTACTCACTACTCAACCTACTCGACAGATAAAAGGCCGGTATTGGCAGTTCTACTATTAGAAGTATATACAGTTTTATCAATATTATAATCAGAATATATACAGTTTTATCAATATCATCCACTTTTCACTGGTATTTCTAATATGTTGACATAATTTTCTGATGAAGTTAGATGATTTAATCATGCTAGTGCCTTGAATCTGTAGAATGCTGATTGCTGGTTCGTAATCTCACTAAATTGTACCTGATTCGGACGGGTTATAAACAAGTCAGAAGTTGAACTACCGTTTCCACAATAATTATCACGATGCATAACACGTTTAACTTCTGCAAATAATGCCATTATATTATGGGGTATGTAATCCGAACACGAACTACCGCTCCCACAATATAGCAGTTATGATCACCAAATCACGAATAACCTCTACAAAATGCTGATGTTGTGTGTGCGTGTGGCAAGGGGAGTCTTGATTATATTATGGTGAACATTTCCGGATTACTAGAGAATAAAGATCCGTTATGTAAACAAAAGTAATGTTAACAAAAGTCACATACTAACTACGTGTATTCGTAACCTGTTTGTAGCCCAAAATATGTCCTAGAAAATGGAGATTTTTTCATGATCAAGAATGTGCCAGATCTTCCATATTCTGTTGGAAACAACTAAACCTGTATATAACTTTTTAGTTATATAAGAGCTATGGTTTGGGCACAGACAATATTTGTATCATGTTCTCGTATTTTGAAAGACTCGCTAAATTTGCCATCATGAACTACTACAGGCATATCCTATGTCAAACGTATTTAAAAAATCACATTACCAATACCAGCCACAGAATATAATGTAGGATAATAAGATGATGCCACAGGACACGATCCTGTGGCAAGATGGGGTACAGTTTGAAATGCTCTGTTTCAATCTCATTATCAATCTCATTATCAGGTACATATCTCATTAAGTGTTTCAGGTGAAGACTGTACTACCATGTTTCAATCTGACAATGTGTTTCAGGCTGCTCCTATGACTGCTAAGTACATGAACAATCTCTTCTCTATCGAGATGTGGGGAGGCGCTACATTCGACGTGGCTTTAAGGTTTGTCTTCAAATTATTATGTACACTATCATATATAATTACCATAATCAATAATATACAGTGAAATATCAATTTCCGGACTCAGGACCTGTTGATTCCGGACATTACTGGACCATCTTTTAGTTGTCTGGCTAATCAGATAACCACACATCAGGTTTCTACACGAATGCCCTTGGAGGAGATTAGAAAGACTAAGAGAGGCTGTACCCAACATTCCTTTCCAGATGTTGCTGAGAGGAGCAAATGGAGTTGGATACACTTCATACCCTGACAACGTGGTAGGTTACTGACAAGTTACCATGACAACGTAGTAGGTTACTGACAAGTTACCCTGACAAAATGGTAGGTTACTGACAAGTTACCCTGACAACGTAGTAGGTTACTGACAAGTTACCCTGACAACGTAGTAGGTTACTGACAAGTTACCCTGACAAAATGGTAGGTTACTGACAAGTTACCCTGACAACGTGGTAAGTTACTGACAAGTTACCCTGACAACGTGGTTGATTTACTAACGCAATGTCTTCCAAATTTCATGTAGTTTGTTGAGCCATATCGTGCTGTGTCATCTTGTAAGTTTAAATCAATTTTTTTATCCTTATCTTGTTTTATCCTTTTAGGTGTACGAGTTTGTAAAGCAGTCCTCGGAGGCCGGAGTTGATATCTTCAGAGTGTTTGACTCCCTCAACTTCGTGGACAATATGCTGCTAGGTAGACTTTCAACTTCAGACCTTGTTATATTGCCCAGAATCACGTGATATTTCTAATTGAACCTCCAGTATAAGACAGTATGTTCTTCTTCCTCCAGTTTTTTAAACGGGATAATGGACCTATCCATTTTAATCATAGTATTGTACTGCTATTGTAACATAAACCATGGTATTGTAACATAAACCATGGTATTGTAACATAAACCATGGTATTGTAACATAAACCATGGTATTGTACCACTAATAATAGTACATTTAACCAGGGATAGATGCAGTGAGACAAACTAAAGGAGTAGCAGAGGCTGCTATCTGTTACACAGGGGACCTATCAGCTACTAATGGTGGAGGCAAATACAACATTGATTACTATCTTAACTTAGCAAAGGTACAACATTGATTACTATCTTAACTTGGCTAAGGTATGGTCACAGTTGTGCAGCTTAATAGTTAATATTGCTGTGTGACAGCAAGGTCCTCTTTAACAATCGTGAAATCGTAATGATATATTGTTGGAGACTTTGGAATCTGTCTGACGAATTAAAATCTAGTCAAATGCTTTTATCGTCGTTGTACAATATCTTTGCATATCTATTCCTCTGTAGATTAAGTATATCTTACTAACTACTGCCTACTCAATATCTCAGGTATTTGTTGAAGCAGGAGCCCACATTCTCTGTGTAAAAGATATGGCAGGGTTACTGAAACCGGCTGCGGCGACTACACTAATCTCAGCGCTTCGAGCGGAGTTCCCGGATACGCCGATACACGTGCACACACACGACACTGCAGGTATACATTATACATTGTACATCCTGTATACACTATACATCCTGTTCAGGGTCATAGTTAATTGTATTTGTATACACGGTGGTTATGTCAATAAGCTCAGACTAAACTGAATTATAAAAAGGTTTCAGGTTAAATTTCCTTGTTATGTTCGTTCTAGTTATTAAAGTTTGTCGCAAGTTTAATTGTAGATATTACATGCACATGTTGATGTAAGATCAGGCGATTATTTATGATAGATATTTTCAAGTTCAACAGTTATTCTCAGTCCGATTATATGCATAATAATATGGTAATGTTTGTAATCCAGAATATCCATACATTCAACAAAGACTCTCTTTTAACCTGGAACAATTTTACTTGCAAGGATCACGATTCTTCCAGTTCGCCTGTCATAGACTAAATTTGAATTTCTGTGGTGATATTTATCGAATTTTCGTTACAAAGAAATCAATTTATTAATTAACAGCATTTTATCAAATTAAGGAAACGACTAAATCACACTATAGTGTCACCAATAAAACGAAGGGGAAATATGAACTAGAAAACTCCAATTTTGGTAGATCTATAAACGGTTTTAAATCGGTAATAAAAATTCATCATTCTTTCGCAACTACTTGTGGTCACTGTACTGAAAGTTTTCTGTTTTATAGGATTGATGATATGACGATGAATAATATTTATTTAGGAACTCCCGCGCCTTGGGCTGATTACGACAATTGTAATTTGTATGTAAAAAGGTGGGCATCGACAATACTTCCGCGCGCGCGCGATTGGACGTGACGCGCGATGCAATGCTTCATTATAATATAATTTATATTATGATATTTTCGGCGACATATCAGATCAGCTGTTCAATCTTTCAGTCCGTTCTTGCAAACTTGTTAAGGCAGATTCGTCCGAGTGCCGATGTTTTACCTGATGTCTCCACAGATATACAGTTGTATTTAATTGAGTCTATAGCCACCACTGTACCAAAGTATCGGCCATCTCCAGATATAAATCTATGTATTTACTATTTCTCGCTTCCTTGTGTTATTTTTCTCAGATTATTAAAGTTGAAGTCTCAGTTCACTGATTCTAAAAATGTAAGGCCCTATTATGCATTTTATCACTCATCTTGATCTTATACCACGATAAGTCAGCACAACGTCGTTTAGTAATGTTAAATCCCAAACTTTTGTGAAGAGTCAAGAGTGAACAACTCCCGAGATTCGAGAATAACATACACTGAGCGAATTTTCTGAGAACTGGCATGAAAGCAAATTTATAATTCGTGATTCATTTCGGTATTAATCAACTTGAAATTATCATGTTAACATCTAAAATCCCAAATATTTCAATGTGCTTTCTATCGAATTAATGCAATTTTACGTTATATCACGAATTGTCGTGGATACTGGATATCCTCGAATTTGTATTTTTATAATTCATCGCAAGGATTCACCTTAGTATAGGTCACTGTGAGGCTGTCTGATTTGAAGGACTATCAAAGAATTCACAACGCTGACAACAATTTTTATCAGCTCTCAAAAACTTAAACAAAAATCCCTCCACTATTAAAAGAGATGCAGCTTTAAATTGTTTGATCACAAAATTTAATCATAACGTGGGGGCTTTCAATTGAATTGCAGATCTTCAAATATCACTTGTTCATGCTGAATAGTTCCAAATGTATTTTGTTGAATGTTACACTCGTCCTTATGTTAGTAAAGTCCCGGCATGTGTCCAAAGCGTACCTCGCATATTTCCTCTCTCTTTTACTCCTCTAGGTCCTCATCAATTGCCCTTAACTTGGTGTCTCCTCTCTTAAAAGAAACGTTTTTAGAAGTTGTGGTCGGATAAGTGATGTAGGCCGACGTCGATTGCTTCATCTCAGAAAAAAGTTGCTTTTTCTCATTGATCGACTTTCTGATACTTTCTGTGGCCTCATCTTGGAAAATTATCATGGCTATGAATAAAAGAGGACCCTGCATGCCCGATAGAACGATGAACAGATATTGCACGAAGGCTCTGAAAGCTACAGGGCCCACAGCTAGCCCAATAACGATCCAAGGTAGCCCTACTGACACTGCAACTACCATCATAGCCCTCGCTGCCTTTATTACATTTGTATTTCCTTTACCAAGTCTCGCTGATTTGATAATCACTCTCGCCACCATACCAAAGCACACGCAATTGAACAGTAAGATCAGGTATCCAGGTGCTAGGAACCCGATGTATCTCCATGGATTTTCAACCCAACAGCTTGTTCCGTTTTCTTTGCTTGCTCCGACGTAAGGCATGGTGTATCCGTCCTTGTTCTGGACTTTGAACAGAAGTAATGCTGCAACTGGGAAAACTGCTGGACAAACCCAACTGATTACAGCGCACTTGTGAAAGTAATATTTATCCGTATTTCCAAAAGTCTTGATTGCGTTCGCGATCTTTTTGAAGAAGGTCCAAGCAATGCAACCCATCCAGAAGAAAGCGGAGAGAAAGAAGTACTGAGTCAGGGTTACTCCTGCCACACATCCGGTGTTTAAAGACAAAAGAGGATCTCCCGATGCGTCCACAGTTATTCGGGCGGAAGCGGAAAGTGAGGCGAAGGATACGTGCCCAAGTATCAGAGTTAAGATTAAGCTGAGTTGGATTGCCACCAGCTGTTTATTCCTCAGCTTCTTGAAAGGAGCTACCAGGCAGAATGTCAGCGAGAGGAACATTATATTTATCAATCCTACGATATAGCTGACCAGCTCTTGTGTATCAGTATCGGTTATTTTTGTTGGGCTCATCAGAATAGCAAAGCTTGTTGTGTGAGAACAGTTGCAGGTGCAGGTTTCGTCTTTGTTGATAATGGTTGTGCAACCGTTAGTCATCCATTCGTCAGTTGTAGTGTTTAAATAGACACACTGACTTTCCATAGTGTATCCTTCGTGCTCTGGGTATTGCTTTAGCTGGAATGTCAGTGAGAATGAGGATTTGGGTACTTTTTGAGTGTTCATGAAGTTTACTGACACGATCGGAGAACCGATAGTGTCGTTGATACCTTGAGGTTTTGGCAGAATGTCTTTGAAAGATTCATCCATTACAACCACGTTAGCCCTCTGTCCTTCTTGGGTCCCAAAGTTAATTCTTACAGGAAGATTCACTTTTGGTACGGCTTTCGGAGCATCTAACTTTACCCCTTCTCTCTGTGAAACGATTGACTTTGCCAACATTGAAGCTGTCGTGATATTACTGCCCTCTTTTAACGTCATTGACACGGCTTCGATAATCTCTATAATTTCAGAATTCTTTTTCTCGTTGCTAAATTCGGGTTTACTGTTTTTAACGATTTCAATTATCTCCATAATTGCTGTACTAAGTCCCTCAATGTTTGTTGAAGCATTTTTCAAGAGATGTTTGATGGATGACAATAATTGTATTAATTGTTGGGCATTTTCTGGTGACAGGGAAACATCTGAATTCACGATAACATTGAACCCATTTATAACACCTTGGATATTGCCAGATTTGAATGCCCCGTTTAAAATGTCCATGTATTCAGATGTTTTGGACTGACAGCTGTCCAAACGTTCACATCTTCTGCAGGGCGGCCGATCTCCGTTAGTAGAATGCCATCCAAGTGTACAACCTGAAAAATACAACAATTCACTGCTTCAAGACTTCTACTTCTATACTTTTTAATGTTTTGTTGTGACAATCATTCTGACTAAAATTACACCTAAAAAGGGTAATATTCCCTGCTACTTAATTTAAAGGTAAAGTATAAAAAGTAACTTACTACAACTAGTAAAGTTAGCATTAGCTTCGGAACCAGCCGGGCAGGTAGTGCACTCTGTTGAACCGACTTCACTGACAGTGTTTACTCTGCAGTTTGCACATGTAGTCATATTATAGCTTCTGTACTGACCGGCAGGGCATTCTTCTGAAACATACAATATTTTGAAAATATGTATGTTATACAAGGAAACGATGTAAAAACTCGTAATCTCGTGAATCAAATAAAATCTGAATGAATGCAGTTTTTGATCAGTTCTCATCAGAATAATTACAAAAGAAATGAAATATCAAACATTTTAAATTCCTTTGTGAAAAGAATGGTGCTAACAAAAGCAAGTGACAATATCCAAACTTATAATTTAATCCATTTTTACCAAAGAAACAATCATCTGATGTAGATCCAGCTTCAGAAACCATGCCCTCAGGACAACTCGTACAAGAAGAAGCTCCATCAGCACTGAAAGTGTTCTCTCCACATTGTTGACATCCAATGTCTGTCATGTAGTTTCCAGCCGAGCATGGTGCTGCAAAAAGCGTACAAGTAGAGACCAGAAAAATGAGTTCATAATCTTACTAAATCGAAGATATTAATTTGAACTGTCAAATAATACAAATTTAATCACTCTTATTCTTACCAAAGAAACAATCCTCCTCTGATCTAGATCCAGCAGTAGACACCATATCCTCAGGACAACTTGTACAAGAAGAATCATTATCAGTACTGAACGTATTCTCTCCACACTGTTGACACCCATTGTCTGTCATGTAGCTTCCAGCCAAGCATGGAGCTGAGGAACAGTGATCAAGACCAGAAAAATGACAGTTTTTTAAAGAATTAAAGATACAATTTTGAATAGATTTAATATCGTTTACTTAGCTCTTAGTGATCAGCGGTCAAATGGGACAAATTTAGTTAGTCTTACCGAAGGAACAGTCGTCCTCTGATGTAGATTCTGTTGCTGAAACCATGTGCTCTGAACAATTTGTACAAGAAGAAGCCCCCTCAGCACTGAAAGTGTTCTCTCCACATTGCTGACATCCAATGTCTGTCATGTAGTTTCCAGCCGAGCATGGTGCTGCAAAAAGCGTACAAGTAGAGACCAGAAAAATGAGTTGACAATCTTATTAAATAATTAAATCGAAGATTTTATTTTGAACTGTCAAATAATACAAATTCAATCACTCTTATTCTTACCAAAGAAACAATCCTCATCTGATGTAGATCCAGCTGCAGAAACCATGCCCTCACGACAACCGGAACAAAAAGAAGCTCCAGCAGCACTGAAGGTGTCGTCTCCACATTGTTGACATCCATTATCCGTCATGTAGTTTCCGGCCGAGCATGGTGCTGCAAAAAAAGCTTAAAAGTAGAGACCAGAAGAATTAACAGAAATTTTTGTAAATTGGAGATATGTTTTTGAACTGTCAAATAGTAAAAATTCAATCACTCTTACCGAAGGAACAGTCGTCCTCTGATGTAGATCCAGCTGCAGAAACCATGTGCTCTGAACAATTTGTACAAGAAGAAGCTCCAGCAGCACTGAAAGTGTTCTCTCCGCATTGCTGACATCCACTATCCGTCATGTAGTTTCCAGCCAAGCATGAGAATGTAAGAGCAGCCAGAGATTCTGATGGTTTTTGTGAAAAAAAGAGAACGATTTATCGTAATATAGTTAATGAATTTGTTGTAAATTTTTGTTCCCTATTTCATTTAAACTATTCGAACAGTCTTCACCGAAGTGGGATACATATTATTTTAGCACCTGTTGTCGTTGATCCTTGATCCAACACTGCTGATGTTGTTGATTGTGGTTTAGTCTCTGAACTCTCGGTACTTCCTGAACAAAACGAATAACTGAATTCTTATAGGTACAAATATTTTCGATTTTCGGAACGAGATTCATCAATAAATGATTTGTATCATTTTGATAGATTAACAACTTGGAAACCAATTATATCTTACCAACAATTAGCACATCAGTAGTTGCTGTCGTAGGCGGGGGCGTAATTGTGGGAAGAATTTGATCTTCTGAAAGATTTTTCATTTTGAAAAAATGGCAGCCAACTACCAAAAGTGCATGAACTTTGATAGGGAGTCGCCAATTGATTTACTTATTACTTGCAAAAATAATTGAGCTGGGAATGATGAGGACTACTTTAATATGTTGACTTTAATGATTTGTTTACTTCATATATATACTAATAAGTTCTAAATAACGGATAGTGTAAACACAACGCTGCTATCTAATCTTTCTCTAAAGAAACACAATTATAAAACTTGCATTCTGCGCCGATTTGCTCTGTAAAAAAAATATTCCTAATCTAAACATTCCCATGTTGGAACTACATGTTCTTACCTTTTCTTAGTCCTATAACAGCAATCTCGCGAACTGGCAGTACCCAAGCACTGCTCTTCACATTAATGGTGATAATGTCTCCGTATATACATTCCGGACGAATCAGTTCTGATGACACATGAGCTTGCTCAGTAGCGGTACTGACTGTTGCGGTGTAAAGACGGCAGAAAGTGTAAGAACCCTTACACTCGCATGTCCTGCCCGAGCATGTCCATGTCCCTACATATGGGCTCCTTGTGAAGAACAAAACCTGCTGAATACAGTGCACCTGATCAAAGAATACCTTAAACCAAGGGTTGGTACCTCCGCCTGCTATTAGTACAGGTATGGCATTGGTCTCCGGGTCCAAGTCAATAGCGTTGGAAGCCCCGTGCTGCTCCTGTTTAGCCCACGCAGCTCCGGACTGTTCAGCGCGTACTGGTACAATCTCACCAGCTAGTCTTTCTCTTTCTAAAACAACAAATATTTCAATGAAACCCAGACCGGTCTTAACCCAACAAAAAGCAATAAATATTTTGGATATGCCAATGTTTTTAATATTTCATAAAATTAAAATCAGCACGATAGGTGTGGATACTCGTGAGGTAACCCATATTTGTTCTGACTCGTGATCAAAAGCTGGCAGTCATCCAATGTAATTATGCCATTAGCTGAAACCACGTGCTCTATAAAATTGGTTTCACCAACTAAAAACTTTCAGCTTTTGGTGACATTGAAACAGAAGACACTGATATCAGAGAACAATTGCAAATTTGTGTGATCATAGTCTAGACGTCCAGTGAGCTCGTGGTGAACAAAAGAGTATTGCATTTTGATTTTTAGCACGTGAGTTTAAAATCAGGGTCAACCCCAATTCGGAAAGAGCCCGAATGGACGAGCATTAACTAAAATGCTCGTTCGGCTTGACCCCCAATCAAAATTCTTTGGGTTGCACTGACTACTTTATACTTCATTGAACAAGTCAAGACAACAATTTGTATACTTAAAATGTTAAAAACGTGTCCAAATGTGTGATCTTACCTTGAGTAGCGAGGAGTGGAAGATAAATGATATTGAAAATCACAAAGTGTATAACAAAGTAGCAAGCCATGTTATTGATCATAGATCCAATCATGTTGGCAGATCATGAGTTATAATCAAAGTTCCTTTCAACAACACGACCATTTAGCAATCGCAGCTGAAATTGAAACAATAGGGAATGATTGAGAAATAAACATTATCCATACGACTTTATATTACTACCTCATACTACGAGGCGTTAGCGGAGTCGTTGGATTGCATTATCATATCATTTTGTCATTACCAAAATATCATTCTGCGCTATTACTTTTGCCTAACAAAAGCGTCGTTCCTCACGAGGAATAGCATCAATTAGCACAACAGACAATTACTATTTTAGTGAAGTAAGCTTGTAATATTGTACCACAAGTGTAGTCGGCTGCCTCCTTTCTGCTTGAGAAGAATAAGCTTAGTAATACTTAATAGTAAACATTTGACAAATGGCACTAATGATCAACAAATGGGTAATGAAAGGAAAAAACATACTTTTTCTCAGATACCTATTGACTGACTAAAAGGTGAACACAAGCAAGAGAAACTGATTTAAGTTTTAAGATTTTTTTTTCGCCACCACTTTAAAGCATGACCGTCAGCCTTTGTACCCCCTTAAATATATAATGTTTAGTTTAGATTCATCAGAAGTCGTTTGGCAGGTTTATTTATAGAATTTCATAGTTCAAAATATTATAATTTGATGTTGAAGATGACAGGAATACATAATACCTATAAAGAGATTTTTACGCAATTTGCACAAAAAAGCGCTTGCACTGATAAATTAAATTCGGTTAAAAAACCCAAATTCGTCGATTTCGTGCGACCGATTTCATTCTCGGCATCATTTCGCGTTTGAATACGGTAATTCAAATTGATATCATTTCCTTTTGTTTGAAAAAAGGAGACATTGTGCATTGGTGACAGTCCACTATAACCAATATATAATATTCTGGTTTTAGAATAGTGAATAACAATTCGGCACATAAAAGAAGAATTTGTATAGATAAACAGGCAAAAGGAACGTTTCTATTTCAGATAGAAACTGCAGTGCGGGATTAATCCGATAGACAGACCCGAGTTCGCAGTGTTATCACGTGACAGTGCCGTCACAAACAATTGAATAAATCATTAGTGAAAAAAGTGTATCTATTTTAGATGAGTCGGCCTGCAGTATGAGTCATGTGAATAAAATTACTAATTAATGGTGTAAAATCGATTTAAAAAGTTGTCACTTTGTCAAAAAACAAGTTTTAAAACGGTTAACTTGATGACGTCATCCATTGGCAATGATAGTGTCAAATCATTTTTATAGATAAAGTAAACTGAAGTCTAAATAATTATCTTCAAGATCTGTGGCCGGAAATGGCTGTATCTTTTATACTTATATATGCACAATTTCAGATCTCTAACTCAATTTTAACATGGTTTTCAAGGCACCTGAATATGGAGATTTTTGGTTTTATACCGAATTTCGTATAACAGTGCTGGCGCGTATTTTACGCAAATTTCTTGAAAACCTCTAAATAACTATTTCTTATTCCTGTCAAAGCTTGTTATTTGTCTGATATTAGCTGGCTTTAACTTGGTATCTTCACTCATAATCCCGGAGAGATATATAAAGCAAAGGGCTTGACATGTTGTAAATCGTAAAATTCATACCCAACAAAATAAAATGATAAGCGTTCAATAAAAATCTGCTTCCCAAGAGAACGTCCAATACATCAACAATCAACATATAAAAAAAGTAAAAACACGTGTCTATATGCAAAAGGAAATCTATAATTGAAAAAAGGGAAATCAACCTGGCGGCTTCTTTCTAATCCGCGACAGTCCTGCCAACAATGATCATTGTGATTGAGCACGTACTACAAATTCGGCTGGTCCAATTTAATCAAAACTAATTGTAATGATCTTTTCTATTAATAATCTTCATTGTAAAGCACCGAACATCATCTGAGCAATAAAGCATGGTCTGAATACGATATAACATCCGGTGAAATTGTAGCTTAACTTCCATCTGTGCACGTGTTCATCCAACGATGGCCAATATTTGTCAATAATCAAGAAACAAAGCTTGAAGTTAAACTACACGTACCGCAGGCATGCCACCGGAATATACGGGTAACTGTCACTTGTCAGCCAAGATCTGCCACAAATTATTTTGGTGGAAGCCATCAAATTCAATCATGGTTTGAAATCATTATTGCAGTTTTCTACACAGAAGTGTCCAGAAAAAGGTGGTTTAAATAGTCAAAGTGGTAAAGGTGGTTAACACAACATTATCACCCAGGTACCGGAGTTGCGAGTATGGTGGCATGTTATCAGGCTGGAGCTGATATAGTCGACGTCGCAACGGATGCTATGTCTGGGGTAACCTCGCAACCTAGCATGGGGGCTGTGCTTAACTCCCTGCCTGCCATAAACTCTGACTTTGACCAGGAGAGACTGTTCGAGATTAATAATTATTGGGAACAGGTGGGTTCTACTTTGTGAAAGTTACATTTTAGTGTCATAATTATTTTATAAGCTGTTGTAACGACGATTGATTATTTAGTTGGGTTAGTTGGATAGAGTCTGTTGTGTTTTATCATTTCAGTTGTATATCTGTATCAGCTGTAATGATTCCAAAAACGACCGTAACATAAGCCCCCTACAAGAAGTTTTATCAAACGTTTTACCGAACCTGTTTTATCTTGTAACGGAAGAATTCTTTGCTTTCAGATAAACCTGCACAGATTTGTTGTAACCCAGAATAACCTAGAATAACCCAGAATAACCCAGAATTACCCAGAATTACCCAGAATAACCCAGATTTTATCTCAGGTTCGACAGCTTTACAGGTGCTTTGACCCAGGCACCCAGGCTACCAACACTGAGGTCTATAAACACGAGATTCCGGGGGGCCAGTATACCAACATGCTCTTCCAGGTAATTATATTTGTTTGTTTGTTTGTTTGTTTATAGAACCCGTCCCCAATCTCGTATCGGAAAATGACTAAACTCAGGTCTGAGTGTGAATACGGGTGGTACCTGCAAGAGTGTTCATTAAGCATTTAGAGTTCTGTAAAACTGCAGTTACAATTGTGCTAGAGTATTTTTAGTTTATACGATTGGTATCAGATATATATCCCTACATGCTTCCAAAATTTGTAAAGCCGTAGTACATACATATCACATTACACCGGAGCCTACACAGTGCAATCTCCTCCAGTCGATCTGCGCCGCGTATGTTTATATAAGCGCGCGGCGCAGACTGGAGGAAACCACACTCTGCAAGTTCGATCCAGTGCAATGCTACATGTACGTACTACGGCTTCATCTCCAACTTTCTGCACAATGTACTGGAATGTTTTGAAGGAAAAGAAAGAACCAAAAAAAAAAGATATATATAAATAAAATCAGCGATTTAATGTTAGCCTTAGGAGGGTAACTTTAATTGAAATTCCCTGGTTTCTAAAATCATCTTTTAAAAAAAAAAATAATAAAGTATGTAACGTCGATACCAAACCGATTATTGAGCGATAATAACTGAATAGTGGATTCCTGGGTTGCAGAGTCATTCAGATGTTTCAGTCTTCGAATGTGGTTCTTTGTTCAGTTTTGTCCATGTTTCCTCGTGTTATGTTCAAAGTTTTAGGTGCCATGTTGTCCTGTGATGATAATTTCTAAAGCGTGTTATTTATGGGCTAACGTGTTTTAGCGAGTGTAGAGTAGCGTAGCTTGAAGATATTTATTTTGATTTTTATTTTTATTTGATTTTTTTTAAATGAAGAAGAAGTACATTGAGTAAAAGAAGTGTATGATGGAATATTAATTGCAATGTATCATAAGTGAATATAAGTAATGTATCTTGAGTGAAGTGAAAAAATCCTAAATTGTAAAAACGGAAGGCTACAGGATAATGTAGTTACGGTATGAAAAATATTTAATCGGACCCTCAAGAATTAGCAATAGAAATAATTGTATAGTAATGTAAATCATTGTACGTATTGTCTAAGGAAAATTTCGCTTTTTTTAATGAATGATAATAATTTAAAGGATTTTATTTTGAAAAGGTCATTTATTTTAAGAACTGGAAAACCAAAGGTAGCGCTTCGTAAGGTGAATAAAAATGGGCAATTACAAAGAAAATGGACATTGTCTTCTGGTTCTAGATGGCATCGAGGACAGATATCTGTAGGTTTCTTTTTTATTTTAAACAAAAATGAGTATAGAGGTGCTCTGTTAGAAAGTATGTTGGTAAGTTTATGAAGGTCCGCTGTTGTCATTTCTGTGATGGTGGATAATGATTCTTTCTTATGGAGGGAGACAACTAGCTTATGAAGCTTATTAGTGGAGGGTGATGCTTCTAAAGATGATTTGCTTTGCGCGAAAGACCAACTTTTGAGTTTGGCTTTGAAGCTGGAGTACGGATAATATATATATCATTACTTTAATTTATTATTATATATGCATGTTACCTCGTCCGTGATCTATTCACTTCTCCCTTTGATCGTTTCGGAACAGTTTTATATCACGTTAACTATTCTTTGGCAGTTTATTATTATCAAGCTTTCTAGCAGTATATATTTTGTTTTCTATATTCTTTCAGACTTTTATTTAAGTCTAGTTATACATTACTTTATCATATTTTATCGAACTAAGGTGTAGTATTGCCAGATCCCAGTTCATTTTGTAACGGAGTTTTATATTAACAGGAAACGGTGTAACAGAGTCGATATATTTTAATGCTGCCATGGGGTGGCAAGTCCCCATACATCGTGGTCCGGTAGTTTCATTGCGTCCTAATTTATATATATAATAATAAATTAAAGTTTAATAACACCACTTTTAAGATAAAACTTATACATAGTAATCTATATATACTATCAGGTCGGTAGAAATCCAAGTATTTTGTTAGCACGCACTGTACAGGCCACAGGGATTTTTTTAGATAAGCTAGGTGTGGCAGCGAAATATTTAAAAACCACGGCGACTGCAAAATATAAATGCTTAATCGGATTCTTATAATATTTAATTACACTAACTTTTGAGCTATAAGACTCGCATTCTTAGACCTGTTATATATCTTTTATTATCTGTTTATAATTATGAACCGTATTTAGCATAAAATAATTGTCGAAGATATAATAGCTTTTATGTTACATTTTTCTTTGTCGTAGAAATATTTGTGATGCCTATTTTATAATTATTTTATTATAAGTAGCGCGAATAGCGTTAGCAAATTAGCGTAAAGATTTAGTGCCTCAAACAGAAGTCCGATAATATTAATACAAGTGCAATTGAATTAAGCTGTCGTTTAGCATCTTTTGCACTTTGTTTGGAATGGAACTTTTAAGTTTTTGGCATTATACCAGAATTTATAGATATTTTGATTTAAGCTGTTCGTTGCGTAGACTCCAACTAAGTTTTGAGCCAATTATGACGCCTAAAAACTGTTGATGTTCACTTTCCATTAATAGTTGTCCTTCTATACTGGTATTTATGTATCCTCCGGTGATCTGTTAGTGTCAACTCCTCTACACTGAGGCCCTGGCAGACAGGATTGACGAAGACAACGCGGAGAAACACGCCGACGTTCTCCGTATCTCTAAGGACCTCCTGTCTATGAACGGGACCAGATCAGAGCAGCTTCGAGGCCTTCACGCAGATAACCCTTCCGGAGTCCTGAAGCCTCTTCTTAGATATGATTGATTCGTTACTTTTTTGATTTACAGTGTGTTTGTATTACAATATTAGCTTATACATTCCAGATTAGTTGAATTCCCAACCTTATAGCCGGCTTATAACCACTTTTGATACCTAAACGGCTTATAGCCGGTTTCCCTGAATTTCTTATAGCCGGCTCCTGACTATCGTTCAGTACGATGTGGTTGAATTAATATCTTATAGCCGGCTTATAACCACTTTTGATACCTAAACGGCTTATAGCCGGCTAATAGACGGCTTATAACCGGCTAATAGCCGGTTTCCCTGAATTTCTTATAGCCGGCTCCTGACTATCGTTCAGTACGATGTGGTTGAGTTAATATCTTATAGCCGGCTTATAGCCGGCTTATAGCCGGCTTATAACCACTTTCGATACCTAAACGGCTAATAGCCGGCTAATAGCCGTTTTCGCTGAATTTCTTATAGCCGGCTCCTGACTATCGTTCAGTACGATGTGGTTGAGTTAATATCTTATAGCCGGCTTATAGCCGGCTTATAACCACTTTCAATACCAAAACGGCTAATAGCCGGCTTATAACCGGCTAATAGCCGTCGCTCAACAACAAATGTAAGCGGCTATAAGCCGGCTATAAAAATTGTAGCCGGCTATAAGCCGGCTTATAGCCGGCTTATAACCGGCTTATAGCCGGTCGGTGATCTACCAATTTCCCTTGACGTGAACATATTATCGTCTCCGTTAATTGTTAGATATGACTCGAACCAAAACAGGCTGAGGCGCCCTTACACCAGTGTTCCAGCTTCTGAAGAAGTATCTCGCTGTCAACTAGATCAAATACCTTGGAAAAGTCTACAAGCATTATAATGCTTATTGACTGTTAAAAACACGACCGATTTTAACAGGCCCAACTCATGCAGGCGCTGATATAATCCAAATATTAAACTGATCTATCATTAGTGTCGACAGTTGACGCAGAAATTATTCCGTAAACCGTTAAACGATCAGCCTCTAGTTCATCTTACTATTAGTAGGTGCTGGTGCCAGTATTTATAGATATGCCAGTATTTGTTTTTGTTGTCAGCCAGTATTTTTGTTGTTGTTGGACGTTCAGAAAATCGCTCTAACCTAATCTATCCTCTCAAAGGTTAGCTGACACGATACGATCATCGCAAAACGACCTCTAATTTGTCGGCCTGCTCGTTACTAAAAGTCCTTGTTGATATTCCTATCACGATCAAAATCTTATTGGGGTTCCTGAGCTTGTACTTCTAATATGATCATAGCAGACGGTGTGGTAGTTATCAATATCATTATTGATCCAGATCATAATCAGGTCATGCAACACATTAACGACTAAACGACTCATTGTTGGAGAGGGATGAATATGGAGTGAGGGTTCTGTAGGGAGCTGCTAATTTATTATTAAAGTGGGCAGTTGTATTGGTCTCCTAATTTAAATTACTATTGTGGTTAAACCATTAGTCAAGAAAATTACCGGAGATAACACAGACGTCGACATACATGTAATGCTCGGTAGTTATAATTTCGCCGTTGGGGGGTTCTAATCGTCTTATCGTCTGGTAGATTCTGAGATAGCAGTTGAGGTCCGTGAGCGAAGTCGATATAATTATGACTATGATGATTGATGTACGAGTGGGCGGGAACACCATCGTATCGGCAGGCACGTAGACAGGGGGGGGGGGGGGCTAGGGGGGCGGCAGCCCCCCCGGAAAAAATCGAACCCCAGAAAAAATATAAGCCCCCTAGTCCCCATGGTCGCCTGGTAACTGGGCTGTGTTTATGACTGCAGTCAGTCAAAGATTTGAACTGTGGATTATAGTAAATATCTGTCATAAAGTAAATATCTGTCATAAAATCTGTCATAAAATCCAAGCAAACATTCTAGAAGACTTCTATAAATAGTCAATAGTGTCCCCTAGACCGTAGGAAATGTAAAAATCTTAAGACGATGAGGCCTGAGTAAGTCGTAAATTCTGATTGGAGAATGCAGATTGCTGTTGTGAAGTTACCAAATTTACGTGAGTACTTGATTCTTTTCAATCCCAGTTTATTGCTGTCCTACAATTTTCTTTAGTGCCAAATGTCGTCTAAAACACCCTGTTTCGCAAAAAAATTCCGGGCAGTCCGTTAATTATCTTTTTAAAGAAGCGTTGAGATGTGGAGTAGGTTATTAACAAGTTAAAATAAATATTCTACCTTTCTTATTGCTACCTATTTCATTTTTCTGCTCAGCAGCCGC